GGGGGACATTACAAAAAGTTTTAAATACCAATCGACGTGTCCAAGAATTTATTTATTTTTGGCTTATACACACTGGATATATTTTTATATAACGTTTGTAGGGTCTTACTACCTATATTTTTCTGTATAATATCCGGAAGGAGGAAACGGAAATCCGAGGATTTTTGCAAACATTAACGATTTCAGCCAACCAATTAAAAACAAGCAAAAAAATCAAAAAACAAATAAAATTGACGATACTAATAACGCTAACTATATTTGTACCAATGTTTATTGCATATTTTCTATTCGTCATGAGTGTGTTTGATAAAAACCCTGGCATTTTTTTGCTAACTCTAAACTGGAACATTTATATTCTCAGGGCAATTTTTTTTGCTGTAACGATATTTTTGTTGCCTGCAAGTGTTATTCCAGCAACTTATTTTTGCATGCTGTATTGTTTTATTGTCCTTCATCTAAGCAACGTTCAAAATATAATAAAAGAAAAAGTTTTAATGAAAGAAAAATATCACAACTTAAAGTTATTAAAAGATAATGCATATCAGAAAGAAGTACACAGAAATTTGAAAAATATTGTGGATTATTATTTAAATATTAAAAGGTATTAAGTTATAAAAAAATATCTTTATTTTCTATAGAAAATGATCTCCATACTAAAATTTTAAATATTATAGAGATAAATTTCTATACATGTACTAATTGAGATTATATACAAATATTTTTAGGTTTTTGAAATATATAAACAATTATATAAAACCTTTTTTTATAATTTATTTTTTTCTTGTCAGTTTGTTGGTATCATCTGCGTTTATTGCTGTTTCTATTGTAAGAAAAAAAAACCGACTTTGGCAGATTTAAAAAACAAATGTTTCAGGGTCAAAATATTTTGCAGGATTTAATTATATTTTATGAATTGCTTCATGTCATACCCTTGGTTATATGGATCGTAACACTAAGTCAGGGAATTATAAAACAGGTAGGTACCCAGTAATTTGTTAATTGTTCTTAGAGCCATATTACTTTAATAAATAGCTTTATTAGACACAACAAGATATTACAGATCAGGTTCCACATTTTTAACCGCAATTAATTATTTTGTACAATGTTTTAAAAGTATAAAACCTATCCTCCGTGACGGTTACTCTTTCTAGGTTAACCTATATGTTTGCAAATATCTGAGGTAGTAAAAGCATACTAAAAATATCAGTTCACTAAGTAAATTAAACACATCCAAAGCAATCGAATCAAATATAAAATATTATTAAAACTTAAAAGAAATAATTTTTACAACCATTAATGTAGGTGTTACAAAAATTGATTCTATCCTCCGTGAATCTGTTTTGCTTTAAATTGTATGCAACGAATGGCCATTTCATCATTTTAAATAAGCAAAAACCTCTGTTTACGACATTCCTGAAGGTCAGTTAGAATTTATATGCAGATGAGAGTGTTGCTGTTTTATAATTCAAAAGTTTAAGTTCATTTATTTGCTATTTAAAAACCTATCCACCGTGAAGTGTAATATATCAGAAAGTAGATTTTTTTATAAATATTTTATGTATGTACAATTGTATTTTTTAAAAATATTAAGGTGTCAAAAGATACAATAACTTAAAAAACATACGAAATCCTAACCTCCGTGAAGCTCTAATATTCAAAATGTATGATTTCTTAAAATTCTTGCATTAGTGCAGAACCACTTGTGTTATGTTATTACTAGACCTGGTGGCTTCCCAAAAACCCCATTCTAGACTAACAGTGAAACAACCAAAAATAAGAAATAATCAATTTCACTTGGGGGACATCTCAATATATTCACCGTATTTATTTTTTTAAGTTGACAATATCACCGTAAAATTTGCTAGCTTTATCGACCTCTTCGTCTAAAGACTATTTAGCTTTATAGATGTGTTAAAGGAGGGTTTATAAAGGCTGTGACAACCTCATTAAAGCAATTATAAAACCTTTTGGGTTAGAATTTCTCAAAAACCTTAAATGGTGGGGCAATTCAGAGGTCGGATTATTAACCGAACGAAATTTTTAGATGGAAGAAATTAATTCGTTGCTAGCGAATTGTCCCTGGATATATTGGAATTCGAAAAATAAAAGAGATTTTGTTTTAATCACGTTGATATCTCAAAAGTTTGAAGGGTTTAATTTTTACGGCTTAATTTTTTTGGACTACACCATGATAATTCAGGTTTGTTATGTTATAAAATTATATAATGTAGAAATAAAAAATACTTTTAATTGATTTTTAGATGACGAAAAAAATTTACGAATTCACATCGTTTTATTTTATATTAAAGTACAAATAAGAAATACCTGTACTAAAAGGTTGCTTTAATAAAATATTTCTTTGACATCATCTTTTTACATACTTAAAAACACTCACCCAATTATCTTAACAGAAGCACAAAATTACAAAACACCTTCACAAAATAAGCAAAATAAAATGAAATTTGAAAAATTAGACATGAGAACAAGCGTCATCCAGAATGAAATAGGTAATTGTTTTTATCGACAATACATTAAATTATACTTATTATTTTTTGCGCGCTAATTGAAAATGCATGTGTTGGACAAAAGGTATAAACAATTAGGCAGGACATACAATATATTGATAATTATAATTTAATTAGAGGGTATAAAGGTTGGATATATTTATATTATTATTTGTAAGTACTTTTAAAATGAATTTTATTAACTTTTTAATCGTTTTTATATTTATATTTTTTCTGAATATTTTTATTATTATTATTACCCCAAAAAACAATTTCTACTACTTTTGGTAACGATAAATTATATAAAGGTTATATTAGGTTTTATAAAATCACCATTTAATGTACTAGTTTTATAATGGTCATATAAAGTTAATGTAAACTCTAGGTTTATAAAAAGGTTATATAATTGTTTCTACAAACATTTTATTTTAAAAAAAACTTCATTCACCAAACCAAGGTAAAAAATTCAACACTTTGTTTAATGTAGGCAAAATAAAGATATTAATGTATTTAAAAAAATATTTTCCTATGGATGATTCTACAAAAGTTGGGCAACTTTGACCTCATTTTGTTTATATACTTTTCGGAGAAAATTAAGCAGTATTTTGTTATGAGAACATAGATAATATAATAAATATACTGTTCCAGACCGGGCCAGTCACTTTTTCAAACAGTTTCTGAAATATCTGTTTTCTAAATTTAAATGCAAGGGAAGTGACGAGTATACCAGGGTACTAATTAAATACATAATTTATTGGAAAATATAATATATTTATTGCAACTTTGAGCATATTATACATTAAATATCTTTAAATCAAATAATACCACACATCAGTGGCGGCTGGTGGATTTTGGGTATACCGATATCTCAATTATTAGATATGGGACCCACTCCAAATTTATATGAGTTTATGACATTAAATAAACAAGTTCTGCGCAAGCAGAATTTAAATTGAAGTTTGCGAAAAAAGGATAACCGAAACATCGAACATGGAACTGACGACACGGTACTGATGAATGGGATACAAATTTGAGATTATAATTCGGAATTAAGTATTTTACAGATATCTTTTATTAGTGGATGCTACTTACCAACAAATATATTTTATTGTAATTTATATAAGGCTATTTGTAATTTGTTGGTAAGTAGCATCCACTAATAAAAGATATCTGTAAAATACTTAATTCCGAATTATAATCTCAAATTATTATATAGTATATAGTATATAGTTATTTTTTACGTATATATTATATACGTAAAAAATAACTACTCACTACAGTACTGAAATTTTGACTGGAACTATACGTGCATTCACTACAACTTCGCCGCTTGCATTGTTTTCAAGATGAATGTCGTGCAAAGGGCGGGCTCTGTAGGTAATTTTTTACCAACACTTGAGTTAAAACGAGGACTTTTAACTTCAATATTTTGCAGGAATTTTGAATTTTAACATTGGACACAGAACTGACGGGTAAAAGTGAGTACAAAGATTATCAATTGTTTTAAAATTGTTATTATTCGAATCTATGATTAAATATGAAAAATGCATTGCTTAATGTTTTATAGTTTGTAGTGAAATTGAAAAATTTAAGATAAATTGAATATATTTTAAAATAAAATCACTCAAATATTTGATTCAGGAGTTGTGACACGCCAGGGTACTGATGTTTTGAATATTTATTATGTTTTTCTACAAACGTGCTTTTGAAAAATTACATTAAAATTGGGTGGACAAGTTAAAAAAACCTGGATCTTTTGTAATATACTAAAATATTTACAAAAAATATTAAAATACCTACTCCATTGACTCATGACATTAACTTTTATAGAATCACCCATATACTTTTTATTATTATAAAAAATATTTATGGCTTGGTATTTTGATGTCTCCTGCTGTTTTTCGAAGTATTGTGTACATATTTACAATAAAAAATACTTTGCACTTTAAGTCGTATTGAGTAAAAAAAATTAGATTTAAATTATATACCATTAATATCCGAAAATATTTATTTTTAAAAACTTTTAATAATTTTTTTAGAAATTATACCTATTTTAAGATCAGGTAAAAAACAAATAACATTAATTCCTTAGAAAACGCTTGTCTAACGAGCTAGCCAAAAAACCTGCAGTGACATAAAAATAGTTGCATATTGTTTGCTGGGTAGAGATGTTTTGAGCACACCTTTCTATTTAAAATAAAGTTTATTTACCAGAAAAAGTACTTACCTAATAATAAATTATCTCGTAATTTTTTTGACTTTGGATTGGTAGATATTTAATTAATTTAGTTAAAAAATTAAATGCTTATTTCTGTTAAAACGTATTTTTATCACAGTTGCACTATACTAAAAATAACATTGGCTTCAACTGCATAAAATAGTCCAATACAAATATCCATGGGTAAGGTTAGTGCTCATAATTATTTATTTTTGTACAAATTATAGAAAAAAAACAAATTTATTTGTGCCAAAAATAAAACAACTAAATCTAATAATATTATAAAAGCACTTTATTTATTTACAAATTTCTTTTCTTATTCTTTCTTCCTCATCAAAAAACGCTTGCCTATTTTTTAGTTTTTCTAACGTTATCTCGGCTAATTTATCTACACTGGGTAGTTCTCCACCATAATCACTGGGCAGGTATTTGGATGACAGATGCTTTTCGTAAAATTCGTTCATGTCTATATCTGATTGGTGAATCTTTAACTGAAAAATAAACGAGTTACACTTATGCTCTTATTGCGATCTTCAAGGTCGCTTTAAAACTACAATAAAACTTTTAATAAAACCAAATGATCTTCAGTTATTTAAGGCGCATATTTTTTAATAATATCTATTAAAAATGTCCATCATGGTGGAATCTGTATTATCATTTAAAAAAAAATCTGGTGATAATTTAATTTAAAATTTAATAATTTTTAAAGGGTAAATAATCGAAGAAACAACTTTGTTTTATAAATTTGAGTATAACACGTTGAAGTATTGAAATTTGACTATTATTTGATACATTAACTTTATATGCAAATGATGTTTCTGTGGCCAGGATCAGTTTTGAATTAGCAGTAGCAGTATTCATAAATGTCTAGTTTAGTACATTTTGTCATTTTTATACAAATATTGTTGTAATGTTTGTAATAGTCTCGCCCGTTACGCTTTAAATTATTAATTTTTAAGGTATTAAACAGTCAATCACGATACCTAATTTTGCCAAATAAAAACCTGGTTAAACAGCTTTTGTTTAGAACTATTTATAAAAATTTGACATTGGTAATATAATAGAACAATATTATTTTGTAAATAAAAACACGGCAACTGTCCTATCCGTTAAGCGTGGAATGGCCCATATGTTAAAACATACAGGGTTTTAACATTTATAATAAAAACGTTATTATTATTTAAATTTTGCCTAATTTCAAGTGGTTTTTCTCAGGCTATTTGTTAAAAAAACTTAAAAAAATTAAATTATTTAAACAATGTTTTAATATTTCAGAAACACCCTGTATAGCATTATATTAAATATAAAAAAATGCAAAATAACCAATTACAAAAAAGCAAAAAATAACTGAATAAAAAATATACTATATATCTAAATAGCCGAACGCAACATAAAAAATAAATTGAAGCTTGGTTGTGGAGCAAAAAATAAAATTAAAAGAAGTTATAATTTCTAACTTGCTGACACTGTCTATAATTATTATTTAGTTTATTATTCATTTTAATGAATTAATGTTTTGAGTTTATAGTACACTGGTAAATAGAAACGCAATCAGTCATTTGCAACTTATAAACTGAACTGTCAAATTATCTTTTATGCTTCCAATGGTAGGTTACCATAGAGAATGATGCCTACTATGATCAAAATTAGTAAACTTGACAATATTTTAAACTTCTAAATAAAAGTAATTTTAGCTCTTTTTTTAATAAATATGTGTTTTCGCTGGGCCACCCTTTATAGCCTTCGTATTTGTAAATTATAAATAAAACTTACCATATCCACCAGCTCACTGTTCATACAACTTTTTACGATATTCATAACTTTGTCAACGAAGTAAACCGCATTCAAAAGATGGATTTCCTTCAGTTTGATGGGAAATCCTTCTTGAAGAAAAGTGATATATTTTCTAATTGCTCCAATTTTCAGCTTCATTAAGTGCATCAGCCGCAACTAAAATAAAAATGCAATAACTAAGTGGTATAAAATAAAAAAACTATAATAGTATATTAAAGAACTAATGTCATAAGACGTCATTTAATTTGGTCGAATTTTACTTTAGATAGTTGGTATCACAGTCATTGGTTTGACAGTTAATGTCAAAATCGATTCGCCATGCCGTCCTTAATTTACTTATTTACAATTATTCAATAATTAATTCTTATTTTAGATATTTTGAGCTTAAATTATACAGGGTGCAAGTACTGTTAACGAGGTGATAAATATTTGTATGATTCTTACTGGTTTCATGTCTATAACAACGATGAGTCCATCTGGGGGATTTACTTGCTGCGTTACGTCCAGTAACATGTATGAAGCCTTCATAATTGGTACCAACTCAAAATTGCCATAATTACTGTCGTCCAATTTCAGTACATGCACTGTGTGATTATCTTCTGTTCTTCTGGGAACACTTGCCATTTTTCTGAAAGTAAATTTTTTTTAGGTAAATTTCGTTTTTACATGTTCTGTTCAAGCAGTTCAATCAGGCCAAGACTGCAGAAAATGACCTAAGTAATAACATACACTCACAGGCAAAATAATCGATCCACACAAATTTTCGATGAATTTCAATCGCAAATAACTTTTTTATTTGTTTTCGGATTTAAACAAATATTAAAGAATATTGTAGATACATTAATGGAGAATCGCTCACATTTTAATAATTACTAAGAAATACACGTACGTTTATAATATACAGGTTTAAACAAAAAGATGTTTTTTTACCATAAGTTTAAGACACTCTGTAGAGTGACAAAACCGTATATTGTTCTAAATTATGTTTCAATTATCAAGTCAATCTATTTTTAACAGTTTTGTTTTTGGTTCACCTTGATATATTTATTTTTGTGAAAAATATGGACTTTTTAAAAAACATTGTAATTTCCAATATTTTTCTGTATCAAGAACTAAGGTTGCTATGGTCCATCCATAGGCTATGGAGAATGACAGTGACAGTTTTGTTGAATCATCCCATACTTGTAAATTAATGTGTTAATTTTGAGGTGTACTTTTAAAAATGTCTCCGACTGATGTTGCCCTTTGTACTTTACTTCTTGTGATGTTTAAAACACTTGCAACGTAATACTGTGACCGTCCATCCTGGATTACATTAATGGCTCTGGCAACATCAGTCGGAGACATATCCATTTTTTAAAATAAGAAGACACCTCAAAATTTTAACATTAACAAAAAACAATTTGGCTTTTGAAAGCCGTGTATGACATGTCAAAGTATGGGATGATTCAACAAAACTGTCACTGTCATTCTCCATAGCCTATGGATGGACCATAGCAACCTTAGTTTTTCATACAGAAAAATATTGGAAATTGCAATGTTTTTTTAAAAAATCCATATTTTCCACAAAATAAATATATCAAGGTGAACCAAAAACAAAACTGTTAAGAATAGATGTGACTTGATAAATAAAACTTAATTTAGAACAATATACGGTTTTGCCACTCTACAGAGTGTTTTAAACTTATGGTAAAAAACATCTTTTTGTTTAAACCTGTATATTATAAACGTTCGTCTATTTTTTAGTAATTTTTAACATGTGAGCGATTGTCTATTAATTTATCTTCAATATTGTTTAATATTCGTTTAAATCCGACATCAAATAAAAAAGTTATTTGCGATTGAAATTCATCGAAAATTTGTGTGGATCGATTATTTTGCCTGTGAGTGTATAAGGTTTTATTATTGCTGTAACAGCACTGATAAAACTTTCTTGTAACCAAAAAGGAATATCCTTTTATTGCCTTCAAGTACTTTTTCAAAGAGTGTGACAAAGCTTTGATATAATATTTAGGTTAAGAGTCACATGTGTTACAATAAAAAAATGAACAGTTATGAAATCGTAAAGAACTTAAAAAGTCACTTACACTGTTTTCAAAGCCAACTGCAAATCCTCTTTACTCATGTCCCTGTCGTCAAAAATCTCCGGTGCGTTCTTTTTGCATTTGTAGTAGGCCTTGATAGTTTTCTCTGTGAATTCTATGTCGTTTCGACATGACAAAAGAAACAGGACGATCATTTGGTCGGGTATTGTCGGAATATCTTCGTTGTTGGATATGAAAGTCTTAATTTCTTCGATTGCCTTCTGGGAGGTCCGGCCCTCGTTTATCACGTCCTGGGCTTCAAAGTCGAAGTCCATTTTTGGTTTTGAAGGAGTTCTGAAACATTAAAATTCAAATCGTTTCCAAGAAAATTTTTTTTTGGAACACGAACGTGAAACATCCTGTATATAAATTTTGACACCCGCATCTTTTAAGTTACATGTTTTAAATTTTAATTTGATTTCGTTCTACACAATAGTAGATTGATAAAACTGTAAAATTTAGCAAATTTCATTAAAATGTTGTTAAAAACAGGATTTTCAAGGTAAATAACTAAATTTATAAATTACTACTACAAAATAGGAACAGACAATGCATTGTGCCTGAACGAAGTTTAAGTCACATAAAAATGCCGCCAAAAACTTATTGCAGTTTCTTGTTCGGGACCCTTTGGTGACTTAAATATGATATTTACCAAAAACCTAGCTGCTCCTCTTTTCGGAATTTTTTGAAAATTCATGATTTTTTTGAAAATTTTTGTTTATCTTAAAGTCTACCTTTGTCAGAGTACACATTTGTACACCGATTTTTATAATATTGGAGTATATTGTTAAGGAGATTTGGAGAATACTTTTTTATACTGTGTACATCATTTAATATATATTAAGAGTATATTAGGGTTAGCCAAAATCGCTTCTTTTAATAAAGCAAAAGCGTAACTTCATGATTTTGGCATAACACGCAAAAAAGATATATACCCACCCATGTTTTTTTAGATATTTTTATGTTTATCAGGCTTTAAAATGGGATTCTTATTAAGACTTTATAAGATAAATTGATTTTGAATAAAGTTAAATAAAATAACTTTTTTTGAATATAAATCTTTTTGGTACATTATGCTTTTTACTATATAAAAAAGTAATTTTTGGCTAATCCTGTATAAATCTAATGATGTGCTCAGTATGAAAACAGTATTCTCCAAGTCTCGTTAACAATATACCTATACTCCAATATTATAAAAATCGGTGTACAAATGTGTACTCTGTCAAAGGTAAGATAAACAAAAATTAAAGAAAATTAAGAATTTTCAAACAATTTCGAAAAGAGGAGCAGCTAGGATTTTGGTAAATATCATTTTAAAGTTACCAAAGGGTCCAAAACAAGAAACTGCAATCAATAAAAATCGGTGTACAAATGTGTACTCTGGCAAAGGTGGACTTTGCGATAAACCAATAAAAAAAAATGATTTTTTAACAAATTTAAAAGAAAGCAGTTAGAATTTTGATAAATATCGTTTTTAAATCTCCAAAGAGTGCCGATCAAAAAACTTTAACCAGTTTTTCGTTCAAAATTGAAAACTACTAAAAAGCCTAAATTAAACATTTTAAATATTCTCTAAGCGTTATTTTATTTAATTTTATTAAAAATCTATTTTTTTTATAAAAGGTTAATAAGAATGTCATTTTGTAACCTGATAAACGTAGAAATATCTAAAAAAAAATGGGGATAAATCTTTTTTGCGTGTTATGCCAAAATCATGAATTTACGCTTTTGCTTTATTAAAAATAAGCGATTTTTGGCTCACCTTGTATATATCAAATGATGTGAACAGTATTAAAAAAGTATTCTTTAAGTCTCCTCAATAATATACTCTAATTTTATAAAAATCGGTGTACAAATGTGTACTCTGTCAAAGGTAGACTTTGAAATAAACAAAAATTTAAAAAAAAATCATGAATTTTCAAAAAATTTCGAAAAGAGGAGCAGGTGGGATTTTGGTAAATATAATTTTTAAGTCACCAAAGGGTCCCGAACAAGAAACTGCAATCAGTCTTTGGCGGCATTTTTATGTGACTTAAACTTCGTTCAGGCACACCGTGAATGCTATAAAACAATTAAAAAAGAAAAATAAAAAACTATTTAATTTAATGGTACGCATGCATCAGTTACGAAAGTATTTATGTACATGAGTAATTAAATAAAAAATATTATGTAAGTAAAAATTACCTATTTTTATCTCACTAGGCACTTTCCTCTTAAACCACTTTCACAAAAACTGTCGAAATTTTTTCACCGGCGAATTAAAAACAAAAATATATGCTAGCGAACGAAGCAAGTCCATTTAAAACACAAAATCCGAAAATTGCAAGGTATCCCATAAAATTGAAACGTGTAGTGGGGATACTTCAAAAATACTATAAACTTAGTTTTTGCTATTTATTTATTACTATTAGTCTTATTTTATTAGAAGTCCGAAGCATTAGTAAGTGTTTGTTAATTATCAAATAGATAATTTGGAATATGTTATAGGTCAGCAAATTATATTTATATTAGCTATACAAAAATTGGGTTACGTATACGTAAAATGCTTAATTGGTGTAATGCTGTTTAACAAAAATTAATACGAATATTAAATAATAAATTTTCTTTGCAGAAACAATTAATAAAATATTAGTTTTGAGCGTGGATATGATTTTATGTGCCAAATATACAAGGGTGCGCAAAGTTGTACTATTAAAATTTCTGATTCCCTTGCTTGTAGAAAAAAAATAATTTTTCCGCTTTTTTATTTTGATTGATTCGATATTTTATGTAAATATATTTGTTAACGCTTTATCTTTGACCTAGAAAAGTTGTTTAGTGAATGTTTTATATTATTTTATTAATTTATTCACAATTTTACACAAAAAATATAGTTGTTATAATAAAATGCAATATTTTAAATAACGGATTATTTATTATTATTGTTTCATAGATGGCGCTCTTTAAAAATATTTAATTTAAATCATTTTTAGATAATATTAAGTGTTTGTCATAGTGTAAAATTTGTGTCCAAACTTGATACATAATATAGGTACTATTATGAATTCTGTGTGTAATAAATTCCAAAATGTTAATTAAGATTAGAGGTCAAAGAAAAATATTAAATATGCTGTATTATGTGTATCGTATTTACGCAAATGAACAAATGACGACAGAGAACATATATTTACTGTTTGAGTGTCCAATTTGTCCTCGATTATAATGTCAGAAATATGAAAAAATTCCGTGTAGATATCATTAAAGAATTTTAACATTAAATATTATGTTTTTTTATAACCTTTAATGATGAAAAATAATCTAATAAAACAATTGCTATTTTAATTTCCCATAAAATGGCGAATGACCTTACCACACGGAGAAAAGTGAATTTATAAATTTAGTAGCTACTTAGTGCTAGTTATAACTGAAACAAAACATATATTGCATTCAACATTTTCCAAGAAAAACCAAACAAAAAACTACTGAGCCTAGTTTAACCGATTAAATTCATAGTTCTCGTGATATTATATGATTATTTCCCTCATTATAATATGAACCAATCAAAAGCCTTGAATTTTCTAATAAATGTCGTTTAAATAAGCGATTAAATCACTAGAACTATTTAACAGCGATTAAATTTTAGCCTCCATATTGGATTTTTGTTTACGACTTTATGGTGTTATTTACAAGTTTTAACAAACATTTTTTAAAAAACAATAAAAAATAAGTTATCTAGTTTACGAAATATCAATTATTACCTATTACATACCTTAAATTAATGGAATTTTCTTTAAAAAAATATTTATAAATTTTGACACATACGTCAGATTTTATGAATTGTCAAATAGTTTCCTTTAATTCGAGAAATAATCTAGACGTATATCACTCAACCTATAAATTTAATCTGTCAAACTATGCTCAGTAAGTTTTTTATTTGATGTTTCTTTTTGGAAAATAGTTTCATGCAAAATAACTAAAAATAAAACCCCTCGACCGCTACGCGGTCTCGTGATTTTATTAAATTATTTTGCATTCAACATTTTCCAAGAAAAACTAAACAAAAAAACTACTGAGCCTAGCTTAACCGATTAAATTCATAGTTCTCGTGATATAATATATGATTACTTACTTGTTAATAAATATCTGATATAGGCAACTATTTGTTTTTCTGCATTTTTAGGGCTTAGTAAAATAAAACACCAAAGAACGTTGTAAATGATTTTATTTATTTATTATCATTTTTTTAGTTGGTACAGTGTATTTTACATGAAATTTTAGATATTAACAAACAAGCGCGCTTTTAACCGGCCAAACTATGATATGTGGCCATAAATCACAACCATTCAACGGAAAATAAAAAGAACAACATAAAAATTATATATTTTTCTAGTTACAATTTTATATTTGGGTAATAAGTAATGATTAGGTAGGTTTTTCATCAATAAGTCAATAAGGTTTACAATATTTTAGATAGAATACGCACTCACACGGTCTTTGTTGCATTGTATTTTGCAAGGCCTTCTTGGACTAAGACAGAAACAATTGAAAAAATAAGAAACACGAATGACGAAATGACAATAATAATTTTATTAAAAGTCTTGATTGAACTATTTCAACAAAATTTAAATCAGTAGGTTTGATAAAAACTTTTTTTGTTTCTGTCATAGTCCATAAGAACTTAGGTATAATTTAATAATGTTATTTAATAAATTTCAAAAGCTGCTTGGTTATATATACAATAGGGAGTACCAGGACAGAGTTATTCAAGTCTACTCAACACTTCAACGAATTGTTCATTAACAAAACCCAGTGCAACCCCACCCCCTTCCTCTCCTGGTTTTCAAAACCAAACTCTAAATAAAGATTTAAATCGATATATGTAGGAATAAAATATAAAAAATTAACTATATTTTTTCATTTGAAGTTTGGTTTTTTGGTATAACATCGATTAATAATAATAATTATATCATACATATAATGATTTATACAAAACAAGAATAATACTCAATAAGTGCCAGTACTAGAATAATATTTAAGTTTACACCGGAAAAATTCCTTGGTACAGCGTTATCAAAATTAAATGAACCTCTAAAAACAATTTCAATTGATATTAATATCACTAAAAATCGATTAGTATTAGATTGAATTAGGGTAAAGTAGACACTTTATAGTCATTGGACATTAACATTAATACTGTAAAAACAAGAGTTCTATAAATAGTTACCTTAAAGTCAAATCATTAGATGACGCTGTATACAATTATAACTATCTCAGTCGGTAATAATATAGAACTACTTTATTTTGGGTCCAATATAGGACAAAAAGTTCGCTCGTTACTTTGGTGGTAAGATTTTTGTTTTTTTTTGTTAAGAATAGGGCTGTGTTTAAATTGCAATAAAAAATATTTCTAAAAAGTGTACAGATCAGTGTGTGGTATAAATGCGTTTTAATTTTAATTCTGAAAACAAACAGTGTCCAATTACTGGTAAAAAATGTAAATTTCTATTATTAGACATATGTCCAATATCATACTCTATTTGTATCCCGGACATTTACCAGCCAATTCTTATGTAAAATTGTCCCCTGAATCCGAAAAGACCGTCAAAAACTATAAAATTTAAGCAGTTTTTGAGATACAGTCAATTCCATATTATATGTAAAATTGATTGTATTTCAAAAACTGTTCTACTTTTATAACTTTTGACGACATTTTCGGATTCAGCGAATAATATTTCATAGGAATTGACTGCTAAATGTCCTGGATACAATTGCTGTTGACGAGAATTATTAGTGTCTGCTTTTTCGCTACAACATTTTTGACTAATTCATTTTTAGAGAGTGAGTAATATAGTGATTTCTTCGTCACAGGACATCTTGAAGAAAAAGACTAAAATCCTTAAAACAACGCAACGGCATATATAAATTTTAAATAAATAATATTCCTTAAGTTTCCAATAACTATGTCCAATAACTATGTGATTTACCCTATAATAATTATATTCAAATCTAGACTCGAGAAATTTTGACTAGTTTTGTTTGATAATAATAATAGTACACTGTATACGAAAATAGAATTTCTACACTACAAAACTATTTTATTTTTCCCACTACAGAGCATTTAAAAAAATGATATGATATTTTTTATATACATGAATTTCAAGCGAATTTTTTCCGGCGCAAAACCAAATCAAAATACTCTAGTTGTGCGTTTTAGATATTTAAGAAGGCACAACAATTGACGGTTCCCAAAATTTTTTTTGAAAATCGCCCAGAGACATCAATAACAATAATAATAACGATAATAATAAAGGTGTTGTGCCAATAGCTGTTTTTGAAAACTACTCTTAACAAAAAAGTGACGATCGAAGAACATCGGCGTCCGGCCCGAAGGACCAAAACAGCGCGTCGATGCTCCTCACGTTGCCAAATTAACGAACAAAAACGGCAGCGTCGCGCGGTTGTCACGGCAACGCTTAAGGTCTACGACTTGGTCGATATTTTTGTACTTAGTACTTAAATATATAATATTGATAATACTGGATTTTGCAGCTCGCAATCGATACAATTTTACAACATGGTGGGAGATATGGATTTTTTTTAGTCTAAGCTGCCATATTTTTATACGTTTTCTCTATGATGTGAACACTTTAATGATATAGTCAGCAAAGGCTTGTCGAATAATCAAAATAGTATGTTAAAGTTGAACATCTCGAAAATTGAAGATTTTGTTAAATAAAATATTTTTTCAAAACTCTAACATTCTGTACGTATTTTTATTAATTTGTAGAAAATCAACTACAGGATCTCCCAGAACTCGCCACTGAGAAAAAGGGGCGTGATGATAGCAAAAAAAATTGAGGTTATGTTAAGTACCTTATTAGTAATTAGTATTAAATACTAAGTAAAAAACTCAATCCAAAATATTTTGGTATACTTATTTGTTAAATTAAAACAATATTCGATAACAAAAATACTTTTACTATAGGTATTTTATTTTATGCTAAAAATAAATATTTATTAATTTGTATACCGATTTTTTATTTCTGAATTAACATTTTTATGTATAATAATCCTAACTATCTTCAACTTCAATCTAATCTGACTTATCCCACAAAATTTTCCAATTTTACTTTTTATGAAATAATGTCATACAACTTAGGTTTAGAGGTCAAATTGTTTATTTAATATTGAAATATTAATATGTCGCAAATTTTTTTAAGGGGACGACAAATACATTTCACTGTCATATTATGACAGTGAGGCGTATTTGTCGTCTCCTGAAGAATTTTACGAATGTAGAATCCAACATATTAGAACGTGGGTATCTGACATATTTGGAAATATTCTCAAACGCTTCCTAGAAGCTCCATAAGAAACCTTCTAAAACACTCCAAAAACATATTCTTTGAATGTTCTTAGAATGCTTTTTAGGAAGGTTTTAAGAAGCTTCTAAGAATCTAATTGCATCATTAAAAGGGTATCTATTGAATGTTTTAAAAGTCCCTAAGAACATGCTTAGCAATAAGGGAAGGTTCTAAGAATATTCCATTATTCCTGGTCATATCTTCTTAGAAGATTCTTAGAATCAAATTTTGCTATCAGGGGTACTGTTCTTATTCCCAACAAATGTTGTTGATTATTATAGTATTTTATGCTGCTTAAGTGTAAAATGCAACACTGTTTTCATCTGATGGTAGCGAAAATGACACAAGACGTAGGAAAAATACAGAACGATGAAAAATTATTAATAGAAAGTTTTTATATGTCTACATCTGGAAAAATTGCCGAGGAAAAAAAATCTGCACCACCATGTAATGAAAAGAAAATAAATGATATAAAAAATATAATGTACTGTCTGTCCACTCTAACTTGGCGGAACTAAGGAATTTTGTAGTTTAGATATTAAAGAATTGTCGTACTGTGTGCTTTTAAAACAGATTTTATATTATAAATAATACAAGTACATATTATATACTAGTATTATTTATAATATAAAATCTGTTTTAAAAGCACACAGTACGACAATTCATTAATATCTAAACAACAAAATTCCTTAGTTCAGCCAACTTAGAGTGGACAGACAGTACATCAAGGGAGAAAATCTAGAGTTTTACCACCATGTAACATCCAAAAATTTTTGATGTGCTTAGCTTAAAATAATGAGTGATTTAATATTTGTAAAACCAAAAACGTTACTTTTTTACTCAAAAAATGTCCATAAGGTGATGTACTTTTTCTGCCAATGAGGCATTTGGCATAACTTCATCGAAATGAAGTTTTGCCCTTAAACGTTTTTTTTTTCTTTTGAATCTGATATTATTTTTGGCATAGTTATCTTTTTATATCGATATTATATAATAATTAACAAGTAAATTATCAATAATAAATATTACTGTCAATTTGACAGTGAGTATTTAATTAAGGTCTTCAGCAGAAGTTTCGCATAACTTTCGTCGCGTTCCCTTTTTCTCTGTGGCCCAAATTCTGGGACACTCTGTACAATAACAAGAATGTTTCTTAAAAAACTAAATAACTTTTATAAATTTGATGGTTGATCAACAATCTAACTGCAAGACACTAGAGCTTTATACAAAATGTATAGCACGCACTGCCCAAAAAAAATCATTGAAAAAACTACTTATCGTCAAAAGAATGCTTGTCTATGAGTTCGGCGTTTCAAAATTGGGCAGTGCAATGATCAAATAAATAATTTTTATGTATAATAATAAGTATAATACAACAGGTTACCAGAATATATTCACCTATTTCATTTTAACCATTCGCGTGTATTTTTTTGTTTTGTTTGTTCAGTGTACTATGCTCCACACCTCAAAGTCCCACCACGTGACCACGTACGGAACGCAGTCTTTTGAAAATTTGGCATTTAAGGCTTTTCAGGTTATGTATCTGTCAAAGTATAGTCAACGAACGAAATAATATTATGTTTAGGCGTTAAAAATGAATAAATCTTTATAACATTACAATAACAATGGATGGTTTAAGAATTTAAGAATATAAATACTGCATTTAATGAAATTTTAAAGTGTATGGTGCCAAATAATTAATATTTTTGTGCATTTGGTATTCTCCATAAAATAATTTTAACTAAACAGCATTTATTAAAAAAATCTACCTTCTCTATTATGGAATAAGAATATCTGTATTAAAGGTAGGTTAATATATTATAACAAAAATATCATCTAATTTTGTAATTTTAAGGTTAGAAAAATTTATTTTGACCAAAATAAATAAGAATTTTGGATTATTTAAAAGACTGTATAATATGGTATTTAAAAATGTGGTAGATTTTCTTATCCAGCTTAAAGTGTACCTACATTAAGTTTTGTCAATACAAATAGTTAATAGGCTTCGACTGAATTTGATCTACATCGAAAAATCATTATAACTTTAAAAATTTTAATAAATTACATGTCATGGGAGTATTAAATATTTTCACATTGCAAGTTTCTCTAAAAATTGTTTGTTTTTTTATAATCTAACTTAAAGTAGGTATGCCGAGAGGTATGCACAAGTTTTGTCATTAGAAGTATGAAAGATTCAATTTAATTTGAACTATATTCAACAATTATTAAGTATACCTAGTATATTTATTTATGACCATATTAACACACTCTTCCAAATAATCCACTTATTTATTTTGGTCAAAATAGATTTTTCTAACCTTAAAATACAAAATTAGATATTTTTTGTTCTAATACATTAACCTACCTTTGATACAGATAAATTCTTAAACCAACCATTGTTATTCTGATAGTATAAAGATTGATTAACTTTTAACGCTTATACATCTTTCGTTGACTATACTTTGACAGGTACATAACCTGAAAAGCCTTAAATGCCAAATTTTCAAAAGACTGCGTTCCGTACGTGGTCACGTGGTGGGACTTTGAGGTGTGGAGCATAGTACCTGATGTGAGACCACGATGCGCAGAAAAATCGAGTTATATCACGCATACTTGATTAATTTAAAGTGTATTGTCAATTATTTTACTTAGAGAGATGATCTTCAATGAAGTCAGCTCTCTGAACATCCGCGCATCGCGGCCCGTAGTCTCAAAAACAGCGGTACTCAAACGACAACATAACGGAAGTAAAAATAAGGTTATTTCCCGCCCAACCCGAATTTCATGAAGATCAGCTCTTTACCCTTGCTCAGGATATCCCCACCTGGAGCTGTGATCTCGTTCAGCTTCTGCATGAGATTTGGGCCCCCCGCCATGCCGGGCATGTTGGGGTTCTGCTGATTCTGCTGATTCATCGGCTGATTCATTTGCCCCCCACCTCCTGACATGACGTTCGGTATCACCTGCGGCACTCCTTTATGCTGCATCCTATTCTGGAACACCCCTTGCTGATTCTGCTGATTCTGCTGATTCTGCTGATTGCTTTGCTGACCGACGCCCGTCAAGCTGGAGAACAAGCCGCCCATCGTAGACTGCGTCGTGGTGGTTTGTTGGGCTTGGAAGTTGCCTGGGTTTTGCTGTTGCTGGTTGTATTGCTGCTGCTGTTGGTATTGCTGCTGCTGTTGTTGTTGGTTGAAAGATTGCTGCTGCATGTTCTGTTGCTGGTTACCACCGACTCTCAGCACCCCTTGTCTCCCCCTCGCCTGAAACCGCTACGGTTAGACTTTTATTGATTATCATTTTTCGGCATTTAACAGGTTGTTCGATATTTAGACACCTAGACATCAATTTGTCTTTTTCATAATTGTTATTATATCTGAATTAGAAGAACAATTGTAACTCGCATTAACTAGAGATTGTCTCAAAAATGAAAAACTATATAGTCGCGGCCAAATTTGTATGGTTATGGTCATCAATGCCATATGAGGAGCAATCAGACAAAACCAGATAAATCCATTTCGACTTTTTAAATGATTCCTACTTCTTTTGGTCATATAAATCCTTTGAAAATATCTATTTCAAGCTAAACTTGTTTTCCTATTATACAGTGTGTATTAAAACGAATAGATACACTTAAATAAAACAAGTTCCACACCCCGCCCACTGTGGTAGGGATTGAACAAGTTATTTTCGTTATTTTACAATTATTTTTGTTTGAGAATTTACAGGTTTTATTTTTATCGAATTCGTTTGTTATGTTTTAATGCATTTCTGCAAATAAAAACTAAGTATTGTTTAAAATCCATTAAATTCCAGTTAATGGCGAAAATGTATTTCTTAAAAACTATACACCTTTCCCTACGACAGCGTCGGAGCTACTGAACAAACACAGTAGATCAAACTGCATGCCCTTGTATCTGGCTGCATGCCGCGCTGTTGCCATATGCTATTATTGTTTCCTAAATAGGTTGTTTTTCTTATTTTTTAATATTAAAAGTAAGAAAATTAACTAAATCAAAATATTTTTGACATATTATTAATTTTTTTGTTATTTTTAAAGTTTCAAACAAATAAAATTGAACTATTTATTAAATAATTATAATCGTTCTCTTCTGATTTAAAACAACCTGGCAACTATGGTTCGTAATTACGAATGGCTTGGTATAAACCACGCCCAATTAAAGTTTGTTTATTTTTCTCTGATCAGAATATAATTTGTCATCCTTGTCTCCAGCCTCACTTACTTGATTCTATTCAGTCTGTATAATAATTATTAGTATTTATATAATATAATAATTTCAGCTTGAAATTGACTTTTCCAATTAATTTATCTGACAAAAAGAAATAGGAATCATTCAAGAAGTCAAAATGGATTTATCTGGTTTTGTCTGATTGCTCCTCATATATTGACGTTAGCATTACCAACTGTCTAATTCATCATTCATTTGAATATTTTTTACCAAGAACTGAAACAATTTTCCTGTTTTAAAACGTTTTTTTTTTTGCGAAATTAAAGAAAAAAATAGGGTTTTTCTTTGGTGTTAAACAAAATTTATTGCCAGAAAAGTCTAGTAAGTACTAGAAAAATCATAAAAATATTATAACCAAAATGCAAAATATTATGGTGTTTAAAGTATAGCCAACCTATAAAATCAAAATTTTGTTGGTGCACCCAAGCAAATTTGGCCGCGACTATTCCACTAAAGTATATCATCAAAGATGACACATAAAATTCCAATATGGCGGCCACAGCAAAAACATTTATTGGCCATTGCATTGGTTGGGGCAGATTAGCTTCAAAGTGGTTTTGGGTAACGTTGACGTTAAAATTATTGCGGGGTAACACTGTATCAAACATCGAAATTACATACAAATAATGTTTGTATAACCCCCCTCTTTTAATAACATATACACATGCTCCTAATTTAGAGATGAACACCGAAAGCATCTACACACTTATTTTGAATAATATTAAATAGATAATATATGGATACACATAATGGAAAAACAAAACACTAACAAACATGGATTCGTGCACACTTAGCTAAAAATTTGGATATATTTTTTTTATTTTGAAGTTTTCAATAATGGAGTTTATCTATGTTTTACTGTATCTATATATATATAAATATATACAATCAGTTATTCTTAACTAGCATAGCGAAATGAAAGAAATAATATTAATAAAAAAGTTTTTTTGCATTCTGTAACTTTCTGTACTCTCTAAAAATGAATTAGTCAAAAATGACTGGTTACTACAGCTGCTCTTTCATTTATACCATGGTTAACCAAAAAACTCAAAAACTGTTCTACTTTTCTAACTTTTGACGACATTTTCGGATTCAGGGGATAATTTTACATGGAAATTGACTTCAGGATACAAATTGCTATTGACAAGAAATATTAGTGGCTGCTTTTTCGCTATGACAATAAGTCATTTTTGACTATTTCATTTTTAGAGAGTAGGTAGGTATATAAAATTTATACATTTAACATTAAAATATGTTTGCTATAGAATGCAAGAAAAAAGAAATAGGATCTGGTTCGGGTAAACTTGGGGGCCAAAAACAAAAATGATGATTTATTTAGCATGAATTTTCAACTTAAATAACTAAAATTCTTACTATTACTATTACTATTTTTTATAGTTTTAAACTGTACTTTATTAGTTTTATTAGTATTAAATTAAACTTAATTAATCTTCTCTAAGACAGACTACTTTTTTTGTTAATCTCATCCAACTTAAAAACCTATACAGGGGTGGTACAAAGTGTTCAAAAATAAGGTATGGTAGCAACACTTCAAGATTTGGTTTTAAACTAAAGTACCAAAGCTCAAAGAGTGCACTAGTACAACTCTGAGCTCCGTATCCAAGTCCCTTTGCTTGTCATGAGCGTCTCAAAAAACATGGGTTCGCTAAAGCAATCAATCCAATAAGAAGCATTAAAACTATACCGAATATTGAACACCCTGTAAACTATAACAAAACAAAAACTAAAAAATAAAATAATAAGAGAAAAATAGATTGGGTGGTTAAAAAAACTGACCATCTTTGTCAATCCCAATTGAAAATATTTTTAAAGATTGAAAAAATAGTTGTTTCTTCTAAGCTACCCTAATAGAGACAGTAGTAAGGAAAAATAAGACATTTAACATTAAAACAAATAGAAGGGTCAAAAATTCAGACAGCTTGATATTAGTTATGAAAATGTTCATCACCAATCTAATGTTTCCAAACTTGTCTAATTTTTCTTGACTATGCCAGGTGACAGAAACTAAAAAAATATACAAGGTCAGCGAATTCTAGGGAGGATTTTAGAACGAGTTGAACCCTTTATAAAACCTGTTTATTTATAAAAGCAATTTCAAAGCTTCCAAGAGCTTTAGGAAGTATTTTTAAACAATATCGATGAAAAATCATCCCTGAAACTCGCTGTCTATGTTTATTGGTTAAGTCTTGGACACCCTAAAGAGATAGAGATAGAGAGAGTTAAAATTAACATATAGGTTAGAGAATAACAGAGGTTTTTATGTCAAGTTACGAACCTGATTGTGCTCGGTGAGTTGTGTTGATGATGGTGTCGCTGTGTTCTGAATATTGTCTATTTGAGAAGGTACAACAGGACAGGCATCTAGCAACAAACAACATACAATACAGTCAGGCGCTGTGTTTTAACTTAAACGCGGCGACTCTATTTTTTTTTTCGTTAGTTGTTTCCTGTCTACAGTGTTCTATGTCTATGGTACCGTGGTGTGGGTCGTAAAGTGTTTACCAGGTTTAGAGCCTTCCTGTGTTCTTATACTGTATACTTGTAAATTTAGTTCTGTATTACTCGTAATATTTAAAAAAAAAAGCACATGAAGGCGTGGTTTTTGTGATGCAACAATGTAAACTCTTACACGTGTCATCTACTTTTGCTATGTCTATGGTGACGTGTTGCCTATGGGTCAGTGTTCTACGTTTTCTCAAGTCCATGGTAGTAGATAGAAAATGAGGGTTCTGCATCTTAGAGCAAAATGATCCAGAACTCTCCTTTTGTATCTACTAATGGCGCTCGTAGGGGTGTCCAATTGTTTTGTCAATTAAATACTCGTTCTTTAAAAAACAGAGTCAACGTGCGTTAAAAAACAGCAATAGATAGAGAGATAGAGCTAGCGCATACAATGTTTTTAGGTGCACACCCGAAACATGGATACAAATAAAGCTTTGGCTTGTTTTTTACCAAATTTTAAAAATATTAAACATTTTTTTTATTGTTAAATTAAGTAAAAAACAAACTCTGTCAAATCACACTCTTGCTAAAATGCACGATTCAAAAAAATGTTTCATGTATTTTTATTTGTAAAAAAATATTGGAAATGTTACGAAAAAAATATTCGTAATAAATGTGCTCTTATTTTTTGTTTTGGTTTAAAAAATGTTTAAATTATTTTATGATAGTTGAATGTTGAAAGTAAGTACATCAAATTCATGGTCGGTCCAATTGATTGATTCCGAGGCCCATGTTTTGGCAGATTAGCTTTAGTAACCATGGCAACGTCGATTTGTCATGAATAGTTTTAGCAAAAATTTTATTGCAGTAAATTGGCCTAAATGAGAAAAAATTATTGGAAAACTGATTTTACCCTGTATTAACTTAAAATGGCTTCCACAATTATAATTTTTATTAATTATTTTTATCCGAAATCGGCAGTAAAGTAAAAGAAATCGGCAGTAAAGTAGAACTTTACTTCCGATTTAACACGGGTATTGTATGCAACCCATTATACATTTTAAGATGTGACTATTGCTACTCAGCAGCAACTAAATACGAGGTGTGTTCAGAAAATATCGGGAATTTTCGTTTTTTGAAAAAAATATTTATTTATTCGTCTACATTAATGTTGTCGCCTTCAAAATATTCCCCATTGGATATTATGCACATGTGCCAGCTCTTCTTCCAATACTCGAAACACTTCTAAAACTCGATCTTTGGGATAGCCTTTAGTTTTTTCAGCGATGCGCTTTTAATGTCATCTACGCTTGCAAAACGACGGCCCTTTAAGGTTCTCTTTATTTTTTGGAATAGGAAAAAGTCAGACAGGGGCTGGGGCATCATTACAGTATTGTTTTTGGCCAAAAATGTTGTTCAAAAATTAACAATTTTAGAACAAATTTTGCTGCCACGCGTTTCATACAAAACATTGGAAAAAATTTCATGGGATGAGCCAATCGATATACCAACATCATCAGCGACTTCTCTGATGGTTTATAACCATTTCTTCCACTTTTTCCATGTTTTTATCGGTTGTTAATGTGCTTTTTCGTTCGGGTCGTTCGTCATCTTCAACGTCTTCACGGTCATCTTGGAAACTCTTATACCACTTGTAAACTCTTGTTTTACTTATAGCAGGCCTTTGTTAACATTTCACAGAATTTATTTCATTTTTAAGCAAAATTGGATACAAATTCTTTGATCCATTTCTTTTAACGAACGAAAAATCGCCGAGCTAATAAAACACGTCTAACCTTAGCGGCTGCCACAGACAAAGTAAACGATGAAAACAGCTAAAGTTTTTATCATACTTCGGGGGCATGTATACCAACATAATAAAGAATTATGACAACCGGACCCTCCGAACCCGCGAAATTTAACGTTATTTTCTGAACACACCTAGTAATATTTAAAAAAAGCACTGTCGCGGAGGTCGATTGGACCCTTTCATAAAATGTTGTTTAATTTATTATTTTTATTAATTAGATTAAAAAATCGCTGCGGTGGGCAAATATATCATAACCGTCGCACATAGGTAGAATTCGGGGATTTAGGGAGACAAAAAGGGTTTATTTCAAAGTTAATTAATAAGAAAACTAATCCTTTCCGGTAAAAATAGAAAGTCCAAAGAACAATAGACGACCCCTTTCACGGTCCCTGCAGAACATGTGCGTTCCCAATTTTCAGTCGAAACTTGACCGTCGCGCAAGCTGCTTAAACTCGTTCTCGACACCCTTACAAACACCATTTTACAAAGTCATTTTTTAGTGAATAAAAGTTCAATTATTAAGTGAATGTGATGGATATCGACAATTCAGGTATGTTACTTATAATTCTTAAAGAAATACTACAATAAATGTCAATATTTCGCATAATTATAGCCCATTAAAGATACACCTTTTTTTAACATACTTTTTATATTTTTTTCCGTTTCAAAAGTAAAAATGTTACCTTTCCGGGCCCGTCCGAGTATTTTTTCTTTTTGTAATTGATAAATAATTTATTTAGCTAAAAACTGAGAAAAAATCACGGTCCACTTTGGTCCACTTTGCGAAAAATTCCCCTTGTAAGTAATTTGGGCAGAAATCAAGAAATTTATAATTTACGTTAAAAATCTTATAATAGTTATTTACGTGTCAAGCTTTGTAAATGAATCTTTACGGGCGAGCTGGAAGTTTGTGGGGTGAGCGATGCAGGAGCGAACCCCATAATCCAGTGAGCCTAGTAAAGATTAATTGCAAAGCGTGACACGTACAAACTTTTATTTTCACCTTTAGATAACGATTTTTAAATTAAAATTTTATTTGTAGAATCAAAACAATTTTAGAGGCCATCACAAGCGGCATCCAAAAGTTTGATGAGTATGCAATGGAAACGGCAAAACTGTACGTGGATTTGTATGGGTGGCACCGTATGAGCCCCACAATGCATAAAATTTTAATACACGGGGCAATAATTTGCGAAAATGCCATTTTACCTATTGGCCAGTTTTTAGAAGAAGCTGCTGAAGCCCGGAATAAGCATTTCCGGTCGTACCGCCTTAACTTTGCCGTAAATTTTCACGTGGAGAATGCAATCTAGACATATATCACAGGTTACTTTTGACATCCGACCCTCTCATCAGTTCTTTGAGAAAAAAAAAGAAAACAATTTCAAAATCGTTTTCGCAGGAAACTTTACGACTTTTGGTTTCTGCAGAGCCGAACACAGAGGTAGCCTGTGATACATGTTACATGTATCACATGTAACATGTATGGAAAGCGATGACGAAGAAATTTCATTTGGCTCGTAAATTACTTTAATTTTTATATGTGTAACTTTAATCAGTATTTATTATTAAGAATATGATTTTTTTAATTTGTGTTATATATTATGTTTTCAATCATATTTATGACTAATTACTTTTTGTTAAACTTGTTTTAAAATGTAAATTGCATAGTAAGAATTTGGAAATATAATGAATTCCATGTAATTACTACATCTTGTATCATTTCCTTCCCTTAAATATTCACTGCTCTGTATCTCAAAAAGTACTCATCCAATTTTGATTAAATTCAACGTGGACTCATCTAAAAATACGTGCCGTAGATCAATAAAAAAAATTATTAGTCTACGAAAAAACCAGTGAGTTCAACTTTTAAATTTCAAAAAATGTGAAAATTCTACTACGTAAAACCAATATGTCGACAAATCTTGGTAAAAATACCTTTTTCTATTTAGTTTAAGCTATTAGACATTTTTTATCATGTCTCCTACTAAAAGATATAATAAAATAATTTTGGCCGCCTAAGTGACCGAATTCTACCTATGTGCGTCGTAGACACTTCCTACATTCAAATGATTTGATTTGATCATCAAATGACATTTGATTTGATCATCAATATTAATTATTAGTATTATTAAATGTCATTTCGGATAAAATTTAATATGCACCTCGGCATTAAAGTCATTTTTATCACTCATATGGTTATTTGCCTCGGCTTTCGCCTCTGCAAATAATTTCCACATGCGTGATAAAAAATACAACTTTACTGCCTTCATACATAAATAACTATTTTTTGACCATTTTTTTAAATTGGAATAACTTTACTAACTGAAGCTCAGTAGTTTCAGCTGACAACCACTCATTAGAAATTACGATAATTACGGTTGAATATACGATAGTATATAGTATATAGTGGTGGTGGATTTAAAGAAACCATAGGTGGTCTCATCATGATACCACTGGAAAAAATGACATAACTTCTCCTGTTTTTTTTTTCATACAAACCAAGCAATAAGGAGCATCGAAAACATTTTTGATCTGTTTAGTTTGTCATCTTGAAAATATATAATTAACTTGGTTTCAGTGGAACATCGTGAAGACCGAATATATCTATTGGTTTGATATATATCTATTGGTTGTATAGTAGTTTTATAGTACAGTTTATAACCAACATAAGAACACATTGCATTTCCTTAAAAAAACGGCAAGAGTGTGATGACCTTAATTTTTTTATATTGCGCAATATATTATCTGGATATGTGTGTATCAAAGCGGACATCATAAAAAAACAAGAGGCCTTCTGGAGAAAAAAAGCAAAAAATCAAACCTCTTGCTTTGTAATGTTTAAAAAGAAAAGAAGCATACTTCTGGGTCAATCTGTACGAAATGGAACACATATTTTGATTTTTTTTTTTTAATCTGATGTGTTCTTGGTTTCGTACAGACTACCATTCTTTTCTCTTTGACGTGTTTGCACCCGACCCCGAAAATGTTACCTTTGTTGCGATTGCGCATCTGGGCGTCCCTGGGCGGTGGAGGGGGGCCCCTGGCCCCCGGCCCGGGGCCCATGCTCCTGACCTGCCCTCTGCCGGCCGCCCCTTGCGACGTTTGGCTGCCCCCGTACTGATCGGGCGCCTCCGTGAGGAAGTTCGACGGCACCAAGCCCCTGACGCCGTCGATTTCGCCCATGAAGAACCCATCGTCGTCCATCTCGCCGTAGACGTTGATTATTTGCCCGGTGCTGAAGCTCAGTTCCACCTGCAGTTTATGCAAAGAAGAAGAAATGGTAGAGTTTGGCTTACTGGGAGATAGGTGAGGTCAGGTGGGTCCATGGTACAGTCTTTTAACTCTTCAAACGGCTGTATTTGGGTGGATCAATAGGTACCCGTGTTTGAAGACAGATGGCGCTGATAAGGGAAGTTAGTACTTCCATCTTTCTAACTAAACCATTCAAAATTTTAGATTGATTTATTCTTCATAACATATAAAGTTACCAATCACAAACAATTTTACAAAAACTTCTTTAAAAAACATAATTCTTGATAGCCTTGGCTTATCCCTAGACCAAACCAATAGATAAATATCTTATGTCGGATGTCGGGACAGTATTATAATATTTAGCCAAGCCAAAAGAGGGCGCGGATTTTATAATTTTTTGACGTTTTTGATCTTCTTGTCGTTCAATTATATCCGTAGTTATCGCATTTTTGTAAGATTTTGTGTATTTGTGTGTTTTTATTGTGTATTGTTTCTAAGGTTTGTATTATAATAATAATTCATAAACGACACTTTGACCGAATCATAATCTTTCAGATGGTAGGCATATATTGTTTAATACAATTTATAGATTTAACAGTATTCTTCAATTTCAAAATAATGATTAATGAAACAGTTACTTTTGGTAGACTGTCATAAATAACAAAAACAATGTTTCTTACCATATATGAATGGTACTTTTGAGAATAAGTATGATAATGATTCAACGAGTTTGACAAATTAAAAAAATCACAGATTATAACCACAGAAGTACCTTAAATACATGGTAGTAAACAAAGTTATAGTTTTCGTTACTAATTCAATTTAAAATCTAGCCACAAGTTAGATTTTAAATATAGCGCCATTGAAGTAACCAATCAAATACGTTGATTTTCTACCAATTAAAAGCTATGTTGGCAACAGTTGCCTGTAAACACGTAATTTAATTTTTAGCCAAGTTCAGAGAGGGCGCTTCATTTGGCTCCAAACTATATACCCTTTAAGATAGTAATCTATTGGTTTGGTTTAGGGCCTTATCGTAATTCTTTTTGTCTCATAATATTTTAACACTTATAAAGTTTCAGAGGTCCTTTGACGTGCCAGAATTCAAAGATAAGCCCTATTTTACAAAACAAATTAAAAAACTTTTCCTAGGATTCTTCAAAAAAAAATATTTTTTTCCTATTTTTAATATTTAAAATATTTTTTAATTGTCATCGTTTTTCCATGCCCAAACATTCCCAAAATTAAACCAACGGTAACCTACATCTCTGGGAGGACACCCAGCGGTGACAAATGGAAAAATACTCAATCTGAAATTTTTTATGTTATGAATATTGATCCACCCCAGCTTAGTCCAAGTAGTCTTTTATAAGATTTGTTTTCGTAAAGTTCATTTGCAACTCAGTAATAAATAAATGCAGAAAAAAAGACGACCTCAAAATACAGATAACCCCAACTATACTAGTTTCTCACTTCTGCATCCACATTTGGGCTCAATTCCTGAGGATCGTAGTCGTAGAGCGCCAACATGCGTTTGACTGGCATGTTTTGGTAGGTGTCTCCCCATCGACGAGGTTGCCCCCCCTCCAGCTCCATCACCATGTTGTGGGGCACGTAACCCCTTCGACCTAAAATACAGTTAATTAGTATTAGTACTGGTAAAAAAACAGAATAACCGCGCGACCGGTTTTTGTGTATCGTGGTACTCATAAGGTCTTACCTCTGCTTTCCCCCCAATAGAACCCGTCGGCGTCCTTATCCCCCCACACCTTGATGGTCTCCCCCTCGTTGAAGGGCAGCTCCTCGTCGCAAGCGTCAGGATTGGGCGACATCGTCGACGGGTCGTAGTCGAAGAGGGCGACAAAGTACCGCGCCCTCTTCTGGGGGTTCGGGGGGTTGTTGGGGTTGTTTTGTTGGTTGTTCATCCCCATCGCCATGCCCCTGGAGCCTTGCATCTGCTGCGCTCGCATCTGGTTTTGCTGTTGCTGCTGCGCGTTGCCTCTTTGGTTCTGCTGCCCTGAAACTAAGGAGTACACTGGTGGACTTTAGATAGATCTGCCTTTTTTTACAAAGGGTTGGAGGTTAGTTAATTTTCAAGAGAAATGTATTAGTAGGTATATATAAGTCTGTGTTGTTTAAATTATACAGACAAGTTTTTTGAAGGTGTTGGTAATCTAGTTTCTATGTTTTTTATATTCTAGGATCTATGTACCTAAAGCATGTAAAATTTTGCGTCTATGGGAAAACCAAGCCTTTCCATTAAAAAACTTCATTTTATCGTTTTCATCTTTTATAAATACTAATTTTGTATTAAGCGTTTTACGAAAAAAAATTAAAATAAAAATTAAATGACTCGAGGGGGGGAATAAATTAGTACCAAAATTATTGCCCATACTCTTTTTATTCTTGTTTTTGTTTTTATTTTTTATTATCCTGTTCACGGTGGTCAAAACTTAGGTATAGGACGAACAAAAATGCCAACCAAAACTGATATTTTGATTATAGACCCTTTTGGTATCACTAACATGTATTTATCAAAATCCCAGCTGATCCTATTTTAAAGTTTTGCAAACTTTTTTGTTTTTCTATTTCTATATATTATTTTGCAATTATTGTACTAAACCAACTGTACAATTTTAATAAAATTAAGCAAAATAATAAACTTTGTATCATTTAAATTACTTTACTCCTCAGTATTAATTTATTAAGTCACCTATTATTTTTTACCACTCAAAACAAAAAATACTGGAAGTTTGTCTATGAAATAATTACAACTTGCAAATTTTGTAAAACAATAATTAAGGTGGTTAAAAAAATTGGCTATACGTTATAACGCCAGTGACATTTTGCTTTAGTTGTTTATTTAATGTATACTTTATAAAGTTAAAAATAGTATTTTAAAATGAAAATTAAACCGAAATTCAAGTTAAGCCATGAATAAAATCGAAAGAAGGTATGTGCTGGCTGTGGAGACAAAATTGTTTTTGGTAATCGAAAAATTCAGAGTTTAGGGTTTCTGAGAAAATATAAAAATTACTGCAGACTTTTTCAAACGAACGCTTTAACTTAAGTGATTCAAAATTACCTACTTCAATATGGTAAAAACGGTATTTTTCCATAGCCACAATTGCCAAATTTTCAAAATTTAGAAATTGCTAGAGAATTTCGCGGCAGCCAAGAATGTATGTGCTTTATCTGCAAAATGGCAAGATATAAAGGGCATCAAAAATTATTAAGGGAAGAAGACGGACGAACGAACTAAAGTTTTGATATGCTCTTCCTTCCTAGGAGATATCGCTAGATGTAAGAAGCATGTTTGTACAGAGACTGAAGAATTTAAAAATACTGTTTCCATATTAAAAACAATTCCATGTAAAACCCAAGAAAAAGTTTTACTGAAAATTTAAGGCAAGCAGTAATCGATTTTGCTTCAAAGAATCTTTAGTTATTTATTAGTTTTGTATTAGGTACCTTAAAACAATAAATAAGATATTGCATTTGATAATGGTACTAGAGTATTTTATCGAAATGGCATAAACAATTTTAAAATACTAAAAAATATACAAAACTTTAATAAAGGATCAGCTGGGATTTTGATAAATACATTTTTGTGTTACCAAAAGAGTCTGTAATCAGATTATGCTATCAGTTTTGGTTGGCATTTTTGTTCGTCCTATACTTTAGTTTTGACCACCGTGTGTTATACAGTGGAAGAAAAAATAGAAATGGTTTTGATTTATAAGGCAGGCAAAAATCTTGATGATGTTGTTAATATCTACACTTAGCGTTGAGTATGAGTAGAGACCCAAAACTAAGTACAATCCGGACTCCCCCCTAGTTTTAAGTCGAACTTGCTTTACTTTTAAGTCGAACTGCCTGTTCAGGTGGGTGGTTCAGGGACTCCGACGGGTGAGGTGGCAATTCACTTCACACTTTTAAACTTTTAGATATTTAGGTTTTAAAATGAACTGATTAAGCACTGTATACTTATGGAGTTTGGCTTAGTATACTATTAAGTGAATTGAAGTCGAAGGCCACCATTTTAAGCACCTACTTTAATAAAAATTCGAAAAGTAAAAATTGTTTTGAGCCTAAATTTTATTATTAATAATAACAACCAACCTCGAATCATTTAATTTTTGTTTTTAACATTTTTTCGTAAAATGTATAAATGTATATATATAATGTATAAATTGAGGTAAATATTGTTCCAAGTATTTGTTAATTAATTAATTGTATTATAAAAGTTAAATACGATAAACATGCTTCTTGATAAAGAACGAATAACTTTGCTAACTTAAGTTTCTAACTTTGTTTCCATTTTAACTCGGGACCTACCTTGTGACTTGTGTACCTACGTGTAAAAAAGGTGTCTGAAAAATGTCTTCGTGTTTTTTTTTGTAAAAACATCCATTTTACTAAAAGGAAGATTAATTAAGAATCCTTGTCCTTTGAAGAAGTTTTTATAAAATTTTTGGATAAAATATTTTGCTTAAGGTAATTATTTATGTAAAGGAATTTCTTGATACACGTAAAGGAAGATTATATAGAAGAAGAAACATAAATTATTATTTAAATTTCCCAGTGACGAAATGTTCCTCTGTGCCCCTTTTTACCTTGCTGGCAGTACTGAGAGTTTTGCGCTTGCTGCTCCTGCTGCCTCATCTGTTGCTGCTGCTGTTGCAACTGTTGTTGCTGCAGCTGCTGTTGTTGCAGCTGTTGCTGCTGCTGTTGTTGTTGTTGCTGGCTGGTCCTGTGCTGCTGGCGTTGCTGAAATTGCCTCGGCTGCCCGCGCCTATCCAGCATCTCGTCCTCTGACAAGTTCGGATCGTAATTTTCTTTCGTTATTTCTGCAACGGTTGTTCGTTGAGCAACTGTGATTTAGAAACAGCTTAGGTACATCGCATGGGGCTTTTTGTTGACACAGTCATATATACTTAAAATACATTACGGCTACCACGATATCATAAGAATCGTTGCTACGTATCTAAAAATGCTTTTTTACATGAAGATTGCAGAAACAATTCAACGTCGTTTGACATCAATAAAAAGTCTTTATTGACAAAAATCGGTCCTCTACATTTGAAATTAGTTACAAATTGAATTGAGACTTTATTATAATTCTCTCACAAAAAATACGGCTATGATGGCCAAATTATGATATCTAACAAACACTGCATCTATTGTATAACTTTTAAACTTATTTAAAAAGTCTTTAGTGTCAAAAATCGGTCTTCTACATTTAAAATCAGGTACAAATTGAATTGAGACTTTATTATAATTCTCTCACAAAAAATACGGCTATGATGGCCAAATTATGAAATGAACTTCCCAAATATCTAACAAACACTGCATCTTTTGTATAACTTTTAAACTTATTTAAAAAGTCTTTAGTGTCAAAAATCGGTCTTCTACATTTAAAATCATTTAAAAATTGAATTGAGACTTTATTATAATTCTCTCACAAAAAATACGGTTATGATGGTCAAATTATGAAATGAACTTACTATTACTATTTACGATTTATTTCTACAATCTTCACGTATAATCTATTAAACTGAGCATCTACTTACGCATCTACAAAAAATGTCCACTAAAAGCCTCAACTGCGTAAATTGTCTATATGTATAAAACCATGCGATATTCTAAAATAAACTAAAATGCTTACAAGTAACTCTGTAATCATTTAGTTAATAATATATGGATTGATATCAAAATTATTGTTAAATTAATATATTTGGCAGAATTACCTATCGAAGGTATGCCGGATTGCTGTCTGTGCATCGAAGAGTTCGGGAATATTTCCTTGTCGCTCAAGTTCTCATCGGGCTCGATAATCTAAACAGAGATTTTTTACTTGATATGTTACACAAATGGGGTAGTTAAATTTTTTCTGACCTATACTTTTTATGGTTTTATTCAAGGCGTTTTGTAATATTAAACATTTCTATGAAATCAGAATTTCAATTGAGTTTACCGTTTTCGAGATATTTACAAAAAATATAAATTTTTATGACGTCACAAACCTCGCCATGTGACCAACATTCTAAGATTTCTATTGGTTGAAAATTACCCTGTTGTCAAGTTGTCTTGTTAATGATTTCATTCGGTTATGTCAGAAAATACCCGAAGAGGTTATGTACAAATACTGTCACTGTCAGTTGAGTGAAAGAAGAAGAAGAGGAGGTTAAAGAAAATTCTGAAATTAAAAGTTTTATCGATAGGTTTACACATTGAAACACCGTGTGAAACCTAATAAAATGTAATAAATAGGTACCTAATAACTGTCTAAAGCAGAGTTTAATATATTTCATAGAAAAAAGTGGCAAAATAAAGCTGAAAATGAATTAAATAAATTTACAAAAAATAACAGTAAATGTAAGTTAACAATGGTATTTATGATATTTGTGTATAGTTTTTATAAAACTTGAATCCCTGATGATGAGCATCAAAACCTTTTGTAAGATTAAAAAAATGTATGACAAACTTTTGGACTGTTCGAAGATACTACGCTCTAGAGTACATTTTTGGTCACCAAATTCATTAAGTACCTATCTTCCTTATTACAAAGTATCATATTACTGTTTGATATTTTAGAGTCCAAGATATATCTAAAAGAATATAAAGAACTAGGCATTATACTAATGAAATGCATTTAAGACAAAATATGATTATAATTATAGGTACTTACTTTATTTGTTTAAAAGCTTCAATGTTCAATGTAACCAACCATTCCACAAGATTCCTCTGCTTTGGAGTCCGTTATTAATAAATCACTTATCTAATATCAATTACAAATAACATTACAATAACATTGATTTTCAATAATCTAAATTTAAAAAAAACATAACCCGAAAAAAAGAAACGTCAAAAAATCAATTCTTCTTCTTCTCAACTAAAATTATAGATCAAGTGGTTTTAAAACTAAAATATTATAACGTGGCGCCATCTATCGTAAGAATCTTAAACTAAACACACTGGCAACCATAGAAAAAGCTGGCAACGTTGTCAATAGCCTAGTGACGTAATTAGGAGATTTTTTTTTGTAAATATCTCGAAAACGGTAAACTCAATTGAAATTCCGATTTCACAGAAATGTTTAAAACTACAAAACGCCTTGAATAAAACCATAAAAAGTATAGGTCGGAAAAAATTTAACAACCCCATTTGAGGGAAGAGTGTTCACCTGTTGCCCCTGCTGCTGCTGCTGCTGCCTGGACATGCCCTGCCGCAGGTGAGGCGGCAACACCGCCGAGTGCGGCTGCTGCCTCGACTTGACGACGCCGCCTCTGAGCACGCTCATCGGGATCGGCGTGGCAACGCTGTCGTTCGACTGGCAGTCGCGCGCTTTTGTTCTGACGGTCACGTGTTTCGGGTTCAAGCCCAGCAGCTTGCTGATGTCGATGAGCGCGTGGTCGCCGGTGGGACTGTCCACGTCCGTCACCTTTTTGCCGTCGGCGTAGACCGCGTAGCCGGTGATGGCCGAGCCCGGGTGGTGGGGGGTGAGCATCGGGTGCCACGTCACCAGCAAAGTTCCGTCCTGCGGCCCTGTAAAATAATAAAATACAATAACTATTGATTATCATCCAACCGGAGAAGAAATGTGGACAGCGCGGTCCCTATTCCCCCACCCAAGTAACAAATGTGACTCTTGGCTTTTACTTAAATATTATGTCAAAGCTTTGAAAAGATGTTGCTTTATTATGGGATGTCATTTATACCCTTATAAAACCATTAAGCTTTATGGCAGTATATTGGTTTAAAGGGTTCTTAAAAAGTATATTTTATGGAAACAGTAAAAACCAAATTTCTGGAGGAGACCGTCCTAAGACTATTTTTTTACAGCTAATACTTTAATCTGCTTTATTATACTTCTGTGTGCTAGCTTCTTAAGAGCAGTTTATCTCGATGGCAAAACATTAAAAGGCATTTTAGATTTAAAACTAAATTACTTATATTATAGGTAGTGTCGTATTCAGGTTATTAGCACACGGGAGATCGAATAAGAAAATAAATTATAGGTTATAATTATTAGGTGTAAAACCACTTTGTTTCCAGAAAAGAAATGTTCATTTAAATTAAAATAAACACTCTAGTGCCCGGCAAACGGAAAATTGTAGAAGTGTATAGGATGACGCCACGTTTGAATATAGTTTTCCAAATCTCGCCACGGTATAGAGTTGTATTCGTCAGTCGAGCGTTTCAATACTCTCCACAGTATAGAGGTCGTAATTTGACTTTAGAACTAGTATTAATATGAAAATTATTTTATGTTTGAAAAACAACTATATACGAGATGATTATGATTTTTTTCATTTTATAAATTAATTAAGCTGTGTTTAATATTTTTCCTATAGGAATAATTTCCAATGGGTCATTAATTCATTTGTTCGTAGATGCTACAATAACCTGTACTTTTTGATCAACCATATTTAAATATTGCTGTACTAACATATATCTACCAGTGGAGATAGTGCAGAGCTCATTACTAAATTATTAAAGTTTAATAGCATATCGATCGTTTTTTCAACATAACCTCTGACATTTTTGATACAAATATAGGTACTTTATATAATACATACATCATATCCTCTGTGCTTTACATACCTGAGTTGCTTCGGTAAACAAAAATCAGACAAAGGAAGCAAAGAAAGGAACTGTTTTCAACAAAATCATATGCAGAAATGATAATATTCAAAATACTTGCATCCATCAAAAGATCAAAACTTCTTGCACTATTGAATTACACCCTCTTTTTATGCTCTCAGAAATATTGACTAGAGCAGTATTAGAAAGACTCCAGTATCTGTAACTTGGTAGAGTAAAGCGAAGTCGAAACCGTTGCAATATTGCATTGCGCGGTTTTTTTATAATTCTCGGGGACATTAACGAAAATCATTGCCAGTAAAATTCGAAAAGCTTGAGTTTCTATGTCTCTGAAGATAATAAGAATCCGAAGTTGCTGCACCATTGGACTGAACCCTTTTTTAATAATTTCTAGAGACATAAATGACTGCACCATTCGACAGGGTCGAGTTTCTACCTCTCTGTTGAATATAGAAAATCAAAATAATGTATCTTGTAAGACACCATTGAGTGTAACTTTAACTATAGTCGTGCATAGGTATAGAGGCGAAAAATATAAAAACAAAGCACGACTCAATACAGTTCTAATAAAACTTAAAGATTTAGTATTCAAACGGGGATTCATCCTATACACTATATTTTTAAGTTTGCTGTGTGATTACCTTGTTAACTGCCTATTGATTTTATGACATAGTTTTTAGGTTTTAATAAAATGAATAGGCCTTGAAGGCAACAAAAGGATTCTCCTTTTTGGTTCTAAAAAAGTCTTAAGCCTGCTGTTACAGCAACAATAAAACCTAATGTGTTACTTGGGCAGGGTGTTTATGGGAAAACAGCTTACCTGGTTCAACTAGTATATCACTGGGCGGATCTGGCAGTCCTTTGGGCAGCGTCCTGAAGTCCGTATGAGCGGCAGCAGGCATAGGCAGATCTTCGGCCAAATTGGCCACGTTCTGCGCAGCTCTGTGGTGCTTGGCGCGCACAGTCACCCTGTACTGCGTATTAGCAGTCAAACCTGAAAAATGAAATTAAAGATAAACAATTTCGGTCCACGGATTAGTAAACTGTGTCCGTTTTAGGTTCAGTCAACCTTAGCTTATAATTAGTATAAATATGGTAGATTTAGCCAAGTTCTCACCTGTTATGGTGTGCCTGTAGACGCCAGGTTTCACACACCGCACCTCCACGTTGTTCACGCAGACGACGTGCTGATGATTCGAGTTGGCTGGTAGCCAGCTGATCACAGCCGACGTTGAGGTTATGTTGGTCGCTCGTACAGCGCTAGGTCCCAGGGAATGGGTGTCCCGGCCTATGATCATGGTACAGGCGGCATCTCGAGATGTGCGGCGGTTGGCTGTCACCGAGCGAACGCTTATTCGATGAGGCTACAAGAAAGAATTTTACTATTTTTCAACGTAGTTACCTTTAACCCAGAGAACCACGGTTGGGGAAAGAAATAGTCCTATATAGAGACCACTAGGATAAAAGAACACAAAACACAACCAACAAAAGGGGAAACCACGAAATCTGGATTAGCTGAAGATGCATGCTACATACATCAGCCAGAATAACAATATTTTCAGCATACCAAGCGCTGTGGAAACCAATCCTACACAAGATTAAGCAGTTCCAGCTCAATGAACAAGATCGACCAGCTATTTAAACAAAAGTTTCGAAATATTTTACCATTATCACCTGAAGACGATTAGAGACAACCAATCGAAACGTTGTGAAAATCAAGAAAACCAAGATAATAATAATAATAATAATAATAATAATACTTTATTAATCCAACAGACAACAGTCCATATAAAGGATATAAATTATTTAGATTACAGTGACAAATTACAGTTATATGTAGGTTGATAAATTTAAAATAGCTAATTAGGACAAAATATCATAAATAAAACAACTTATCCTATAGGATAATGAGCGAATAATTCGAACAAATGAATTTAAATTTTGGTTAAAAATATCACAATTATTCAAAATTTGGTTATAAGTTCTACACATCGACGTCAATGAGCATGCATGTGCTGGTTGTTTGAATAAGCATTTAAATAAAAAGTTGGACAAAATCTTGCATTTACTCTAGGCACCTGAATATTGATTTTTAGTAGTTGTTCAGAGTCCAATATTAACCCATTAATTAGCTTATATAAATAAATTAATCCTGCATTTCGACGACGCATTTCAAGACTTTCCATATTAAGGTAAAAAAGTGCAGTTTCATAATCAAAATCTTTTAAAGGATAATAGCCATTAATCTTAAAAAACAAGTATTTACAAAATCTCTTTTGAACTCTTTCAATATTATCAATATGAACAAAGTAAAATGGTGACCAAATAACACATGCATACTCAAATTTACTTCGAACAAATGCAAAAAATAAACATTTTATAGCTTGAATATTAGTAAATTGTTTAGAGTTTCTAATCACAAACCCCAACATTCTATTTGCAGATGCAACTGTATTGTTAATGTGTTGAACAAATGGAAGTTTACCATCAAACAGAACACCCAAATCCCGCATTGTATCCACTCTTTCAACTTTTTCCGAACCAATTGCATACTGAAATGTTATGCTGTTGATTTTTCTTGATAATGTCATTACATTACATTTCTTTATATTTAATAAAAGCCGATTTCCTACACACCACGCATCCAATACACTCAGATCGTCTTGCAAAAGATGACAGTCATTTATGGTATTAATTGATCTGAATATCTTGAAATCGTCTGCGTATAACAAATTTGATGATTGAATATTACAGGAAATATCATTAACAGATATGAGAAACATCAATGGACCAAGATTGCTTCCCTGTGTTATACCACTAGTAGCGTGATACACATCAACTCAATGTATTGAACTCTCTTCGAAAGATATAATTTAAATAATGAAATCATTGACCTAGAAAAGCCAAAGGAGTCTAATTTCTTTAAAAAGATACCATGGGGAATTCGGTCAAACGCCTTGTTAAAATCGGTGTATATCACATCCACTTGTTTTTTTGCATTAAGAGCTTCAGATATATATTCTGTGAAATTGCAAAGATTTGTTACAGTTGAACGTTTTTTTACAAAACCATGCTGAGATGGGTTTAATTGAGGTGATATATGGCAATAGATATATTTTGTTAAAATAGTTTCAAATAACTGCAAAATTACAGATAATGGCAATTGGTCGATAATTTTCAATGCAATCCTTATTACCTGACTTAAATATTGGGCAAATACGTGCAATTTTCCATTGATTTTGAAAATCATTTGTTTGAAGATGACGACATTACTACAATTACCTACAACTACTTCATCTACCAACACCAAATCACTATATACTAGGGTGTTTCAAAAAAATCGACTTTTTCTTTTTCTTCAAATGGTCAGCAAATTCTTTCAGAGGATGTCAAAACAAAGACCTCGTTAAAATTTGAGCTTTTAATTTGAAGATTTAGAGGTCGCGGATCGCAATTTTCTATTTCCCATTTAAATAACATAGGAATTTTTTTTTTTAACTTTGGAATTTTATACTTCTATATCGAATCAACTTATGGCAAGGAACATCTTAGATTTTTATAGTAAATTTAACGCTCTATAAAAAATGTCTCTTATAATTTTTCTATAAATTGATTTCTTCCAGAGTTATTCGAGGCCAAAGTTTGATTTCCATCGAATTTTCTCGTTTTTTCAACTTTTAGCATCATGTAGTAAAAAAATCACATATTTATATCTGAAACATAGGAAGTGTTGTAAAAAAAAACAAGAAAACAAAAAAACGTCACTTTTTTCCAAAGCCTACTACAAAGTTTTAATAAAAATATGAGATGTATATAATATGCAGAGTAATTTATTTATAAATGCATTTTTTTCGAAAATGGTGCATCTGAGCAATTCAAATCAAGAGTACCTATTTTTCGTACAAAACTGTAAATTCTCATAATTTCATAAAAAAAATTAAATTATTAACCCAGAAAAAAGTTGGGGCTATTTTTGTAACTTTGCCCCCTCCAAATGTTACGCCTATGATTAAATTTTAACAGTTTTGATCATAGATCTAGATTCAGCATGTCAAAATTACCAAAGTACCAAAAATTCATTTGTTCATGTTCAACCCTCTAGAAATAGTTTTAAAAAAATTATCCTCTTAGGCTCCTATTCAGGGGGCCGTAGCTCCTTTAGGGAGCATTTTTTGATACATGTTTATTAAACAAAAAAAGTGTTATTTTTATACGAATAATGCACTGTTTAAGTTTGGCCCCCAGATTTCGGGACACGCGTATAATGATAATTGTACCATAAATGTTAAAAAAACGCGAAAATTCGATGGAAATCAAACTTTGGTCTCGAATAACTCTGGAAGGAATCAATTTATAAAAAAATGATAGGAGACCTTTTTTGTAGAGCGTTAAATTTACTATGAAAATCTAAGATGATCCTTGACATAAGTTGATTTGATTCAGACGTATAAAATTTCAAAGTTAAAATTTCCATGTTATTTAAATGGGAAATAGAAAATTGCGATCCGCGACCTCTAAATCTTCAAATTAAAAGCTCAAATTTTGACGAGGTCTTTATCTTGACATCCTCTGAAAGAATTTGCTGACCATTTGAAGAAAAACAAAAATTCGATTTTTTTGAAACACCCTACTATATACCTATAACTTAGTAATAACTATAGTTAGTTAGGTATATGGTTTTAACTTGATATGGCTCTCTGGGGAGATTGATACACTTTGCCCTAAAATAGACACCTGTTTCAAAAATGACCTACCCGGTTGGAGTCGACGCCCTCAACCAAGGCTCTGGTCCTCTCGGTGGCCTTGATGGTGGTCTTCAGCACCCCGTCAACGTAAACGTGGTAACTCTCGATCTGGTTGCCCGGACCGACGTCCGGTTGCGTCCAGCTGATCAGCACGCTCTTGTTGAGCTGGCGCTCGAGCGTCAGCTGTTTCGGGGCGGGGACTAGCACCGAGAAGAAAAGATCTGTCAGAAAAGCTGTTTAGTGCGGCTAACGAAACGGGACGTTGTGCTGAACCGGGTAACCTAGAGGTAGCGTTTTGGTCAACTCCGCAATTGTTTTGATTCTTTCTTGGTTCTCACCATGGTGAGATTTTTTGTTTTGTTGTTTTTTTTCATGTGTTGATTTGTTTTGTTGTTTTTAAAATATAAAAAGGTGGAAGAAGGAGCAAGACCAATAAAAAACGAGTATTTTTTAAATCATGCTTTTTTGTTTTAAGAACTTAACTCCTCAGGGTGTCCCAGAACTCGCCACAGAGAAAGGGCAACCTTGTAACGAAATTAAAGGTGCTCCTTAACGCATTAGAACAGCGAAAAATAAGGAGCAATGCCTTTGATGCAAATAGTAGGAAGAGCACAAGGGAAGTTGCACGCAGTCTGGCATCTCCATTGCTATCAGCGTGTTCTGGGACACCCTGTATAAGGAATAAAACTAAAAATGTATACAACGTGTTTAAAATTATTAAGTAATAATTTTTAAAAAAATGTGTAAAGTAAAAACATTCCATTAGGCACAATATTATTATAAACCTTGTTGAGAAACACATTCCAATATTATTAAAAAAATAAATAAAATAAAAATATTATAAAATTTTACCAAAATATTTATTTAATACTTTTTTAATTATTAAAACGATGTTTTTTGTCAAAAAAACAAAATGATTTTTCATATTTGGTCACTCTCTTCTACTTATTGTAATTTAATATTATGTACAGGGTGATCCTCTATAATGTCGCCCCCCTTTAACTTTTTTATTTTAAGTGTCTCAAAAAATTTTAAAGTGTCGTTATGTAGGTACTAAAAAATACTTTTTTTCTATAGTATATGTATAAAAAGGTTAATTTATTTCAATGGATCACCCTATATATGAAATTATTTTTCGATTCCTTGTAAAATTCTGAGCATAATTCATATAACAAAACATATACCTACCTAAATTCAACCGTTTCTGAAATATTCGCATTTGAAATGTTATCATTAAATTGAAACAATTCATCGCGATGTGCCTAATTTAGATAAATTATGAATTTAAAACAACAAACACTGTTTTAAATCCAAAATTACCCAAACTGTTTAAAGTGAGCCAAATAATGTTTGTAAATAAAAAAAGTAAAAAAAAAATCTAAATGTCTTCAAAATTGTCTAAAATAATTAAAATTCTTTAAAAACTATTGGTTTATTGGACTAAAATGGCCAATTTTCTATTACGAGTATTATGTTGCAAAAATGGCGAATGCGCCGGGAGTAATAATTAAATATTATTTTCTCGATTTTTATGTAAGAATGTCATATTCTCGCACGCAAAATCGTTGAAGAATGAAGCTCATTCTTAAACGATTTTTGGTAACATTTAGTTTTTAAGTATTGGTACCCCCAAAATGTCAAACTGTTTAATAACCTCAAATTCATTACTTTTATTAAAAATGAAGCCTTTATGATTGTTTTGTAATATTAAGTTTGCTCCAACAATGCATTTTAATGCAAAATTTTAAGTTTTATGTGAAAAAGTGCAGTTCAGGTTGTACTTGTGCAGGATAACAAATATTGTCATTTTGTGTTGCCAACTGACATTTTGCGAGAAAAATCCCCCAACTAACAACGACCACAAAACAATTAAAAAAACCTAAATAAAAGTTAAAATCGAGAAAATAGTATAAATCCCACGTTGCAGAAGGCTATTCTCGCACTCATTCGTTCGTCCACTCGCTCCTTCGTCGCTCGAGGCCAAATTTCGAATTCGTGCGAGAATATGTGGCCTTCTGCAACTTGTACTTTAATATACTATTAATTCATAAGATATTTGGGAAAATAATAAAATTACTTTTTTTATATTTTAGTTAGTTTTTATCAGGATTATTGGTATATAAATATACAGGGTATTCCGAACATGGGGCACTATTGCCATATCATACCACAAAAATTAAAAACAATTAAGCGCATTATTTATTAGGTATACAGTGAAAAATTCGGCTTTTTTTTCAAAAAAATCCTTAACCAGGTCAATTTTGTTTTTCAATTATGCACATTTTGATGAACAATTTTCCTATTTTTCGCCTTTCTAAAAATATTTAATTTTCAGTTTATTATTGTTTTTTGTTATTCTACAAATAGCAAGGGTCGATATATAGTAAATTTAAAAGGTAACGACGTACACGTCATCGATGACGTCATAATTTTGCGCACTGGTACCAATACTAAACGTATAAAACGAAGTCTGTAATTGAATATTTTAAGGCATTTTAACCAAATTAAAATTTTGCATAATAAAATGACACATAGAAAAATAAATTGTCGTTTTAGAATTTTGAAGCTGTCAGTTGTGTTTTTGAATATTTCGTTTAATTCGTGTATAATTTCTTTTATTTTGTTTGTTGTTTGTGTTATTTTACATCGTTTAAGTTTTCATTGCCGTTTTTGTGTTTGTTATATGTCGTTTTTTTGTTTTTCCTATATTTAAAATGCCGAAGCATTTAAATAGTCGGAGTCAAGAGTTGGTATCATCCTTAATACGCTATTTTGAGGCAGAAAGGGATAAAAATGGACCTTTGTTGCCTTTAACAGCCGTTAGAGAGGTAAATAGGATTATTATTAATTATATAATAGAACATTTAACAAAATATATGTTGGATACATAAAATAATAATATAAATACCAGAGACTGACTTTAGATGGCAAAATTCCTGGGTTTTATAGCTGAAAATGTCTTTAAAAATGGCTAAAAACATACTTTTGGCGGTGCATCATATAGGTTATAAAACTCTGACTTTTGACAGTTTGGTATTCTAAGGTCCCAACTCTAGGGACCCTATGGTATTATTCATGTAAACGCCATCTATCGCCCTTTAGTTGCACTACCACTTTCACTTGATGCAATGATTTTAGCATCACATTGCCCGATCAGCTGATTGATGACATGTACGTCGTTTTTTATTTTATATGTTTGTTAGCATATAATTTAAAACAAATATTCACTACTAGATGTAAAAACTAAACTTTTTTAGTTTATTGTTAAGTAAAAATTACCCTATATATTTGAACCCCCCACTGTGCAAATAATATAATATTAATATACAAAAAAATAATTTGGTAAAATTTTATATTACCTATGCTATTATAATTAAGGGTGGGTAAACCTAGAAGAAAATAGTAGATTATAGAATATTATAGGGGTTAAATAAGATTATTTATAAAATTCATTCCAAAAATAATAATTAATAAACAAATAAACAAACCAAAAATATGTGTAAAGTTAAAGGTGTAGGTATAACAAGATGCTTAATCTACAGGGTGTTAGAATGTGGCGAGTGACTAATCATTGAGTGTATAAAGCTATTATTGTTGAAGAATATGAATATATTAAATATTATAACAATCGCTATGGAATAAAAGGAATTACTTGTAAGATTGCTGTCTTCTGGCATTAAAATTTTTTGTGTTTTATTTAGGTCGCTACTGCTAACAACTCTACAACCTATAAAACACGAAAAATATCGTTTTAAAATCTTATTTTAGTTACACTGGCCAACAATAAGTTTGCTATTTTAACACCCTTAGTTTTACTTATTTGAAAACAAAATTTCAAAAAGGAATAATACCAAATGGATGAACGCTGGCCAGCAAGATCACCGGATTCGTCTTCTAAGGATTTTTGAGGGGGGGATATGATTTCCAGCTTATACGAACATGAAAGGGGGGAAGGAAAAAAATGGTGCCAATTTAGGTGAAGTATAACTGTCATAAGAATATCAATTTAAGCTCAAATATTACTGTATTAAAAATGGCAACTAAAGCCAGTTAGTCTTAAGAATGTCAATTTAAGCTAGATTATAACTGCCTTAAGAATGTCACCTTAAACTTGCTATTACTGTTTTAAAAATGTCAATTTTAGGTGGATATAACTGTATTTAGAATGTCAATTTATGCTATACATGACTGTTTTCAGAATGTTAATTTAAGCTAAAATATTACCGTTAAGAATGTTAACAAACCAGATTTAAATGTCATGAATGTTAATTTAAGTTAGAGTATAACTGCCTTAAGAATGTCAGCTTAAACTTGCTATTACTGTTTTAAAAATGTCAATTTTAGGTGGATATGACTGTATTAAGAATGTAAATTTAAGCTATACATGACTGTTTTCAGAATGTTAATTTAAGCTAAAATATTACCGTTAAGAATGTCAACAAGCCAGATTTAACTGTCATGAATGTCAATGTAAGCTGGATATGCTGTATTAAGAATGTCAATTTAAGCTACAATATAACTGTCTTAAGAATGTGAAGCTAGTTATAACTGTCTTAAAAATATCAATTTAAGCTAAAATATAACTGTTTTAACAATGACAACTTAAGCCAAATTTGAATGCATTAAGAATGTAAATTAAGGCTACAGTATAACTGCCTTAAGAATGTCAGCTTAAGCAAGTTATAACTGTTTTAAAAATGCAATTTATGCTGAATATTCTGTATTAAAAATGTCAATTTAAGGTAGATATAACTGTTTTAAGAATGTCAGCTTAAGCTAGTTATTACTGTTTTAAAAATGTCAATTTTAGCTGATTTAGATAAAGTCTAACGATAATTAAAATATTACCTATAATTATTATTATAAGGGTTATTTTAAGGGTTCACCCAAAGGTTAGAAATTTAATTTACAATATTTGTTAAATTTGATACTTTTTATACAAAAATAGCAGGACCGTAAATTTTGTGGGCCAGTGTATTTTTCTACTAGTGGATTGCATCACAGAACAAATGCAAAAAATTTTCATGTTGTGCCAATCACGTCAAGGTCACTAGATAATTTATTAAATTGACTCAACATTTTTTATTTTTTATAGGTACTCAACTAACTAATACAATTTTACAAAATTGAGCCAACTTTTTATCTAGAACCTTGGCGAAAAAAGTTGAATATAGGGTTAAATTTCATGCCCTAACTTACCGGGTACCAAAATGTCTGTACTTTTCTTCGCACCTAGCAGACAAAAATCAAAATGTCAAAATAAAAATCTTAAAAACAAAGGTATTTTTATTTTTTCCAGAAGACAGCACTTTTGATTTTTTCGATGATAACCTAAATTGTCTAGACTTCATGCTTAATTTTGTAACTTTAAACTCTATCATTCGCCTATTTGAAGCTGAAGCTAAGCTTCTATGGCAAGGTTAACATTAGCTAGAATAGCTATTTAACAAAAGCAAGTTGTACTTTTTAATTAACTAAAAAGCAAGTTCTATATTTGTTTCCATCGAGTTTTAGAACTTCGTATTTTAATTAAAAAATATTTCAAAAAAGAAGTTTATTTAGGTATAATCTTTTAGGTCTTTTTTGAAATAGTTTTTGAGCTGACTAAATGTACCCTTTAGACTACCGGTTTAAAAATATAGTCCAGTTACTTTAGGTTTTATAAAAAAGGCATTTTCTATCATCAGGACAAATGTCCAAATTTTTCGATAAAAACCTAAATCAACTGGACTTAATACAACGAAAACAACATATCTACAATAATTTCTAACATCAAAAAACGTCTAATTTCTATGTTCAAAAAGCCCACTATTTTTTCGAATCCTGTCTAATTCTTTTAACGACTTTTACTTACTTCTCATAATTTTAACTGCAATTTGGTTTAGTATAGATATGGAAAAAAGTTTTGTTTTAATTTTTGCCTAGAAACTTTGCTACAATTACAATTTTATCGTTATTTGGAAGCTAGTTTTTTTAAGCTTAAGTTTTTGTAGACTAAATAAACATATTTGCTAATTTATTGTTGTGAAAAATATACGATGTGGTTTTGTTTGTAAGTTGTAGCTTTTTATTTGTTATCGTGTAATATGTTATATACATAAACATGTAGGTATAACTGTCAGAATATCAATTTAAGCTACAATATAACTGTCTTAAGAATGCCAAGCTAGTTATAAGTTTTTAAAAAATATAAATTTAAGCTAAAATATTACTGTCTTAAGAATGGCAACTAAATCCAAATTTGACTTTACTAAGAATGTAAATTTAAGCTACAATATATCTGTTTTTAGAATGTCAAGCTAGTTATAACAGTCTAAAAAATATTATTTTAAGCTAAACAATTACTGTCTTAAGAAAGCCAAATTTGACTATTAAGAGTGTCAATGTAAGCTGGATATGCTGTATTAAGAATTTTAATTTAAGCTACAATATAACTGTCTTAAGAATGTCAAATAAAGCAAGAGTATTTATACTCTTATACATTCTTAAGACAGTTATAACTGTTAAGAATGTCACCTTAAGCTAGTTATTACTGTTTTAAAAATGCCAATTTTGTGACTGTAATAAGAATGTCAATAAGCCAGATTTAACTGTCATAAATGCCAATTTAAGCCAGAGTAGGTATAACTGTTTTTAAGAATGCCAGCTTAGGCTAGTAATAACTGTTTTAAAAATGTCAATGTAAGCTGTATATGCTGTATCAATTAAGAATTAATTTATGAATTTCAGCTTAAGCTAATCTTTACTGTTTTAAACATTTCAATTTAGGCTGGATATGACTGTATTAAGAATGTCATTGTAAGCTATATATAACTGTTTTCAGAATGTTTTAAGCTAAAATATTACCGTCTTAAGAATGACAAGCCAGTTTTAACTGTCATGAGTATAACTGTCTTAAGAATGTCAGCGTAAGCTAGTTATAACTGTTTTAAAAATGTCAATGTAAGCTGGATATGCTGTATCAAGAATCAATTTAAGCTAAAGTAAGAATGTAAATTTAAGCTACAATATAAATTTCTCTGTTTTTAAAATGACAATTAAAGCTACAATTTAACTGTTTTAAGAATGTCAATTTAGGATACAATATAACTGTTTAAAAAATGTCAATCTAGGTATAACTGTATTAAAAATATCAATTTAAGCTAAAATATTACTGCCTTAATAATGTCAACTCAAGCTAGATATAACGGTCTTAAGAATGTTAATTTAAGCTAGAATATAACTGTCTTAAGAATGTCAGCTTAAGCTAGGTATAACTGTTATTAAAATGTCAATTTAAACTGGATATGCTGTATTAAGAATGTCAATTTAAACTACAATATAACTGTCTTAAGAATGTCAAGCTAGTTATAACTGTCTTAAAAATATCAATTTAAGCTAAAGCTAGTTATAACTGTTTTAAACTTGTCAATTTAAGCCGAATATGCTGTATTAAGAATGTCAATTTAAGGTAGATATAACTTTTTAAGAATGTCAACTTTGGCCAGATTTAACTGTCTTAAGATTTTTAATTTAAGCTAGAGTATTTAAGAATGTCAGCTTAACCTTAATATGACTATTAAAAATCAATTTAAGCTAGATATAACTGTTTTAAGAATGTAAACTTAAACCAGGTTTAACTGTTTTTAAGCTAAAATATTACTGCCTTAAGAATATCAACTCAAGCTAGATATAACGGTCTTAAGAATGTCAACTAAAGCTAGAATATAACTGTCTAAAGCTAAGTATAACTGTTTTTAAAATGTCAATTTGAGCTGGATGTAACTGCTTTACGAATGTAAATTTAAGCTACAGTATATTTTAAAAATATCAAGCTAGGTATAACTGTCATAATAAAAAGTATCAATTTAAGTAAAAATATTACTCTCCTAAAAATGTAGTCTTAAGGTAGATATAACTGTCTTAAGAATGTCAACTTAAGCTAGATATAAGTACAGTTTTAGACATGTCTAGAATTTTAAGCTACAACTTCAAACAAATAACAAAATCTACAACAAAATAACGTCACAATAGTGCCTCGGTGAACACACAATATCAAGTAAACTGCCACAATTACTTTTTGAACATCGCGCATCAAAATCAAAACGGAAGTTCGTCAAAAACTAAACACACCGAATGCATCAACACGTTACACACAGTTTGCGTGCAAAGTTGGTTGCCTACCTTGCTCACCTTCGGGCCCATCGTCCTCGTGCGCTTCCGACATTTCCGCCAGCTCGTTCAGTCTTTGAACGTCGGCCGCGAAGTTCTCCTGATTTATCTCCTCTTCCCTCAAAGTGCTCAGCACCGCCTGGTGGAACTCCAACAGGTCCTCACCTAAAAATAATGGGTGTTTTTTTAAAACCCGTCACACCATCTAAAGGTACGCCCCCCCCCCCTTCCCCTTTAATATCCCTTCTTATCTTCCTCAACCTTAACAGTTCAAAAATATCTTGTATGGAGTTTTTAGTTATTCAATTTTAAATGATAAAACATTGGTAAGTTATAATATATAAAGGGTGGGTCATGTTTATGTTGAATTATATAATAGCAATGAGAACAAGAAAAACTGATTTTTTTCAACGAATTTTGCTTTATTTGATACAATGTTTCTTCCGATTAAGTATGGAACCAATTTTCGAGCACTTTGTCAAAAGTTTGCTGCTCTATTTAGGCAATTTGAGCTTGAATGTTTTGTTTTAAATGGTGAATAGGCTTTGTTACGGCGACGTGTGGATTTTCCGTGGCCCAAATCCTACAGTTTTGCTTCTTGACATAACATCCGAGGTAAAATGCGCCTTATCCGAAAAGATAATTTTTCTTGCAAAATTAGGGTCATCGTTCAACTGGTTTAAAGCCCACTCAGCAAAGCGAAAACGTTGTGGATGGTCAACTTGCATTAACTCCTGAACAAGCTGGACTTTGTACGCAAACATACCGAGGTCTTTGTGCAGAATCATCCCCAGAGTGGTACGGGAAAGGCCGAGTTGTTGACATCTGCGCCGAGTTGATGTTGACGCGTTCATGCGTACATTTTCGGCAACAGCAGCGATTGCTTCAGGTGTGCGTCTAGGACGAGCATGCGAAACATGTTTTATGTCCACCAGCATTCCATTTCTGCGCAATTTTTTGATCAAATTTGTAATACTTTGGTTTGACGGCGCCTCATTTCTGCCAAACGCAATTTTCTTGCCGTCTCTGCGATCACAGTCACATTCAAAGTAAGTTTGGAGTATTTCGAAAAGTTGATCCAAATTTATTCGGTGCATATTTTGTAATCGGAAGGTTAAAACTAAACCACTGTCAGCAATTCATGGCGCTTAAGTTGAAAGCTTCAATATTAGCACGTAGTTTAAAATTAAACTTATAGATGGCCCACCCTTTACAAGATGAGTCTTTAAACTTAAAACTTCCAGCAGATTTTTCGTAAAATGCCTATTTACTGAGATATTTCAAAGCTTAAAGTTAAAAGGCTTTATACCGCATTTTCATTTGAAACCGGAACACTCGAGTGAACCCGAGTGAATCCGATCGCCCCTCTCCAGATGAATTGTAAGCAGATTGCCGGCGTAGGCGACGATTCAGTTAGGTTTTGCATTTGCTAGTGTGTATTTCGAGCGTTTTAACGAAAGAAATTAATTTATGTTAAATTTAACATAAATTAATTTCTTTCATTTAAAATTATAATGTCCTACACATTGCAAGAGAAAATTGACATGATAAGCTGGTCTTTAGTGGGCAATTCTCTACGTCAAACAAGACACCTATTCACAGTTAAATATCCGGAACGTTCTATTCCTTCAATTGGAACAATAACAAACGTTATCCAAAGGTTTAAAACAAATGGTTGTATTTTGGGGTGTAAATGTCACAGTACTCCCAGAATTGATGTAGATACGGAGATAAAAGAAATAATGGTTTGTGCAATGGTAGAAGAAGATTCAAATACATCAATTCCTAAGATAGCCGAAGAGACCGGCATTAGTGTGGGTAAAGTACACAAAATATTAAAAAAATATATAGTTCCTATAAATACCAAGTACGACGAGTACTGGAGAATGGAATTTTGTGAAAATATGATGAAATGCGCAAATGAAGATGAAAACATAGTATTTACCGACGAATCTACATTTCCATTACATGGAAAGCACAATCCTGCTATTGTCCGGTACTGGTCTAATGAAAATGAGTACAGGCAACTAAACTTAAGGACTCAGTAACCTGAAAAGTTGAACTTGTGGTCTGGTATTTATGGGAATAATATTATTGGTCCCTTTGTAATTGGTGGCAATTTAATTGGATCTTCTTCAAAATAGAATTATTCCTGCAATCCAAAACATAACCCGAAATTTGGATAACGTTTGGTATCAACAGGACGGTTGCCCATCGCATAACACAAGAATAGTGATGGAGTATTTACAAGACATTTTTCCCCAAAGGATAATTTCTACCAGGGGCGCTATTCGCTGGCCAGCAAGGTCGCCAGACTTGGCTCCTAACGATTTTTTCCTTTGGGGATATGTAAAATCTACCTTGTACTGTCATGCAAAAATGAATAATTTGGGCGAATTAGAGGCAAGAATGCATACAGCGTTTGAGACAATTACTCCAGATGTGCTAGCTAATGTTCGCACCGAATTTTATGACAGACTGGGGTTTTGTTTGACGCAATTTGGGGGAACGTTTTTTTATAAGAAAACACTTAGTTAAATGCAAAACAAATAATGATTTTACACCTTTAATTAGTAATTTACTGTTAAAAGTCACCAATGGTGAAGGTTCTACTGCTGAATTACGAATACCTTCTCTACGTCTCCCACTCTTAAAAATTATTCTCCCACTCTTAAAAATCGAGTTCACTATAGTAAACTTCATTTTACAAGTCTATAAAGTATGAACTGTAAATTTAATTGTAGTCTTATGAAACTTGCTTTTTACTTATAATTAAGAAATATTATAATATTTATACCTATTAAACGTTGCACAAAATGAGATGGCACCAATCCTCGTCTTCCGTCCAATAACTCTGCGTCCAGATAACCACTGGGCCCAACGGGTTCCCCCCATACCAATAGATAGTCGCCAGCTTGTATACTAAGCTCTTCTTCAGATTCTGGTTCAGGATCGTAAGAAAATCTAAAAAAAAGTGACGCTTTGTTTTTTGTCCTAATTTTTTGGCAATTAAGAACAAATTTGGAATGGATACTCATTACTTTTGCCAACATAAATTCGTTTTTTAAAACTTTAAAATATATATTTGGAACTAAAAAAATTACCGCGGATTTTAATTTAACATTTATGCTTTGTTTGATTGATTGATTTTTCACTTTTTATTGTGTATAACTGTGGTAAAAGTACAGTTTTGATTAAAACTTTTTACAGGCGAGTAATTCATCGATCTGCATATTATCTATAGATATTGTTGAAATATAACAATGAATATATGTTTGAAATCAATATGTATGGGCTATTTATTTAATATGATAAAACATTTTGAGTTTATCAAAGTATCTGGTATTATTAAAAAATTATCATGTAATCTATTAATAATCGTTAAATGTCACGAAATGTGTTATGAAAATCGACATCGTCATCTAAGGATTATTTATCTATGTCTATCTAGGAACATTTTTGACAAGATGACAAGCAGTTTCAAAAAGTTGACAGAGAATCTAACCTTAAAACACAATCAACAATGAAATACGTCAAACTGACAACTGTCAGAAAGTAAGGTTAGTGGTTACTAAAGGCAGTTTTACATTTTGAAATCAACTGAATGACAGGTCGTTCGAAATTTTTTGGCCGTCATCTAACCGTTATAAATTTGAGTTAAATTATTTGACGTTATAACAACATACAATTACTACAAAAAACACTTTTAACGAACCACACTGCGTAAAAATAATTATAATTATGATAACTATTAATAATGCATTAATAAAAAGCAATTATAAGCTTTTGATCAAATAAAATATTGTTTTAAAACTTGGTAGCAATCACAATCCACATTGTGGATTGTGGTAGCAATCACCACGATGCAGGTATACTCACGAATAAACTGTTTAGAGCGGGAATAACGCCTTGATAGATCAAGGCGGGAGCACAATATTATCTTAAGCGACACAATGTTAAATCGCAAACGCCATGTCTCGGAGTTGCTTACGATTATTTGTCAGGAACGTATAGGCGCTTACGTTATAAATCGGTAACAAATTGAAAAGAAGGGGCGCTTACAATAATAAAAATATTCAAACTGACCAATATTAGATTCCAAAATTGGAATAACTATTATGTTAACATGTGCAGCTTATCGTAACTGACACCTTGATAAAATAAAAAGTAATTCAACAAAATTGTCGCTTACGATGTTTTGTCAAATAACCATCGAAATGTACAATAATTATTATTGCTTTTAGAAGCAGTAATAGTTTGACAATACGTAGCAACACGATTTAGTAAGTAGAAATGGATTTTTGCTATTACATTGAATTCAATTAATTGTTTAATAAATAGGTAGGTATCTAATTTCAATTTGTTTGGATTTTTATTTAAAAACTAGGTAGTTTGGAATGTTTAAGCTGTGTTTAACATTTAATTTCACTGAAAACTTAAAGCAATTTAAAACTTAAAGATAATTTAAATCGTAGAAAAAGAATCGTGCGTTTTCTTGGTTGCCTAACCTCACTTTTTGTTTTATTATTCATATTTAATTTTACAATAATTTAATGAAAAATATTAAACATTAACAGTAAAACAAACAAATTAGTGCTTATTATAAATAAATTAAACCAGTTTAGTACGTGAATTTCTTAGAAAAGGATTAATTTGTCAAAACAATACCCCTAGCGAGAAAAAATCGAACTAATTACTTGCCTCATAAAATTTTTTATCGGCCTAGGCCATAACAAGGTATTTCTTTATCGAATGTTGACAACAATAAAGTTTAAATTATAGACCGCGTGGAGATAACGGTTATAATTATTACTATTATCTAGAATGTTTACCTTGCAATGTAAACAGAACACCTTCCTTTCCCGGGTATATCCAGCATATCCACCTGACCCTCGACAGTGTTGTGTCCGTTGATGTAACTCCTTTCGCCGATACCATGTAAACCGCTCCAATCGGAGTCGATACCATCTGTAAGCAGTCTCGATCTTAAATCGGTCACGCCACCTATCGACGACCCCCCCGACCATCCTACAGCGGGGGTCACAGGAGTGGCGACCCTCCTCACGCCTGGATAAACGGGACCAAAAAGGATGTTAAGGTGTGTACGCATCTCGACAGATGATACGGAAGATTGATGTGAAGAAATGGAGGAAGAATGTGAAGAATTGTAGGAAGAAACATACTTGATAAAGGACGAGGTGATATGTTAAACAAATTTTAGAAATATTCCCCAACACCAAAACAAAACGCAAAGTGCTTAGAGTACTTATCGTAAGGTGACCAACTGTTCTGATTTAATCAGAACTATACTGTTTTTGAGATCTTCATTCTGAGCTTTACGAAAAAAATTCAAACTGGAGTTATCTGTTTAATTTAAACCCTTCCCAGGACGATATATAAATTTTCGACGTGAATTTTTGACATAAAAACGATTTTTTTAAGTTATTAAAATTGCTAGCGTCAAAATACTTATCCGATACCTATCAAAAGTATGTGTAGTGTAACTAGTGAAGGGTGGGCCATCTATAAGTTGAATTTTAAACTACGTGCTATTAATGAAACTTTCAATTTAAGCGCCATGAATCGCTGACAGTGGTTTAGTTTTAACCTTCCGATTACAAAATATGCACCGAATAAATTTGGATCAACGTTTCGAAATATTCAAAACTTACTTTGAATGTGACTGTTATCGCAGAGACGGCAAGAAAATTGCGTTTGGAAGAAATGAGGCGCCGTCAAACCAAAGTATTACAAATTTGATCAAAAAATTGCGCAGAAATGGGATGCTGGTGGACATAAAACATGTTTCGCATGCTCGTCCTAGACGTACACCTGAAACAATCGCTGCTGTGGCCGAAAATGTACGCATGAACGCGTCAACATCAACTCGGCGCAGATGTCAACAACTCGGCCATTCCCGTACCACTCTGAGGATGATTCTGCACAAAGACCTCGGTATGTTTGCTTACAAAGTCGAGCTTGTTCAGGAGTTAAAGCAAGTTGACCATCCACAACGTTTTCGCTTTGCTGAGTGGGCTTTAAACCAGTTGAACGATGACCCTAATTTGCAAGAAAAATCATCTTTTCGGATAAGGCGCATTTTTACCTCGGAGGTTATGTCAACAAGCAAAACTGTAGGATTTGGGCCACGGAAAATGCACACGTCGCCGTAACAAAGCCTATTCACCATTTAAAACAAAACATTTAAGCTCAAATTGCCTAAATAGAGCAGCAAACTTTTGAAAAAGTGCTCGAAAATTGGTGTTCCAGGATGGGCTACTGCCGAGCCAGCTGAGGTGGCCACTTAAATAAAAAAATCAGATTTTCTTGTTCTCATTGCAATTTTATAATTCAACATTAACATGGCCCACCCTTTATAAATATGGTAGATTTAGAAGTTACACTTCGCTTTGATGGCAACTTTAAGCACTTTGTGGTTTATTTTGGGAATATTTCTAATATTTGTTTAGGAAGAAACATGTTTTGATAGAGATGGTGATAATGGTTCATGGAAGTTGAAAAGAGATGCGTGTGGGGAAGATTTTAAATGATTTAAAGTTAAATTGGAGGAAGAATCACGTAATAAAGAATATGTTGGTATAATTTAAAAAACACATTATAATATTGATATGGATGGTGGTGAGCAAAAAAATTTGAGATAGGTGCTGTAGAAAATGGTAAATAGTTAATATATAGTGACTGGCAAAAGTATGAAACAAATTCATTGAAATTTGTCTTTTTTTCTCAAAAAACTTTTAGTTCAGTGAAGTATCTATCTCTTAAGCGTTCTCCAAATATTTCGAACCGTCTAAATTGTAGGTGCTGAAGCAGAGTCAATCCTCATTGGGTAGTAGAGGATCTACCAAGTGATACCAAATTTGTCCATACTTTTGCTAGTCACTATATGTACGTACGTACAAGAACGATGTTAATTTAACCTAATTTATGGAAATTTTGTCAATACAACCTTGGATAATGAAGCAGAAACTGTCCTTAAACTAATTATCTGCTAATTAAATGCATTTAATCATGTCCAAATAAATCAATACTGTTTCTCAATTAGGACTTCTTTAAATTAGTTGATAACATAGTACAACACGATTTTCCTCCCATAAAAAATTTATTTTTAATTCTCTATTTTTTCAAGCAAAAAACTATTTCTGGTTTCAATTTTTTTAATAAATCAACAGATTTGCATTTATCTTATATTAAATATATGTTGGAAACAAATCTTGATCTTTTAGTTTGACGATTATACATTGCTTTCGAATCTATAGTGGTATCACAACCTAAAAACACCACTTGATATACAGGGTGTTTCATATTCGTGGTCCATTGGAAGTTTCTGTAGAACGGAAAAAAAATAAATTTGAAATTTAAAAGCGTTTATAATCCATTAAGTCTATTTTTTTAAATATTTTGAACAAAATGCACCTTCCGGTTTGACCGGAAGTGACATCAACTTTGTTATTTTTAAATAGAACACCCCATATATTTTTACATTTTTAAATTCTACATAAAATTATGAGTAAAATTACTATACCATGTCTTATACCTAACGTGAATAGTTTTCTAGATGTTTGCTATTAGGTTTACGGATATGGGGGTAAAATTTTTGGAATCTTAAAACATTGTTTAAAAAATCAATTCTTTAACATTTTTCAACAAATTACCCGAGAAAACCCAGGGCAAGTTGGGCTAACTTGAAACGATAATAACTTTTTTATTTTAAATGTAACACCCGGTATGTTAGGAAATTGACATGGAATCTTTTAAACAATGTTTTAAGATTCCAAAATTCTACCCCTATTTCTGTAAACCTAATAGCAAGAAAGTTATAGGCTATTTTTGATTGACGCGCATTTGTCATATTTTAACTAAAAAAATTAATAACTCCAAAACTATTTACTTTAGGTATAGGACATGGTACAGTAATTTTACTCAAAATTTTATGTAGAATTTAAAAATGTAAAAATATATGGGGTTTTCCATTTAAAATAACAAAGTTGATGTCACGTCCGGTCAAGCCGGAAGTGGTATTTAGTTTAAAATATTTTAGAAAAATAGGCTTAATTGGATTATAAACGCTTTAAAAATTTCAAATCGATATCTTTTGCCGTTCCTCAGAAACCCGTATTTCGTAAATGTGCAATACCCTGTGTATAATTAAAATAATTTGAAAATAAATAAATAATCTTAATGGTTGTCCATTTATTCAGTGAATAAATTTTTCATAAAAATATACTGTCTAGCTGTTATCAAAACTGTTAAATTATGTGCCGAATACCGTGGATAACATAATATTGGATCTTACTTAAAAAAATGACGTGATCTGAAAAAACGCAAGACACGTGTATCATTTTCAAAATCTATAGAAATTTTTCATGGGGGGGATTTTGTCGTACTGTGTAATCGATAAAACCGTTCTTTTATGTTTCTGGACTTGCTATAGGTTGTTTATAATATAAATAATATTAATATTTAGACTCACCCAGATCGACTTCATCCATGGGCTTCAGCTTGATGCTCATTGGTCCGCCGGTAAGCGGTAAACTATTAAAATGCGAGCTCAGCGGATTCGAAAAAGTAACATTGTTGGTGTAACTGGTTGTAACCGGTTGGTAGGGCAAACTGAACTGGTTTAGAGTGCTGGTGGCTGTGTTGCCAAACGTGGGGTTGTTGAAGGAAGTTTGTTGCAACGCAGAGAGTCCCGTCACGTTGCTGGAATGGTTGGTGAACGTCGTATTGCCTAAGGAGCTGGTTGCGTAGTGGGAGGACGGTACCATGGAGGTACCCAACGATGAGGTACCAAGCGAGGTGCCTATCACTCCACCCGTGAGGCCGGAGGTTAGGTTTGACGTCCCCAGGGCTGTGTGAGTACCTAGGTAGGTTAAATGTGTTTACTAGGGTGATTCATTTCCTCAAAGTTTTTGTTTTCTTCGGTGCTCAAGCAAAATATTAATCTGCATATAGAAAAAAAAATCTCAACAAGTTTGAGCTCTTAATATAAATTTAAGTACTTACTATTTAAATTTAAAGTTTTACCGTTTAAAATACATGTAAAAAATATATTTTTTTTTCAAATTTCTAATGCTTACCCACCTTTGACAATATTGGTTTAATACACCTTATGGGGAATTTCACGCTCTTTAAAATTGCTTTTGAGGTTTTTTTTGTAACTAGCATTGGTTCACCAGTAGGAGTCGTCAAAGGACAGTTTTTGAAAAAAATCGTTTTTTTTTTAAATTTTTTCTAACAAACCGCAAAAAGTAGGGAGAAAAAAGGGTTGAATCATAAAAAAAGTTATCCAACCAATATTTAATGAACTTTTTTTATAACTGAAAACGTAAGAAATTGATAATTACCAACTCATAATGTTTTTTTTTAATTTTCTTATTGTTTTTTTATGAATTTATCTGTTGTTTTCATATTCATTATAAGTGAGAAATCATAATAATTTTAAAAAAGTTCTTAGTGTAGTGAAATATAATGATAATAAATAGAAAAAATCAATCTAAATAACATTATGGGTTGGTATTTATCAATTTCTTACGTTTTCAGTTATAAAAATAGCAGTAAATTCATTAAATATTGGTTGGATAACTTTTTTTTATTAATCAGCCCTTTTTTCTCACTACTTTTGGCGATTTGCTCGAAAAAATAAAAAAAAAAACGATTTTTTTCAAAAACTGTCCTTTGACGACTCCTACTGGTGAACCAATGCGAGTTACAAAAAAACTCAAAAGCAATTTTAAAGAGCGTGAAATTCCCCATAAGGTGTATTAAACCGATTTGCAATATTGTCAAAGGTGGGTAAGCATTAGAAATTTGAAAAAATATATATATATTTTTTACATGCATTTTAAACGGTAAAATTTTAAATTTAAATAGTAAGTGCTTAAAATTAATATTAAGAGCTCAAACTTGGTGAGAATGTTTTTTCCTATATGCAGATTAATATTTTGCTTGAGCACCGAAAAAAAACATATATTTTTTTAAATATTACCTAGTACTGAAGTCTGTCCCAACGAAGTACCCATGCCGACACCATGATGTAAAGCATTCATGTTACTGCTAATACCCATACTCGCCCCGACCATGCTTGTACTCATATTACTCATGTTAGTCATATTCCCCCCCATCCCAGTACCCATCAAGGAGGTCTTGTTACCATAATGGTGCCCCAAACTGTTGTACGTGCTCGAGTTATACCCTGTGACAGTGTTGCCGGTTCCCATATACGATCCCCCTGTAAGATTCGAAGCCGCACTTTGGTACCCGCTGCTGTGCCCCATGGTATTCGAACCGGGGTATATGCTGGGCGTGGTGTGCGACATGGTGATGGGCGATATCGGCGGACTGCACTCGCCTAGCGCGTGGCTGCTGGCGCTCGTGGCCAATCCGGTTCCTGCAAAACAAGAACGGAAACGATGGTGTTACATTTATACAAAAAAAAAAAAACTTCACAATTAATGAGGGTATGATGGTACCATCCGTACCATCAAAATCCCATGTTATTGACGACTCACCCTGTATACCATGTATTTTTTGCAAGATATAGCTTATTGGTGTAGGCGTTAGCTTATCAGACATGCATAAAAATTTGTAAAACAGCAGCAAAGCCATGCAAGAATGTTTTTTGTATCGTAGTCGATACTACACTTTTGAACTATTAATATTCAATTAGTAAAATGATTTTTTCTAGCTATAAAAATGTATGACGTGGAATATAAGTTTTAAAATTTTATTTACCCTTTTATTCCGTTTTAAATATGCTGTAATAGTTCTTATAGACCCCAAAAAGGTATTGTTTTATAATTTCGCTATATAGGTATAATATTAGTTTTAGTGTGCACACTTAAAAGCATATCCACCCAAGGCGTAGAAAAAAAGGTTACGAGGTACAATAGTACGCTTAACAATGTAAGTAGGTACTGCTAAATAAAAATGTAACATTGTAAAGAGTACAATATATCCCCAATATACAGAAAATACGTGTACAATGAAATACCACAATAATAAATCGATTTAACCTGTAGGTACTGATATACATTTAAACATTCTGTATACTTATTTGGCACCCGATAGATAATGCCGTATCCATTTAAAATTATCCATGCGATTTTTTTATTATTAAGTTTAAACTAGTTTAATTGGAATATTAATATAAAGAAACGCTTGGCACTTTTAATGCACAGAGCAAATAAAGGCATACCGTATAGAACCAATTGGTAGAACCAAAAGTTTGTTTTTACAATACTGATTTTAAAACAGCTTTGTCCTGCTAAAAAAGGTTGAATATTTCGCGTCGTAATATGTTATAACATGAGTTTGCAGTTTGTATATTTTATTTTGTATGTCAATCAAAACGTTTCCCATAAGTTCAACTGATTTCAGCGTCTGCAACTTATGTCATGACTGGTTTTAAAACTGAAATTAAGGGAAACACTGAAGTGGGTTAAAGTTACGAAAAAATTACTAAAAAATACACGTACGTTTATAATATACAGGTTTAAACAAAAAGATGTTTTTTACCATAAGTTTAAGACACTCTGTAGAGTGGCAAAACCGTATATTGTTCTAAATTAAGTTTTATTTATCAAGTCACATCTATTCTTAACAGTTTTGTTTTTAGTTTACCTCGATATATTAATTTTTGTGGAAAATATGGATTTTTTTTAAAAACATTGCAATTTCCAATATTTTTCCTGTATGAAGAACTAAGGTTGCTATGGTCCATCATCCCATACTTGGACATGTCATATACAGCTTTCAAAAGGCATTACATTTTTTTTTGTAAATTAATGTGTTAATTTTGAGGTGTCTTCTTAATTTTAAAAATTTCTCCGACCGATGTTGCCCTTTGTACTTTACTTCTTGTGACGTTTAAAACACTTGCCACGTAATACTGTGACCGTCCATACTGGATTAAATTAATGGCTTTGGCAACATCAGTCGGAGACATATCCATTTTTTAAAGTAAGAAGACACCTCAAACTTTAAACATTAATTAAAAAACAATTTGATAGCATTTAAAAGCCGTGCATGACATGTCCAAGTATGGGATGATTCAACAAAACTGTCACTGTCATTCTCCATAGCCTATGGATGGACCATAGCAACCTTAGTTCTTCATACAGAAAAATATTGGAATATGCAATGTTTTTTTAAAAAATCCATATTTTTCACAAAAATAAATATATCGAGGTGAACCAAAAACAAAACTGTTAAGAATAGATGTGACTTAATAAATAAAACTTAATTTAGAACAATATACGGGTTTGCCACTCTACAGAGTGTCTTAAACTTATGGTAAAAAATGTGAGCGATTGTCCATTAATTTATCTACAATATTCTTTAATATTCGTTTAAATCCGACATCAAATAAGAAAGTTATTTGCGATTGAAATTCATCGAAAATTTGTGTTGATCGATTATTTTGCCTGTGAGTGTAGGTAAGATAGGTAAATCAACTTATTTTGGAATATATGGTATTTCGTGGTAGATATATTATTCGGACACTGTACATTTTAAAGAGAATATACTGAAATAAACCATGTAGAACATTGAAACACCGACAAATATACACAAAACACATAACAACATAAAGGTTTCGTTTTTATAGATATCGGGAAGCAAAAGAAAAGGGTTTCATGTGTTGGGGGTTTGGGGGGGGGGGGTTGGAGACGGTACACCATACACCGACTTACCTAGCGTCGTGGACCGACTATGATCTAATTCAGCTAATATTCGGTTATCCTGTTCTATTTTAGCCATGATACGTTCTATTTCTGTACCTTTAGCCGGCTGGCCCCACGACGAAGATTGCATGCCGGGGGCGGTGTGACCGCCGCCCCCGCCGCCGAGCACGCCGCCGCCGCACATTTCGCCGCCGCGGCCACCCATACCGCCACCGCTCCCGCCCAACCGTCCCCGAGACGACAGCTCCAGCTGTAGCTCCTCGCATCTGAAACGAAAACAAGTTTTATCGAGTGACAACGACAATAAGTTTATTTATACCGCCAATTATGATTTTTTTGGTGGAAGATAATTTTCGATATGTCTATTTTAAAACAGACACGGTGCTGTTCTGAGAGGTGATTTTTAGACTTTCTGTGAAACCTAATTTTTTTTTATATTCTTGTTAATTAGGTCATAACTAAAATTTTAAGAGCAAAATAAAAAAAATTTGACGGTTAATTTTGTTTTAATTGGATGTTTATTAAAAATATGTATGCACACTTTCAATTCTCCAATTAAAACTTGCGATTTTATTTAAATATTATCAAAACTTTTTAAATCAGATTAAAGATTAGTTAATTTCCTAAAAAAAGGTCTATACATTTTTTATATATTTACTGTTTTGTTGTAATACACGTTTAAAGTTTTAATTTAAGGTTAAATGTATAGTATACATTTATTAAACAATAATTCTAAGGGTGCCACATTTTATTTAGGGCCGATTTATTCATTTTTGATTTATTTGACGAATAATTTCTTTGGATACTAGATATTGCCAAGACATGAAAGTTATCGGCCCGATAAACTTTACTAAAGATGAATAAACCGGTCCTTAGTTAAATTTCATGAATTTCTTTGTAACTTTTACTACAATTTTTCATTTTTGTTTATAAAAAACACTTTAAAAAACTAAACAAAAATTATAGAATACGTATACTGAAAATGACAATTCAAACCTCAAATAAATTTTTAATAGATCTAAATTTCATGGCAACCTTTAAGAATATATTAATTAAGGGAACATAAATGTATACGTCAAAGGTTAGATTAAAAGTTTGAACGTTTATTGCAACAAAACAGTAAAATATATAAAAAAAATTGTAAAAACCTTTTTTTAGTTATGCAAATATTAAATATTTAAATTAAATCGCTAGTTTTAATTGGATAATTGAAAGAGTGCATAATATTTTTAATAAACAGCCAATTAAAACAATTCAAACCGTCAAATTTTTTTTATTTTGCTCTTAAAATTTTAGTTGTGACCTAATTAACAAGAATATAAAAAAAAATTAGGTTTCACAGAAAGTCCAAAAATCACCTCTCAGAACAGCACCGTGCAGAGTGTTAATTAAGGCTCCCACAGCTTTTTTGACACGACGTTGGGAATGGTGACATTACAAACTATGTAGGAGCCTTCACCCTTATTGAACAACTCTTTTGGTTGTACCCTTAATACCACAGCTTATATCCTAAACTACTCGTATGTACTACCCAGAGAGCAACTTTTTCCCAACTAACTTTGGTGTACGAAATTTTACATGCATTGGGGTTTATTTGGACATATAAATTGTAGACAGTTATCGGACACTTTATAGTTATTGGACAATTAACATTTATACTGTAAAAACAAGAAATCTATAAATAGTCAAATTATCAACTATCTCAGTCGGTAATAATATAGAACTACTTTATTTTGGGTCCAATATAGGACAAAAGAGTTCGCACGTAAAATGGCCAGTGTCCAATTACTGGTTGGTAAAAAATGTAAATTTCTATTATTGGACATATGTCCAATATAATACTCTATTTGTATCACGGACATTTACCAGCCAATTCTTATGTAAAATTGTCCCCTGAATCCAAAAAGACCGTCAAAAACTATAAAATTTAAGCAGTTTTTGAGATATAGTCAATTCCATATTATATGTAAAATTGATTATACAAAAACTGTTCTACTTTTATAACTTTTGACGATATTTTTAAATAATATTTCATAGGAATTGTTGACGAGAATTATTAGTGGCTGCTTTTTGGCTATGACATTTTCGAATAATTAATTTTTAGAGAGTAAGTAATATAGTGATTTCTTCGTCACAGGACATCTTGCAGAATAACAGTGATTTAAATACAGTGCATGATAGAGAACATAAAAAACTAATGGCAACAGAATTAATAAATTCGGAAAAAACTTTTAAAATGCCAGCCGAAAAAATATTAGATGTATATAAATCATCCTGTTCCGGCCTAAACATTATAAATGCTTCACAAACTTAATGATATTTGCAACACACTATTTTAGAACTCAGACCAAGGAATTAATAGTTACCTTCAAAATCCAGAAAAGGGATGAGGAATCCGAGAAAGAAATATATGAATTATATGATATTTACAAAAACGAAATAAACAAAATTACCTAAAACATCAATTTGTCTTTAAAAAATATTTAACAATTTATTTTATTTGATGTAAAGTTGTTATGTTTATATAAAAATTGTTTGTCCAATAACTATGGTCCATGTGTCCAATACTATATAAAATGTCCAATTACTATACTTTTTGCATGTTATTGCATTCTTATTGATTGATTGTACAAAAATCATAGGAATATTGTCCTATATTGTACATTTATTTGCAAAACTATTCTAAAGGTGAAAGGGCAATTCTTGACCAAGTTTTAACCTGATATGCCTCTCTGGGTAGACCTTAGTATAATACAACTGCCTCTTCAATCAATAAATATCACTTACTGGCTGTAAAGAGATGCGGGAAAATTAGCTTGAGACGTTAAAGCCTTACTTTTAAGCGTCTAGCATTTTATATTAATGATGTTTGTCTAACAAATTAAACATTTTGTATTTTTACCTAAACATATCTTTCCAATTTTGATCGGTATAAATATTCGACGACGAAACAGAACCAAGTAGGCTAGGTTTGTTCCTGAGTAGAGATAAATTGTTATTTATAAACACAAAAAAGCGTTTTTTGTCACCCAAAAACATAAAATTGTCGGTTTTCTTACCTGACTGTTTCCAGCGACACTTTTTTTTCGAGTTCGCGCACTCGCGATTGTTTGGCCTCCAAGGTGTCCGGACCGCATCCCCTTAGAGCCTGGAGTGCGTCGGCGTGCTGCCGTTCCAGATCGGAACGGCGCGCCTCAGCTGCTCTCAGCTGCATTTCCAGATCCATGCCCTAAAAAAAATCGAGAAAAAAGTGCAAAAACATGTTTGGTGAGCATAAGATTTAAATTTATTTTAACATAGTCACTAAATAATCATAAATTTTATGTATACACACAACCAATCTTAGATGGAATCACCCAGTAATTACGAGAATGGTACCCAAGCAGCATTTTTGGTTCCAAAAACCATTACCAAAGTGGTGATAACTTTAAATTAGTTAAGTATAATAAACAGCTATTTTAATTTTTATTTAAAAGTAATTCTAACTTCTAAATAGCAATATTTTGTTACAGAAACTACTATAAAGTAATAAACATGTAAGTACAACTTGGTTGCCCCCAAGAAGACTTTGCAACTTTAAAAAAGGTGTTATAAGTAAAAAAAACTTTCAAGTAAATTTAATTTGTAGCATTACTTTCGGTTGCTACCTAAAGATTACATTATAATTATTTTTACTTTGTAGTCCCTTTGCAAGTTAAAATCTCGAAACTGGAACATGAGTTAATAACTACAAAGTTAATAACTCTAAAGTTATTATTTTAGTATTTGGAACGTTTATGGTACTAACCAAAACTACAGTAAAATAAGTAAGTAAGGTGGAAAAAACTTTAAATTAGCGAAAACTACATCAAAGGAAAATGCTTCTTATCGGCCATTTTTTACTGTACAGTACCACGTGGTAATGTAAATAATAAATTATTGTAATTGTTTGTAAACGGTTGTTTACTTTTTAATAAATAGTAATTATGTTGGTAGTAGACGGTATTAATAATTAAATAAAAAAATAATAATAAATATTAAGATTTTTTTATTTATAAACACTATTAAATAAATAATTTGTTTATACTTAAATATTGATGAAGCGCATTTATTTTACAAAAACTAAATTCATAAGTTCAACAGTAAAATTTAAAGGGTTTATAAATGTACCTGCCTAATTAAACATTATATTGTTATTCTGGAAGTTATAAACTACCAGTACATTTTTAATAAACGACGACATTGAAAAGCCAAGTCCGTAGTGGTTCCATTTAAAAAAGTGAGGTTAAAACTGTCTGACAGATGTCACATGACAAATTTTTAACGAATAAAATTTCTCTGCGTTGGTCATTTATAAACTTTCGTGCCTACTAAAACTTGTAACTAAAATTGCGTTTATAAAACTTGATACATAACCATTTAAACGTGTAATAAACCTGCGTAAATACACCCAAAAACAGTATTGTTTAGTTCTTTAAAGGCGTTCTTTAATATACAAACAAAATTTTATCGCCTATAAAATTTAACCCACCATTTTGGTCTAAGTAATATCGAAGGGATCATTACTGGCATAAAATTGTTTTATAAGAACCTACTAAAAATGTTTCTTGTATTATTTTACCCTGATGGCTGTACCTAAACTCAAGAAGAATTTTATGAGTATCAGAGTTCTATTTTATTATTTTTAATAGTAACTATATTATTTAGGATTTATTTTGTTGTTTATAGTACATTAAACAACATATTTTTACAAATTTTATAAGCAACGGTAAGCAGATAACTTTGATAATTAGTAATTAGTATTAAATACTAAGTAAAAAACACAATCCAAAATATTTTTTTATAGTTATTTGTCAAATTAAAACAATATTCGATAACAAAAATACTTTTACTATAAGTATTTTATTTTATGTTAAAAATAAATATTTATTAATTTGTATACCGATTTTTTATTTCTGAATTAACATTTTTATGTATAATAATCCTAACTATCTTCAACTTCAATCTAATCTGACTTATCCCACAAAATTTTCCAATTTTACTTTTTATGAAATAATGTCATACAACTTATGGTTTAGAGGTCAAATTGTTTATTTAATATTTTTAAATAAATACATTAATATGTCGCAAATTTTTTTAAGGGGACGACAAATACATTTCACTGCCATATTATGAAAGTGAGGAGTATTTGTCGTCTCCTGAAAAATTTTACGAATGTAGAATACAACATATTAGAACGTGGGTATCTGACATATTTGGAAATATTCTCAAAAGCTTCCTAGAAGCTCCATAAGAAACCTTCATTCCAAAAGCGTATTCTTAAAATGTTCTTAGGATGCTTTTTTAAGGTTTTAAGAAGCTTTTAAGAATCTAATTGCATCATTAAAAGGGTATCTATTGAATGTTTTAAAAGTCCCTAAGAACATTCTTAGCAATAAGGGAAGGTTCTAAGAATATTCCATTATTCCGGGTCATATCTTCTTAGAAGATTCTTAAAATCAAATTTTGCTATCAGGGGGACAAGGTGTATATTAAACCAATATAAATTAGCTTTTTATGTTTTTGACCTTTATTCAGCCGTATTTTTGGTATACATTTGACTATTCAAATTTTGGACAACAATCTCCCAAAACCCCTCCTCTGATAAGATGAGGATTTTCATTTTCATTTTGGAAAAAAAGTACTCATTAAATATCAATCTAAGGGTCTAAATTATATGAAAACATGAATCTCTTCCATAAACTAACTTATTTTTATAAGATATCTTCCAAATATTTATTTAATAATAAAAATACAATCTGTTCATTTTATAGATTTTATACACGTCGACAAATTATAAACGTATGCATCATAACGATTACCAAAGTCTTTGATGTTATATTTTTTCGTAATAAAAACTCCCATTTTTTATTATTAGAAGAGAGAACGGGTAAAATCGATACGATAGTCAAGATAAATGTACGGGCTCATTGATATTCAGACCGCGAAAATCTGCTCTATAATTTCCCCTTTGCGAAGGGAGCCTTTTCATAAAATTTGTGCTGAAAATACTCCAAGAGTGTAACATACAAAAATAAAATGTTTTTTAAATGTTTTTATTAAGAGTTATAATTAGGAAACTGTGTAACTCACAAAAAGTTTTGTAATAATAATAATAATAATAATAATATTTTCAAACGTTCCCCCAAATTGCGTCAAACAAAAGCCCAGTCTGTCATAAAATTCGGTGCGAACATTAGCTGGCATATCTGGAGTAATTGTCTCAAACGCTGTATGCATTCTTGCCTCTAATTCGACCAAATTATTCATTTTTGCATGACGGTACAAGGTAGATTTTACATATCCCCATAGGAAAAAATCGTTAGGAGCCAAGTCTGGCGACCTTGCTGGCCAGCGAATAGCGCCCCTGGTAGAAATTATCCTTCGGCGAAAAATCTCTTGTAAATACTCCATCACTATTCTTGTGTTATGTGATGGGCAACCGTCCTGTTGATACCAAACGTTATCCAAATTTGGGGTTGGGTTGCAGGAATAATTCTATTTTGAAGAAGATCCATTTAAATTGCCACCAATTACAAAGGGACCAATAATATTATTCCCATAAATACCAGACCACACGTTCAACTTTTCAGGATACTGAGTCTTTAATTTTAGTTGCCTGTACTCATTTACAATAGACCAGTAACGGACAATAGCAGGATTGTGCTTTCCATGTAATGAAAATGTGGATTCGTCGGTTAATACTATGTTTTCATCTTAATTTGCGCGTTCCATCATATTTTCACAAAATTCCATTCTCCGGTACTCGTCGTCTTAAAAAATTTCCTGATGTACTTGGTATTTATAGGAACGATATTTTTTTTTTTTTAATATTTTGTGGACTTTACCCACACTAATGCCGGTCTCTTCGGCTATTTTATGAATTGATGTATTTGAATCTTCTTCTACCATTGCACAAACCATTATTTCTTTCATCTCCGCATCTACATCAATTCTGGGAGTACTGTGACATTTACACCCCAAAATACAACCATTTGTTTTAAACCTTTGGATAACGTTTGTTATTGTTCCAATTGAAGGAATAGAACGATCCGGATATTTAACTGCGAATAGGTCTCTCGTTTGACGTAGAGAATTGCCCACTAAAGACCAGCTTATCATGTCAATTTTCTCTTGCAATTTGTAGGACATTATAAGTTATAATTTTAAATAAAAGAAGTTAATTTATGTTAAAAAGCTCGAAATGCACACTAGCAAATGCAAAACATAACTGAATCGTCGCCTACGCCGGCAATCTGCTTACAATGCATCTTGGGAGGGGCGATCGGATTCATTCGGGTTTCAAATGAAAACTACTATTAATCTTGACTAAAAAAATCTTGTTATTATTGTTTTAACAATTTGCCATGTTTACTTATTTGTCAGCCAATAAAATTTACTTTATCGTTTCCTTGGAATGTCCCGACAAATTGTTGACACCTGTTTAACTATGAATTTTATGCGGTTAGAAAAATAATGGAAAATGGTACACAGAAACTTATATCATTAGTCACGCGATCTTCCACCTATCGATTTTTTTACGACCACCTTCCACTCGTTATCCTTTGATAAATTACTCGTATCGTGTGTGTCACAAAAGTATGCTCGCCTGAATTTGATTTAAAAAAAAAAAACATGAAAAAATTGTACGTCGGATTTTGTTCATACAAGGTTTTCCTGACATCCCTTCTTCCAATTAAAGTTATTGTGTTTTGATCATTCATAATTAAGTAGATATTACAGCTCAGGTTCCAGATTTTTAACCGCAATTAATTATTTTTTACAATGTTTTAAAAGTCTAAAACCTTTCTCTCCGTGACTGTAAACACATCCAAAGCAATCGAATCAAATATAAAATATTATTCAAAATTAAAAGAAATAATTTCATAACCATTTATGTAGGTGTTACAAAATTGATTCTATCCTCCGTGAATCTGTTTTTGCTTTAAATTGTATGCAACGGATGGCGCTTTAATCATTTTATATAAGCAAAAACCTCTGTTTACGACATTATAGATGCATGTGATTCCTGAAGGTCGGTTAGAATTTATATGCAGATGAGAGTGTTGCTGTTTTATAATTCAAAAGTTTAAGTTCATTAACTTGCTATTTAAAAACCTATCCACAGTGAAGTGTAATATCTCTTTTTTTATAAATATTTTATGTATGTACAATTGTATTTTTTAAAAATATTAAGGTGTCAAAAGATACAATAACTTATTTCAAATATACAGAGGGATGTTTTAGAAAAAACATACGAAATTCTAACCTCCGTGAAGCTCTAATATTCAAAATGTATGATTTCTTAAAATTCTTGCATTAGTGCAGAACCACTTATGTTATGTTATTACAAGACCTGGTGGCTTCCCAAAAACCCCATTCTAGACTAACAGTGAAACAACCAAAAATATTGACAATAAATTGTATTGTTTTCCTATTTAATTTAGAAATATTTTTTGTAATACTAAAAAAATAAAGTTCTTGCAAAATAAAACATATTTTGACTAATCAGCTCAAAAAACTTAACCTTAAAGCCTAAAATAAACAATAACTTACATGATAGTGTTCATTCCAAACGGTATGGTCTGCAAATTGTATGGAACGGGAGCCCATTTTAAGCCCAAACAAAAAAGCCCTTTTCTTTTTAATTAAATCATTTTTGTCACTCCGATATGCACTATTGTCTCACGTAATTTTTTTTTGACTTCAAAGTAGGTTTGTTTATTCACACACTAAAATAGTTTTGCAATTTTGACATGAGATGGATCATAGCTAAATGGGGATCTACCAATTGGTTTCCTAATTACCTACTAAGAAGGGTTTCTCTACACAACCTTATTAATAATTAAGTTTTCTAAGCTATTATTGGTACGTTTTTATTTTTTATTTAATAAAAAACCCTAAATACAGGGTGTGTCATTTATCTTGAAACTTTAAAATATCTCAGTTAGTATGAATTTTACGAAAAAATGTTTAAAATAAAATTATACGAGGGGGTAACTTTAAAAATTCCAATGGAACCAGTGGCGGCCCGTCAGGGGATGCAGGTGAGGCAGTGCCTCATCATAGAGAATTAAAAAATTAAGTATAATTTAAATATTTTACTTTTTATAATATACCATAAATTCTTAATATTTGGATTACATGAATTGTGAAATAGTCAATAAAATTGATTGATTTTATACGTGTAATACCCAGCAACATTTGAATTATTTGAATTTGAAACGAACGCAATTTAAACTAATATTTATAGCTAGATGATTGGCTCAGAAGCATGCCTGAACTAATTTAGACTCACGATTGGCGTTAGCCTTGTTGTCTCGTTCTATTACAATGCGATATCATAGTTGTCTCCTTCTCTCGTATTAGCATACGCGAGGCAGGCACGCCTACATCCAAGGAAATAAGCAGGTGTTGTGGCAACACTGTTGCGGAATTTTAGATAAATTATACTTCACACGCTTTTCAAAATTTAATATTAAATGATATTATTTTTCCTATAATAAATCGATTTAATCGAAATTATGTTTCTATTCTAAAATAAACATATTTTAACACTATCGCCATCTTGTAGCCATCACAGTAACCAATAAAATAAATACAGATTCCTTCTTTAGGTTTATTTTGGTTATAAAATTCTGAACTGTTTAAAGAACAAATGTGGTTATTTACGCAATATTTTGTTTATTCTTTTTCTATGAATTTGTTTATTTTATGATTCTTTTGTAAGTGGTTTATTCTGTGGGTTTAGTTAATTGAACTTTGTGATTTATGTGAATTTAGTCATTATGGATATTACGGTGAGAAATTGTACCGATATTGTTGACCTTCACGTGGTTCTTGCTAAACAATGAAATATGAATTAAAGCGCCATCTATTACAAATATATAAAATTGTTTTAAACAAAATCTACCTATTTTTTGTCAAATTATCCGAATCTGCAATAAAAAATATGGTGTTCCATTGGAAATTTTAAAGTTACCCCTGTTCCCCCTATAAGGAGGAGAGTATGAGGACCAATTTTAGTACTGATTGATTTCCCCCCTTAAATCATTTAATTTTTATCTTAAAATTTTTTTTGTAAAATGCATACTAAATGAGATATTTCAGTTTCATGTTAAATGAATCACCCTGTATATATATAAAGGATTTCTCAAAAAGACTTCTAAGAATTGTATAAAACATAAAATATCTTTCAAGCACAAATTAATTTTTAAAAATTTTTTTTGAGAAACCCTGTACATTTTACTTTTCAATTTACTACACAGGGTGTTAAAATTACTAGCAACTTTTATTTAATAAAAGCCTACAACTAAAGTTGTTATACCTAAATATAGTATTTGCACCCTATAGGGTGCAAACTATAGTTAACTAAAACTTCATTCGTATCTCTAAATCTAGACTTAATTATAAACTTCAACAGCGGCATGCAAGCGTAAGCTTGAAATATTTTAATAAAGATGGATTGCAATAATTAATTGTGACCATAATTTTTTCCTAGAATGTTTTCCTATTTAAAGTATGGTTTTTTAAACTTCTTTTATATAAAATATATAGGGTAAAGTAGACAGTTATCGGACACTTTATAGTTATTGGACAATTAACATTAATACTGTCAAGTCAAATCATTAGATGACGCTGTATACAATTATAAATATCTCAGTCGGTAATAATATAGAACTACTTTATTTTGGGTCCAATATAGGACAAAAAAGTTCGCACGTTACTTTGGTGGTAAGATTTTTGTTTTTTTGTTAAGAGCAGGGCTGTGTTTAAATTACAATAAAAAATATTCCTAAAATGTGTACAGATCAGTGTGTAGTATAAATGTGTTCCTCATGGTATAAACATTGTCACTTTAATGCGTTTTAATTTTAATTCTGAAAACAAACAGTAAAATGGCCAGTGTCCAATTACAGGTGGTAAAAAATACTCTATTTGTATCCCGGATATTTACCAGCCAATTGTCCCCTGAATCTGAAAAGACCGTCAAAAGCTATAAAAGTTAAGCAGTTTTTAAAATATAGTCAATTCCATATTATATGTAAAATTGATTATATTCAGCGAATATTTCATAGGAATTGACTGCTAAATGTCCTGGTTACAAATTGCTGTTTACGAGAATTATTAGGGCTGCTTTTTCGCTATGACATTTTTGACTAATTCATTTTTAGAGAGTAAGTTATATAGTGATTTCTTCGTCACAGGACATCTTGCAGAATAACAGTGCATGATAGAGAACATAAAAAACTAATGGCAACAAAATTAATAAATTCGGAAAATACTTTTAACAAACCACCCGAAAATTTTTTAGATATATATACATTATCCTGTTCCGGCCTAAACATTATAAATGCTTCACAAACTAGAGATCCAACACTTAATGATATTTGCAACAAACTATTTTACCTAAAACAGCAATTTATCTTTAAAAATTATTTAAATTATTGATATGTTTATATAAAAATTGTATGTCCAATAACTATGGTCCATTACTATATAAAATGTCCAATTACTATATAAAATGTCCAATTACTATAATTTTTTGGATGTTTTTATAAAACTATTATTAAATATTCGAATATTCTTTTTTTTTAGGTAAAAGTAAATAAGATTTAAACGAACAAACTATCCTTTTTATATATTTATAAAAAAAACTTTACCCTAGGTAAAAAAAATCTGGTCACATTAATTGTGATAACCCCGTAAATTTTCAAGTAAAATTGTTCGTGGTAGTATGTAAGTGAGCAAACGAACGATAAAATGATGAAAGTGAGCGTAAAAATAAATAATGATATAATAAAAGTTATAACTTAGATAACTTTAACATTGAATTATAATGTTATTGGAAGCTATGTTTGATTTTAGTCGGAAAGGAAAAATTCGATTTGTAATACAGTTTTATTTGAAGGCTCATAAATATCGATGATTGGTTGAATTGAAAAATGTCGTATCATTATTCTCGCATAAGTTACACCAACAAATCATTTTTATTTGTGTATTTACTTGTAATACATTTATGTCTGTAAAACTAATAAAAATAATTCCCACACAAAATCATACAATTTCTAAAAAACCTCACGGGTTTTGCCAGAAACTACAATGAAATAAATAAAATCCAAATTTTAAAAATATTTTATTTTACAGACATCCAGGAACCCTATAGGGTAAAGTAGACAGTTATCGGACACTTTATAGTTATTGGACAATTAACATTAATACTGTAAAAAAAGAGTTCTATAAATAGTTACCTTAAAGTCAAATCATTAGATGTCGCTATATACAATTATAACTATCTCAGTCGGTTATAATATAGAACTACTTAATTTTGGGTCCAATATAGGACAAAAAAGTTCGCACGTTACTTTGGTGGTAAGATTTTTGTTTTTCTGTTAAGAGCAGGGCTGTGTTTAAATTACAACAAAAAATATTTTTAAAAAGTGTACAGATCAAAGTGTGGTATAAATGTGTTCCTCATGGTTTAAACATTGTCACTTTAATGCGTTTTAATTTTAATTCTGAAAACAAACAGTAAAATGGCCAGTGTCCAATTACTGGTTGATAAAAATTTGTATTATTGGACATATGTCCAATATCATACTCTATTTGTATCCCGGAAATTTACCAGCCAATTCTTATGTAAAATTGTCCCTTGAATCCGAAAAGACCGTTAAAAATTATAAAAGTTAAGCAGTTTTTGAGATATAGTCAATTCCATATTATATGTAAAATTGATTATATTTGAAAAACGGTTTTATTTACTTTTATAACTTTTGACGACATTTTCGGATTCAGCGAATAATATTTCATAGGAATTGACTGCTAAATGTCCTGGATACAAATTGCTGTTGACGAGAATTATTAGTGGCTGCTTTTTCGCTATGACATTTTTGACTAATTCATTTTTAGAGAGTAAGTAGTATAGTGATTTCTTCGTCACAGGACATCTTGCAGAATAACAGTGATTTAAATACCCCAAGCAGCATTTAAAAGCGTAGAGCTTTGAGGCAATATTACTTAATTTAAGTAAATACTTTGTTAAATTAACCTTAAAAATTTACTTTGAATTAAAACTATTTTTAAAGTTATTTAATAAGTTTTTTTTATGTTATTTTTACCTATTTTTATAACCCTTAAGTTTCAACACTTTAAAGTATTAGGAGGGACGTAATTTTTATGAAAGAAAATTACTTATAAGTGTATTTTACCTAAAGGAAAATTTAACGGTAATTTTAATGTCAGAATTTTTACTTAATGGTAAATGTTACTCATAAGACCACTTTATAACCGTAAATAATTCCTATTCGCCTGGTATTTTTTAGGGTTATTAGTGGTAATAAATACTATTAATATTGACTAAACAAGGAAAAATAAGCATAAAGTGAAAAATAAAACTTTTTTTTTCAGGTCGCCATAATGAGTTTTTTAAGATGGCATCCTTTACTTATCTAAACATTTATATAATATTTTTTCATAATTATTTTTCTAAAATATAATAAGGAATGTTTTAGTTATTAAAAAATTATGAAAACTAAATGATTTTTAAAAGGTTTTATAAAATTTTGTAGGTTTTAAGTTTTGTTGAATTTTTACCCAAGTAATAATTTTTCTTAAAATCGTAACATTTTTAGAGGGCATATAATTTTTAAGATGTATCGTGCCTATTTTATCAATAAAATAATTTGCGTTTGAGTTTTAAAGCAAAATATTATTAGTTGACAATTTAAGTTATATTTTTCAATTTTACTCTGGGGTGGCCTTTATTACTTATTTACTTTATTATTTTGTAAAATATAAATTAAAAGAACAACGAAATTGCGAATGACAATGTTTTAGAAAGGTAGAGGAAACAGTTAGTATATATAGCGTTATTTTTACGTAAATTTGTGGTATTTTTATTGTTTTTATTACGTTATTCTTTTAGTAGATCAAAAAGGTTATTATGTGGGGAAAATAACGAAATAAACCATTCCCCAAATTTGGTAATTTTTCGTATCTATACCGTTAGAAAAAATACTTTAAAGTTGACTTAGTAGTAAATTTGTAGTTATTTAAACTTAAAATGCTGCTTGGGACAGTGCCTTCAGAATCCAGAAAAGGGATGAAGAATCCGAGAAATAAATATATAATTATATGATATTTACAAAAACGAAATAAAAAAATTACCTAAAACAGCATATATAAAAATTGTCCAATAACTATGTCCATGTGTCCAATTACTATATAATATGTCCAATTACTATACTTTTTGCATGTTTTTATAAAACAATTATTAAAAATTCAAATATTCTTATTTTTACTTTATCTATTCTGCTTAAACATGTATCTAGATAGTTTTCTTACATTAATGCTTAAAATGATTTTACAAGGATTTGCATGATAATATTATTTATTGGTGTAACTTAAATAATTTGATTTGAGAATACAAATTAGTGTTGGATGCAAAATATGGCTATGTAGGAAAATTATGGTGATCTCAAGATGTGTAAGACGTCGCCTAGTCAATCAGTGCTGATAGGCTTAGGTGTATGGAGGGAGACTTACCTGAGTTTAGTGTACACAAAATTTGCAGCCTAGGACGCAAATACAGCGCGTTTCTCCTCGATTTTCTCCAGCCACAACATCAAGTCGCTTACCGTCGAATGTTCGTCTTTCCCGTGATTTTTGAAATTCCGTTATTTTCACACCGAGGACGGAGTGACTAGCACTTGTTTAAATGGCGACATGCCGATGTGGGTCACTATCGAATCGGAGGAGGCGCGCGCGACGTCCGCATCGATTTTGGCGGACGCCAGGTGACGTCACCAGCCCCCGACGCGGCGGTTCGCTGCTCGGCCGCTCGGCCGCCGACGCCGCCACCGGTGGCGGTAACTGGGGCGGCATCTGCCGGCGAGAGGTTGCGTTTCGAGTGACGAGGTAAACATTTGTCAGGTGTCTTTAAGTACTCTCTTAAAATGAATTAGTCAAAAATAACTAATTATAAGTCATATTTGACTAATTGTCATAGTGAAAAAGCAGTCACTAATAATTAGTCAAATTCCACTGAATGAAATAGTCAAATTAGTAAATTTAAATTTAAAAAAGTTTTGACCCAGCCTGGGATTGAACTCAGGTCTGTCACTTGACAAGTTTGTCAAGCTAACGTCTTAACGCATTCGACTGTCAGCCGCTCTTATAAAAATTAATTTTATTTGTCAATAAATATGGTTCATAATATTTTAAAGTTTAATATATTATTTGTGTTGCTATTTTGAGCTAAACTTTTTGCATCTTTATTTTTTGTTTTATGGGTCATTTAACCGTGGAGAGGTATATGCATTTAATTCAAATAATACTTTGTTGTTGGCCGTAAACGACTAAAGAAATTAGTTACTTTTAACTGTCAGAAATAGTCAAATATGGTGACTAATCTTAAATTAGTCAAACTTTAACTATTTACATAGTAAAAAATAACTATTTAAAAGTGAAAACGACTATTTTATTAGTAAAAAATGCTGGTACTAATTCAAATAGTAGAATTTTGACTATTTCATTTTTAGAGAGTAGGTTCCAAAATAATGGAATTAAATAAGCTACACTCACAGGCAAAATAATCGATCCACACAAATTTTGTAGATAAATTAATGGACAATCGCTCACATTTTAAAAAAATTACTAAAAAATAGACGTACGTTTATAATATACAGGTTTAAACAAAAATATGTTTTTTACCATAAGTTTAAGACACTCTGTAGAGTGGCAAAACCGTATATTGTTCTAAATTAAGTTTTAATTATCAAGTCACATCTATTTTTAAGAGTTTTGTTTTTGGTTCACCTTGATATATTTATTTTTGTGGAAAATGTGGATTTAAAAAAAACATTGCAATTTACAATATTTTTCCTGTATGAAGAACTAAGGTTGCTATGGTCCATCCATAGCCTATGGAGGATGACAGTGACAGTTTTGTTGAATCATCCCATACTTGCACATGTCATATACAGCTTTCAAATGCTAAATTGTTTTTTGTAAATTAATGTGTTAATTTTGAGGTGTCTTCTTACTTTTAAAAATGTCTCCGACTGATGTTGCCCTTTGTACTTTACTTCTTATGACGTTTAAAACACTTGCCACGTAATACTGTGACCGTCCATCCTGGATTAAATTAATGGCTCTGGCAACATCAGTCGGGGACATATTCATTTTTTAAAGTGAGAAGACACCTCAAAATTTAAACATTAATTTGCAAAAAACAATTTGATATATCAAATTGTTTTTTGCAAATTAATGTTTAAATTTTGAGGTGTCTTCTCACTTTAAAAAAGGTTTAATAACATCATCATAAGGGTATCTATTGAATGTTTTAAAAGTCCCTAAGAACATTCTTAGCAATAAGGGAAGGTTCTAAGAATATTCCATTATTCCGGGTCATATCTTCTTAGAAGATTCTTAGAATCAAATTTTGCTATCAGGGTAGTCACCTATATTTAACTACTTTTTTATATGATTTAAATCAAATAAGTCTCAATTTTTTTATCCAATAGGATAGACTAATTAAATAAAATGGTTTAGTATGGCTATCGGCCAGTTTTACTTATAAACTATAGTGGAAAATATCCTACTTTACTTACATTATTTACAGGAAATGTAACCACAGCTTTTTCCACTGAATATACAACGGTTCTTCTTTCTTCCCCATGCCAAAATTGGGCCAACTGAATTCTAAATTTGGTCAAACAACTTAAATATACTTCGTAATTTTGTTCTTTCATCAACTTTTTTGTAGAAAACAAACACATTTTGGGTATTTACCAGAACTTAATTAATATTCAATAAATACCTACTGTAGGTAGTATATAATTAATTTACGAATATAAAAAATTATTGATAAGGGTTATCTTTGTATCCTAGTTTGACGCTTTTTTATGAGAGGTGTAAAGTAAGAAAAATATTTATAATAAATAAAAATTTTATTAACAATTTTAATAAAACAAATAACTCCAATATAAAATTAATTATAATAAAAACCATAGAAAACCCTATTACTATAGGTAGTTATTTACATAGTGAAAAATATAAAATGACATATGGGTGATTCTACAAAAGTTGGGCAACTTTTGACCTCATTTTGTTTATATAGTTTTCGGAGAAAATTAAACAGTATTTTGTTATGAGAACATAGATAATATAATAAATATACTGTTCCAGACCGGGTCAGTCACTTTTTCAAACAGTTTCTGAAATATCTGTGTTTTCTACATTTGAATTCAAGGGAAGTGACGAGTATACCAGGGTACTAATTAAATACATAATTTATTGGAAAATATAAGATTTATTGCAACTTTGAGCATATTATACAATAAATATCTTAAAATCAAATAATACCACACATCAGTGGCTGCTGGTGGATTTTGGGTATACCGATATTTCAATTATTAGATATGGGACCCACACCAAATTTATATGAGTTTATAATGACATTAAATAAACAAGTTCTGCGCAAGCAGAATTTAAATTAAAGTTTGCGAAAAAAAGATAACCGAAACATCGAACATGGAACTGACGACACGGTACTGATGAATGGGATACAAATTTGAGATTATAATTCGGAGTATTTTGAATTTTAACATTGGACACAGAACTGACGGGTAAAGTGAGTACAAAGATTATCAATTTTTTAAAAATTGCTATTATTCGAATCTATGATAAAATATGAAAAATACATTATTTAATGTTTTTTAGTTTGTAGTGAAACTGAAAAATTTATGATAAATTGAATATATTTTAAAATAAAACCACTCAAATATTTTCAGGAGTTGTGACACGCTAAGGTACCGATGTTTTGAATATTTATTATGTTTTTCTACAAACGTGCTTTTGAAAAAATACATTAAAATTGGGTGTACAAGTTAAAAAACCTGGATCTTTTGTAATATACTAAAATATTTACAAAGAATATTAAAATACCTACTCTATTGACTGATGACATCAAGTTGTCCAACTTTTGTAGAATGGTCCATATCAAAATTTAATATTTTAACCAGAATTATTTTTTTATTACCAATAGGTAAACAGCATAATTTTATTAATTTCAAATTTAATATTTTTTTTTTAACAAAATAATAATAAAAATACTATTCCATCTAGTCGATTTGTAAATTCTTCAGGATGGTTTTTTCGTCCATTTTTTGGGGCGAATTGCTGCCCGTCAATAGTCCCCACCACGAGGCTTTTTTCACGCGTTTTGATTCGTCCGCGACGATTTTCGACGATTCTATCAGCCAATCGGTGTACTTCCTCGTCAAGCATTTGGTATCCTTGTCCAGATCGTCCACAGATGGCGCTTCACCGCCGTAGTCCATGGGCAGAATCTCTATTGGAATTGTGTCAGGAACGCAACCTAAAAAAGTTAAAATACAAATATAACGCACGGAGATAAAAGTATAATGCTGATTCCCATAATTATAATATACCCTTTACTATAATTTATATTACTATTTGGGATAACTATCTTGTATATTGCCAGATACTATGCATATTTACTAATTTTTAAATATCCATGTATGTTAAACCTTAAGTATAGTAAATTTTAAAATATTATGTTGCCATTTTAAATATAAAATATTTTAAAATCGAATATTTTTATATGTTAACAATTAAAAATTGTAACATATTTATTGTACTTTTGAATATACAAAAATGTTATGAGAAAGAATTAAACCTACACCTCGCCAAAGTTTTTTGTTTTGAGTGCGTTCCATCAACTTCAAATACCGACAGACAGGTGTTTTGACCTATATTGGGTATCATCAGTGTCGACACGACACTGTCGAGCAACTTGTAGTAGTGGAACACACCCAAAACAAAGAAATACCTGAGCTTATATAACATGGTTGGTAAGCCAACAGAGGCGAGATGTAAGAACATCACGTGATCCACACCGTCTAACGACGCGTCGCGACGTGGCCTTTGCCGCAATCGGTACATACTATGCAACCAAGTAGGTTCAATTCTATTTTATAAGTATTACCAGTAATGGGTCAAGAAAGTTTATTGAAGAAACTAAGAAAATTGAATGTTTAAAATGTCATGAGTTACTATATTGTATATTATATTTAAATATATTGTTTATTTACCTTGAACATAAAAGTATCTTTATTTTTACTATATTTTTTATTAATGTGTAATATATTATAATATTAGGTGTAAACCTTACATTTGATTAAATCATATAGTAAATATTACTATTGGTAGATAGTAAAATCAATTTACTATAGAAACATATTAAAAATTAAAATATATATTATACATTTATGATAAGCTGTATGCATTCTTGCCTCTAATTCGCCCAAATTATTCATTTTTTCATGACGGTACAAAGTAGATTTTACCTATCCCCACAGGAAAAAATCGTTAGGAGCCAAGTCTGGCGACCTTGCTGGCCAGCGAATAGCACCCCTGGTAGAAATTATCCTTTGGGGAAAAATCTCTTGTAAATATCCATCACTATTCTTGTGTTATGTGATGGGCAACCGTTCTGTTGATACCAAACGTTATCCAAATTTGGGGTTATGTTTTGGATTGTGGGAATAATTCTATTTTGAAGAAGATCCAATTAAATTGCCACCAATTACAAAGGGACCAATAATATTATTTCCATAAATACCAGACCACACGTTCAACTTTTCAGGATACTGAGTCTTTAAGTTTAGTTGCCTGTGCTCATTTTCAATAGACCAGTACCGGACAATAACAGGATTGTGCTTTCCATGTAATGGAAATATGGATTCGTCGGTAAATACTATGTTTTCATCTTCATTTGCGCATTCCATCATATTTTCACAAAATTCCATTCTCCGGTACTCGTCGTCTTGAAAAATTCCCTGATGTACTTGGTATTTATAGGAACGATATTTATTTTTTTAAATATTTTGTGGACTTTACCCACACTAATGCCGGTCTTTTCGGCTATTTTAGGAATTGATGTATTTGAATCTTCTTCTACCATTGCACAAACCATTATTTCTTTCATCTCCGCATCTACATCAATTCTGGGAGTACTGTGACATTTACACCCTAAAATACAACCATCTGTTTTAAACCTTTGGATAACGTTTGTTATTGTTCCAATTGAAGGAATAGAACGTTCCGGATATTTAACTGCGAATAGGTCTCTTGTTTGACGTAGAGAATTGCCCACTAAAGACCAGCTTATCATGTCAATTTTCTCTTGCAATGTGTAGGACATTATAAGTTATAATTTTAAATAAAATAAATTGATTTATGTTAAAAAGCTCGAAATACACACTAGCAAATGCAAAACAAAACTGAATCCTCGCCTAGAAGAAAAAACAAAATAATATTGCTGTACCTTTATGAAATTTAACTAAGGCCAACACTTCTGACTTTACTAAAGGAACAACCAATCTCATTACATGGTTTATCCAATTGGCAGTGTTGAGAACGTGGATTCCTTTTAGTCTGCAAGGATGAGCCTCCTGAAAATTAAAAATAAATATGTGATAACCATGGATTTTTTATTTTAATTATATTTTTGGTGACTTTGTAGTTTTACCTGAATGTACATCATAAAACACTTTAAAGCTGGCAAACTGACTCTGGCAAGGTGGCCTATGCAAACGCTCTTCATGTCGAAAAGGACAACGTACCTAAAAATAAAAAATAAAAATTCTAAAAGTGTTATTTTGTTTGAATGATTTTTAGTGGTAAGATAATTAATAAAGATTTTTAAATTAAATCGTTTAATGCACAAACAAATATAAAATTTTCTTTATTTTTAATTGTTGTACAATTTGGGACATACGAGGTGTGTTCAGAAAATATCGGGAATTTTCGTTTTTTGAAACAAATATTTATTTATTCGTCTACATTAATGTCGTCGCCTTCAAAATAGTCCCCATTGGATATTATGCACATGTGCCAGCTCTTCTTCCAATACTCGAAACACTTCTAAAACTCGATCTTTGGGATAGCCTTTAGTTCTTTCAGCGATGCGCTTTTAATGTAATCTATGCTTGCAAAACGACGGCCCTTTAGGGTTCTCTTTATTTTTGGGAATAGAAAAAAGTCAAACAGAGGCATGTCTGGCAAATATGGAGGCTGGTGCATCATTACAGTATTGTTTTTGGCCAAAAATGTTGTTCAAAATTTAACAATTTTAGAACAAAATTTGCTGCCACGCGTTTCATACCCAAAACATTCGAAAAAATTTCATGGGATAAGCCAATCGATATACCAACATCATCAGCGACTTCTCTGATGGTTTATAACCATTTCTTCCACTTTTTCCATAGTTTTTATCGGTTGTTAATGTGCTTGTGCGTTCAGGGCGTTCGTCATCTTCAACGTCTTCACGGTCATCTTGACAACTCTTATACAACTTGTAAACTCTTGTTTTACTTATAGCAGACTCACTATAGGCCTTTGTTAACATTTCGCGGAATTTTTTTCATTTTTTAAGTAAAATTGGATACAAATTCTTTGATCCGTTTCTTTTAACGAACGAAAATCGCCGAGCTCATAAAACACGTCTAACCTTAGCGGCTCCCACAGACAAAGTAAACAATGAAAACAGCTAAAATTTTTATCATACTTCGGGGGCGTGTATACCAACATAATAAAGAAAAATTTATGACAACCGGACCCTCCGAACCCGCGAAATTTAACAATTCCCGTTATTTTCTGAACACACCTCGTATGTTTAAGTTTGGATTTTATTTAATAATATATATTACAAAATATGTATCTACCACTATGGAAATAACAGTATAGCAACATTATAATAAGTGATATGGGTTAATAAAAATATAATGTAGCAATTTTTATTAATTATTTTATAAACTGTTTATTTCAAAACCTGTTTCGCAGGTGCATGTCCTTAGTTAATTATAATTTGCAAAAACAAAGTGACAAACATCGGCAATGAAAAAGTTTATGGGATAAATCTTGGTTTTTTTATTTTAATTGTCAGTTTTATACAATAAAATTTAATAAAATTTTTTTCAAATATTTGAAACAAATTGCCACTTTAGCAGTAACTCATTGGAGACAATAAACTATAAAAAAAAATATGAAATATTATTGTAATAATTTAATAAACCAACAATATTTTAATTAACAATTTCTGTTACTAATTTATTACTTAATGTTTAAAGTGGCCTCCATTTACATTCAAGGATTTCTTAATTCTTACATTGGCGTTGCTTCTTCACATTCTTTTTGTTATTAAAATATTTTTTCTACTCCCACCTTTAAAACGCCCTTTATCGTACATGTTTATATGACACTAAGTGACCTTTTAAATACACATTGACAAGTTGTGGCTTTATGGCGCTTTAGTCACGGGCCGAAGTTAGCAACAGGTTTTTAGTCACGGGCTGAAGTTAGTTTTAAGTTTGTTGACAGTTGTCAAATGTTATACAATCGTTAAAATAAAGTGCCTTTCTTGTAAAATAATACTAAATTTGAAAATTATTTTATTTTCTCAATACAAAAATACATAAGTATTCAATAGTTTCTTAACGCCAATATTTGAAAAGTTTATATGAACATTGTACTGACCTTTTAATTTCGCCGGCAGTAAACTATAACTTAAATTCGGGCACGGACTTCACTGTAAAGTCCTCATAAAACATTTTCTTTACTTTCACTGTGAAAAAATGTCAATTTTTAAGAAATACATTTCGATTTATAACCTTTATAACCTGTGTTTATAAAATAAAAAAATGCGACATTTAACGGCGAAACACAGATTCTCCTATTGTTTCATAGATGGCGCTCCATACAAATTTTTGATTTAAATCATTTTAAGATAATAATAAATATTTGTCGTAGAAAAAGTATAGATAGCATGCATCTCGTTCATAAACTTTTCTATACACTCATTAATTTAAGCACTTGCTCGCAGGCGTTTATCAAACTTGTTACATAATATACTATTATACCTTAAATTTAATTTGGTCGAATTTTAATTTAGATAGTTGGTATCACAGTCATTGGTTTGACAGTTAATGTCAAAATCTATTCGCTATGCCGTCCTTAATTTACTTATTTACAATAAGCGGCTGTTAATGTTAAAGAAGAAAAAAATTATTTTCTCTGGTGTTAAACAAAATTTATTGCCAGAAAAGTCTCGTAAGTACTAGAAAAATCATAAAAATATTATAACCAATATGCAAAATATTATGCTGTTTAAAGTATAGTCAACCTATAAAATCAAAATTTTGGGTGGGATAAAGTATCTCATTACTAAACTAAAAATGTTCATTTCATACTTTATACATAAAAATGACGCCAAAAACTGATTGCAGTTTCTTGTTCGGGACCCTTTGGTGAATTAAAAATGATATTTACCAAAATCCTAGCTGATCCTTTTTTCGAATTTTTTTCAAAATTTATGATTTTTATTTAAATTTTTGTTTATTTCAAAGTCTACCTTTCACAGAGTACACATTTGTACACCGATTTTTATAAAATTAGAGTATATTATTGAGGAGACTTAAAGAATACTTTTTAATAATGTTCACATCATTTGATATATACAGGGTGGACCAAAAATCGCTTAATTTTAATAAAGCAAAAGCGTAAATTCATGATTTTGGCATAACAAGCAAAACAGATGTATCCCAATTTTTTTAGATATTTGTTTATTAGGTTACAAAATGGCATTCTTATTAACCTTTTATTAAAAAAATAGATTTTTAATAAAATTAAATAAAATAACGCTTAGAAAATATTTAAAATGATGTTTAATTTAGGCTTTTTAGAAGTTTTCAATTTTGAACGAAAAACTGGTTAAAGTTTTTTGATCGGCACTCTTTGGAGATTTAAAAACGGTATTTACCAAAATTCTAACTGCTTTTCTTTAAATTTGTTAAAAAATCATTTTTATTTAAATTATTTGTTTATCGCAAAGTCTACCTTTGCCAGAGTACAGATTTGTATACACCGATTTTTATTGATTGATTGCAGTTTCTTGTTCGGGACCCTTTGGTAACTTTAAAATGATATTTAACAAAATCCTAGCTGCTCCTCTTTTCGAATTTTTTTGAAAATTCTTAATTTTTTTTTTAATTTTTGTTTATCTTACCTTTGACAGAGTACACATTTGTACACCAATTCTTATAATATTGGAATATATTGTTAACGAGACTTGGAGAATACTGTTTTCATACTAAGCACATCATCAGATTTATACAGGATTAGCCAAAAATCACGTTTTTATATAGTAAAAAGCATAATGCACAAAACAGATTTATCTCCAAAAAAATTTATTTTATTTAATTTTATTCAAAATCAATTTTTCTTATAAAGTCTTGATAAGAATCCCATTTTGTAGCCTGATAAACATAAAAATATCTAAAAAAACATGGGTGGGTATATATCTTTTTGCGTGTTATGCCAAAATCATGAATTTACGCTTTTGCTTTATTAAAAGAAGCAATTTTTGGCTAACCCTGTATATATTAAATGATGTGCACAGTATAAACAGTATTCTCCAAATCTCCTTAGAATATACTCCAATATTATTAAAGTCGGTGTCCAAATGTGTACTCTGTCAAAGGTAGACAAAAATTTAAAAAAATAATCATGAATTTTCAAAAAATTTCGAAAAGAGGATCAGCTAGGTTTTTGGTAAATATCATTTTTAAGTTACCAAAGGGTCCCGAACAAGAAACTGCAATCAGTTTTTGGCGTCATTTTTATGTGACCTAAACTTCGTTCAGGGACACTGTGTATAGTTATCACAAGTAGCTGGAGTGTGAATCTGACAAAATTACAGGACAATAATAATTTTTTTATTGACCATAATTTAAATTAAATATTACAATTACACGTGCAATTTTTTTATAATTGATTAGCTTTAATTTTAATGTTTTTAGTTGACGTAAGTGAAATGAAAGCAAAATATAAAATAATTTCGACATTTTAGAATTTATTTTACAATTTTGACGATTTTATGACATTTGACACCTGTCAACCAACTTAAAGCTAACTTCAGCAGCGTGACTAAAACCTGGAAACTATTTATTTAATTTTTTTACAATTTTTTTCACTTTTTTTAAGGTGGCAATATTTTTTTTATATGAGAGTCCAACGTTTATTATTAGGGTATATTTAATTATTTTTGATAATCATTGTTTATGGTTAATAACTTTTTTATATTAAATACTTCTACGAAAGTTTAAATGTTATAATAATACAATATTTATTAATCATTGACGTAATATACAATATAAATCATTCTATTTATGTGAATAATATTACATATTTACTGTCTTAATTAAATAATCTATTATATTTATTAAAGTAATTAGGTATTATGAAAAATAAACACCTTTAATTTTAATTTGTTTGTAATGTTATCAAGGTTTTAATATTAATAGGAGTATAACAGAAAAATACTAGGTACCTACAGAACGTGAACCTAAATATGCATCTTGAACTATAAAATACATAAAAAATTAGTATACGAGGTGTGTTCAGAAAATAACGGGAATAGTTAAATTTCGCGGGTTCGGAGGGTCCGGTTGTCATAAAATTTTCTTTATTATGTTGGTATACATGCCCCCGAAGTATGATAAAAACTTTAGCTGTTTTCATTGTTTACTTTGTCTGTGGCAGCCGCTAAGGTTAGACGTGTTTTATGAGCTCGGCGATTTTTCGTTCGTTAAAAGAAATGGATCAAAGAATTTGTATCCAATTTAGCTTAAAAAATGAAATAAAGTCTGTGAAATGTTAACAAAGGCCTATAGTAAGTCTGCTATAAGTAAAACAAGAGTTTACAAGTGTTATTAGAGTTTCCAAGATGGCCGTGAAGACGTTGAAGATGACGAACGCCCCGAACGCACAAGCACATTAACAACCGATAAAAACATGGAAAAAGTGGAAGAAATGGTTATAAACCATCATAGGTCGCTGATGATGTTGGTATATCGATTGGCTCATCCCATGAAATTTTTTCCAATGTTTTGGGTATGAAACGCGTGGCAGCAAAATTGTTCCAAAATTGTTAATTTTTGGCCAAAAACAATACTGTAATGATGCCCCAGCCTCCGTATTCGCCAGACATGCCTCTGTCTGACTTTTTCTTATTCCCAAAAATAAAGAGAACCTTAAAGGGCCGTCGTTTTGCAAGCATAGATGGCATTAAAAGCGCATCGCTGAAAGAACTAAAGGCTATCCCAAAGATCGAGTTTTAGAAGTGTTTCGAGTATTGGAAGAAGAGCTGGCAAATATGCATAATATCCAATGGGGACTATTTTGAAGGCGACAACATTAATGTAGACGAATAAATAAACATTTGTTTCAAAAAACGAAAATTCCCGATATTTTCTGAACACACATCGTAGGTCTTTTAAAACTTAAGTTAAAAGTCTATAAAAAAATTCCTTTACCAAATTTTCGAATTTGCAAAATTGCAGGAGTAAAAAATCAATACTTTACTTATTAAAGCAAGTAAAATGCGTCTTACCCTTCGGCTAATCCATCTTCAGATAAAATACAGTCATTGTACATGCAAAAACCTTTGACAGCATCTGCAAAATTCACTTTGGTTGGATCAGGATCCCTGACGCTGTACAAGAGGACGCGGTATCCCTCAGGGGTCGATTTTGGGAGCCTCACCAAGTGTCTGAAATGAAAAATTATATAAATTAATACTCTTAACATTCAAAAACGAGAAACTAATAGATCTGTATAACTTAACCCTGATAGCACACTTTATTCTAAGAATGTTTTTAAAACCTTCCAGTGAGAATATTCTTAGGATCATGCTACATTTCTTCTAAAGAACATGCTTAAAAGACATATACTTAAGTACCTAAATAGTAGTACAATCCAAAATATTTTTTTATAGTTATTTGTCAAATTACAACAATATTCGATAACAAAAATACTTTTACTATTGGTATTTTTTTTATATTAAAAATAAATATTTATTAATTTGTATACCGATTTTTTATTTCTGAATTAACATTTGTATGTATAATAATCCTAACTATCTTTAACTTCAATCTAATCTGACTTATCCCACAAAAATTTTCCAATTTTACTTTTTATGAAATAATGTCATTCAACTTATAGTTTAGAGGTCAAATTGTTTTTTTAATGTTTTTAAATAAATTTATATTAATATGTCGCAAAATTTTTTAAGGGGACAATACATTTCACTGTCATATTATGACAGTGAGGCGTATTTGTCGTCTCCTGAAGAATTTTACGAATGTAGAATACAACATATTAGAACGTGGGTATCTAACACAGACCTACAAACAAGTTTGTAGGTCTTTGGTATCTAACATATTTGGATATACTCTCAATAGCTTCCTAGAAGCTCCATAAGAAACCTTCTAAGAACATTCCAAAAACGTATTCTTAAAATGTTCTTAAGATCCTTTTTAGGAAGGTTTTAAGAAGCTTTTAAGAATCTAATTGCATCATTAAAAGGGTATCTATTGAATGTTTTAAAAGTCCCTAAGAACATTCATAGCAATAAGGGAAGGTTCTAAGAATATTCCATTATTCCGGGTCGTCTTCTTAGAAGATTCTTAAAATCAAATTTTGCTATCAGGGAACAATGATGAAACAATGATAAAACGTTTAAAAACAAGAACTATTAATTTGTCACCCATCAAAACTCATAATCATAGACCAATATATTTTTCAGCCTACGTACTACTAAGTAGCTAAACTATTGTTCGCTATAACCCTAGACATACAATAGATAATGTAAGTGACATTTCAATTTGTCATTTTTTCGTCAACGTTCAAAATATTTTCATCAAAATTTATCACCACAAAAACTTGTCACATAAGATCAAAGATGTTTTCTCTACTGAAAATCCACCCCCCAGTAAGTATACTTGAATTATTTACTTAATTTTCATTCCCGAAATTAGTTGAATTGTCACATTGCCCAAAATGCGATAGAGTCATCAAAAGTTTTGCCAAAAGAAGAACCTGCGTTAAAAATAGTCATCATGCTTTGTCATAAGTTTCAAGACATCATGAAATACTGCGCTTAACGTGACCAAGAGGTTCATGGTGATGATGTAGTAGTCCAATTGTGAAACCAAGGATACCATCAAGCGATAAAACCTCCAAAAGGCTTGTGCTGATATCCTTGGAGATATTTCTCTGGTCGATGTAAAAAACTCATTCTCCAAGTAACACATGTAACTCTTGGCTTTTACCTAAATATTATATCAAAGCTTTATCACACTCTCTAAAAAGATGTTTAGGTTTATGGGAGTTATAACAAAAGTTAATTGTTCTTAGAACCATATTACTCTAATTGAAATATTTATTACATTATTTATACCCTTATAAAACCATATTTAACTTTGTGGCAGAATATTGGTTTTAAGGGTTCTTTAAATGTATTTTTTATAATATGGAAGCAGTTAAAACCAAATTTCTGGAGGAACTGTCCTAAGACTATTTGCTTGTGCTGTACTTTGTACAGCAAATATTTTAATCTGCTTTATTATACTCCTGTGTGCTAGCTTCTCAAGAGCAGTTTATCTCGATATGCATTTTAGCTTTAAGACCACATTACGACAACTTATTTTTTTTCGCAGCGCCCCCTAAATTTTTAGTTATTGGAACATTAATACTGTAAAGAGTTCTATAAATAGTTACCTTTTGTTAAGGGCAGGGCTGTGTTTATATTACAATAAAAAATATTTCTAAAAAGTGTACAGATCAGTGTGTGGTATAAATGTGTTCCTCGTGGTTTAAACATTGTCACTTTAATGCGTTTTAATTTTAATTCTGAAAACAAACAGTAAAATGGTCAGTGTCCAATTACTGGTTGGTAAAAAATTGGACATATGTCCAATATCATACTCTTTTGTATCCCAGACATTTACCAGCCAATTCTTATGTAAAATTGTCCCCTGAATCCGAAAAGACCGTCAAAAACTATAAAAGTTAAGAAGTTTATGAGATATAGTCAATTCCGTATTATATTTAAAGATGATTATATTTCAAAAACTGTTCTACTTTTATAACTTTTGACGACATTTTCAGATTCAGCGAATAATATTTCATAGGAATTGACTGCTAAATGTCCTGGATAAAAGTAAAAGTAAAATAGTGATTTCTTCGTTATGTTTATATAAAAATTGTATGTCCAATAACTCTGGTCCATGTGTCCAATTACTATATGGTTTACCCTATATACTACGGCAAAAATGATTAAAAAGAATACGCTTACATGCTAACTAGCTTTATCGACATCTTCGTCTGAGGACACTACTTAACTGTGGTGTCAAAGGAGGATTTATAAAAGCTGTAACAACCTCAATAAAGCAATTATAATAAAACCTGTAGGTATCCCTTCCAGAAAAAAATGTTTGATGAATTCTTTTTAGTCGCAGATAAAACAGGTCTTGGACATACCTCTAAGTGTCGCTCCTGCTGACACCAGGCCTTTATACACTCGCAGCCGAAGCTTCTCTCCATCGTGGCATTGCATGGAGGATTTGTACTCCAAATCGGATTCTCCAGCGCCTCAAGCACCAGTATATTTTACAGAGATAAGAAAAACTTATAGTCTGAGAAATGTGTTCAGTCATCCAGAAAGAATCAGAAGCGAAATTAAGGAGAGGGATGGAAAAGTTTGGTTAAGGTGAGAATCTCTAATTTTTACAATGTATACGCTAAAGAAGTATCGGGTTTTCGCAACGCGCGCGCCATCTGGTGGACTTCAAAAGCATTGCGTGAATTTAAGAATTGTCAACAATACATTTATAGCATACGAACTGTACATCATTTTTAAATAAATAGGTAGTTTTCTAGTCTTACTCGACAAATTTTGTTCAATTGCACAGCTAAATCGCGCACGTTATTTGTGTTTTACGTTGCAAGGAAAAAACTGGTTTAGTACTCGATTTCGCTGGATTATTCTTTATATCATTGATTAAGAAACTCAACGCTTAAATGCTTATATAGTTACGTTAGTGTGTGTATTTTATCTAAGGGATCATGGTGAATTATTGCGTTTTTAATTGTAAATAAAATTCAAGACTAAATCGTTGCATTTTCATGTTTTGCCAAAAGATCCAATTCGGTAAGTACATTTGTTGGTGCAGAATTAACTAATGATAACTTTACCTAATATAATTTATATTTAAGTTTGGACATTTTTAAGATATTAGTAAAAAATAATTTTTCCACAAACATAACCTTAAAATAAACCATTTTTATATTTGAGTTCTCTAAAAAACGCCGACAACTGCATTTTAAACAACAAAATATACCTACGAATTCCTGGCAACATAATATTATATATAATGGTATTTATTAAAAATTGTGTGCTTTTTTAAATATTTATGTTCGTTAAGTTACTTTTTAAAAGAAACCATTCCAATTCTTTGTTAAAAAAACAATACCATTAATATTTTCTTTTAGTCACTGTATTAGTGAGTTAAACTCTAATTTATAAACACGTATTACCAAGTGATAGCGTATAAAAATCATTTTAAGTATTTTTTTAATAAAAACTAAAAAAAGTAACGAAATAGACATTGGTATCACAACGGACTGGGGTACACAAAGGACTTAATCAGATAACGTAAAAAAGAAACTATATAGGGTGGTACGATTTTAGAGTAATGCATAAACAAAATCCCTTGTAGTGGTGCTCACTTGCACAATAACAACTTAGATTTCTAAATTGTAGACACCCTTTTTCTTTGACTATAAGCTGGTGAAGGTATTGCGTCCCTTTTAGTACTTGTATATTGCGTGGAATTTTCCTTTGGATGTAATTTATATCATGATTATCATGATAATAAAAGCGACGGTAAATATCCACTTTGTTGTCGAAAAATTCTATTGCGTTACCCTTAATTCCATTGCGTTACCATAAGGTAACATAATGGACTCGGTAACGCAGTGGAAAAAGTTTTGTGAAACCATATTTAAAAAATAATAATAAGACATTACAGTCATTAATTACTCTCAATGAGCTTCAGTGCCCTAAAATAAACATAAACATGAAAAATAGTATTTTTTGTTACCTTATTTTTATTATTTTTTCAACCGATATCTTCTTCCTGATTGAATAAATAAATTCAGCTGGGTAATGTGCACGTCCGAACATCATTTGTTGATCACGTGAGTGCCAAAAAAGTTGCCATATATATGTTTTTTTTAATATTCTATCGGTAACGCGACGGACGTAACGCAACGAAAAAAATGTCTGGGACATGAGTCAAATTTAAATAAAGTAGATTAAAATTAATTATTTTATATATAAATTGTTTACTGTATTAACTAAGGATGTTATGGATTGCTATAAAGCAACACAAAGTTCTGGTTATTCAATATTTAAAAAAAAACATGTATGTAAGTTTTATAAAACGCTAATGGGACATGCGAAAATGTGTGTTTCACAAGTTTCAAAATTAAAAAAAATTATTCTGAAATAACTAAACAGACATTTTCCGGCTTTATTCTTCAAAACACTCGTTTGTAACATAAGCGTTTGACAGCTGATTATCAAAAGTTGTGTTTTTGTTACGATGATAACAGCCGAGTGGTGGCGCTACTAGCGATACTTCTTTAGCGTATTTTCCCCATCCGTAAAATCGTTATGAGGCTTATTACCATTTTTATTTTAGAAAAATGCACTGGCAAGCTCCGGCAGTTAGTATTGTAAGACAGCCGAAAAGGGAGATACCACTAAAAACAAATTACAGCCTGGTTCTTCCAGGAACTATGAAAAAATTGGATAATAAAGTAAAGTTTCACAAAAAGAAAGTTTTTAAGCTGAGAACCAACCAGAATGAGTACTACTTGTTGGTGTGTATTGAATTTCTAATTAATTTAACGTTCAATTTTAGAAATGACAGGGTTGTCCGAACGACGTCCGAAAGATTTCAAAAGAAACAGATGGATTGTTTGTTGTTTAAGCCCAAGGTTGAAAAGTACAGGGTTATGGAGAAAATAATCAAGAATATCGAAGTTAAGCGAGTTCAGGAGTTGGAGGAAAAAATTGCCCTTGGTAAGTAATTTGATTAGATTACCTAAACCATTAACCATACCCATGTTGTAGCAAGAGAATATGCTAAGAGAAGATTCATTTACAAAAGAAAGTTGAACTCACCTACAGCAAACTACATCCCAGGACGTACTTTTGACAGCGATGATTACTCGGAATATTTTCCAATATTGAACAAAATTAACAGGATAATAGACAGCAAACTGTCTACCAGTTGTCCAAATTGTACTGCTGCCATGTCGGATAGAAAAAAAAATTATATGTAATTTTTCTTGAATAAATTGTGACAAGAAACATGCTTTTGTTTTTTTGTTAAGAGCTGGGCTGTGTTTAAATTACAATAAAAAATATTTCTAAAAAGTGTGTGGTATAAATGGTTTAAACATTGTCACTTTAATGCGTTTTAATTTTAATTCTGAAAACAAACAGTAAAATGGCCAGTGTCCAATTACTGGTTGGTAAAAAATTGGACAAATGTCCAATATCATACTCTATTTGTATCCCGGACATTTACCAGCCAATTCTTATGTAAAATTGTACCCTGAATCCGAAAAGACCGTCAAAAACTATAACACACGGTGGTCAAAACTAAAGTATAGGACGAACAAAAATGCCAACCAAAACTGATAGCATAATCCGATTATAGACTCTTTTGGTAACACAAAAATGTATTTATCAAAATCCCAGCTAAGCCTTTATTAAAGTTTTGCCTATTTCTTGGTATTTTAAAATTGTTTATGCCATTTCGATAAAATACTCTAGTACCTACCATTATCAAATGTTTTTAAAAATTTGGCAGATACATGACTGAAATATGGATAAATTACATTATAAATACAAAATATTGTAAAATACAGTTTGCAATATCTTATTTATTGTTTTAAGGCACCTAATACAAAACTAATAAATAACTAAAGATTCTTTGAGGCAAAATCGATTACTGCTTGCCTTAAATTTTCAGTAAAACTTTTTCTTGGGTTTTACATGGAATTGTTTTTAACATGGAAACAGTATTTTTAAATTCTTCAGTCTCTGTACAAACATGCTTCTTACATCTAGCGATATCCCCTAGAAAGGAAGAGCATATCAAAACTTTAGTTCGTTCGTCCGTCCTCTTCCCTTAATAATTTTTTATGCCCTTTATATCTTGCCATTTTGCAGATAAAGCACATACATTCTTGGCTGCCGCGAAATTCTCTAGCAATTTCTAAATTCTGAAAATTTGGCAATTGTGGCTATGCAAAAATACCGTTTTTACCGTATTGAAGTAGGTAATTTGGAATCAGTTAAGTTAAAGGGTTCGTTTGAAAAAGATTGCATTAATTTTTATATTTTCTCAGAATCCCTAAACTCTGAATTTTTCGATTACCAAAAACCATTTTGTCTCCACAGCCAGCACATACCTTCTTTCGATTTTCTTCATGGCTTAACTTGAATTTCGGTTTAATTTTCATTTTAAAATACTAAATATAGTATTTTAAAATATATTTTTAACTTTATAAAGTATACATTAAATAAACAACTAAAGCAAAATGTCACTTGCGTTATAACGTATAGCAATTTTTTTCATAACCACCTTAATTATTGTTTTACAAAATTTGCAAGTTGTAATTATTTCATAGACAAACTTCCAGTATTTTTTGTCATAAAAAATATTTAAGATATAAATCTTCGTTTTTTTTTGTTATGTTTTGTTTTGAGTGGTAAAAAATAATAGGTGAGTCAATAAATTAATACTGGGGAGTAAAGTAATTTAATTGATACAAAGTTTATTATTTAGTAGTGATTAACGTGAAAAGTGTAAACATTTCAATTCAGTAATAATCGCCAAACAAATAATTTGTGTAAATTTAAACAGCATTTAGCATTATTAAAATCGTTGATTAAGAATTATTTAAAGTCTCCACTTAACGGTAAAATACCATTATATTATGAATTATATATAATATTATGTTGCCATGAATTCGTAGGTATATTTTGTTGTTTAAAATGCAGTTGTCGGCGTTTTTTAGAGAACTCAAATATAAAAATGGTTGATTTTAAGGTTATGTTTGTGCAAAAATTATTTTTTTACTAATTTCTTAAAAATGTCCAAACTTAAATATAAATTATATTAGGTAAAGTTATCAATAGTTCATTTTGCACCAACAAATGTACTTACGGAATTGGCAAAACATGAAAATGCAACGATTTAGTTCTTGAATTTTATTTACAATTGAAAACACAATAATTCACCATGATCCCTTAGATAAAATACACACACTAACGTAACTATATAAGCATATAAGCGTTGAGTTTCTTAATCATTGATATAAAGAATAATCAATCGAAATCGCGTACTAAACCAGTTTTTTTAGTTTTTTCCTTGCAAAGTAAAACACAAATAACGAGTGCGATTTAGCTGTGCAATTGAACAAAATTTGTCGAGTAAGACTTCTGCCTTCCTCTCTTTTGTGAAAAACCTACCTATTTATTTAAAAATGATGTACAGTTCGTATGCTTTAAATGTATTGTTGACAATTCTTAAATTCACGTAATGCTTTTGAAGTCCACCAAATAAACATAAACATGGTGCCTTATACATTATTGAACATACTACATTTATATACTAAGTATTAGTCCCAAATCTATAAAATCAACGATAGCTGTTGATAACAACAAAATCAATTTGTGTATGATAGAAATGTAGTAACTTTCATTAACGTCAACATTTTCAAAATTTTAGTGATGAATCCTGTCCGATTTCTCCTCAACAACACCTTGGTAAGCATTCCAACCGAATCGTCCTTTTCGTGTTTTTACATAAAAACGTTTTTTTCTAGACTTTGCGAAAAAAATTACAACTTCTAGTAAACGCCGACAATCTACCGTTAACATGTATAAATTCCAAGCAAATATCCAGCCAAACTACACTAAATCATACGGCCCAGGTTGACAAAGATGAAACGTTTATTAAAGAATTGAAAACTTGCCTTAAACCTGGCTGCGCGAAATCACAGGCGCAGCAGAGGTTCTACGCCACAAAAGGCAGAAAACCGCAAGAAAAATTGGATTGTGATGAGGAGCTGTCACTCAAAAACAGAATTAGAAGAAAAAGAGACACGATCAACTCCGATGATTGTCTGTTCGGGAAAACCAAGCCTATCGGGATTAAAAAGAAGCAGCTTAGAAGAGGATGCGCGCAACTAAACAGCGTTACGAATTTAAAGGGAAAAGTTGACGAAAGTCAAAATAAAAACGAACCGATCAGTAGCCATCCGGTGTGTTTGGACTTGGCGTTGCAGAAGGAAATTGCTGGAAAATGCGTCGGTGATGCTATTCTAAAAAATTCCTTGCTGCATAAGCTGGAAGTTGATGATAACAGTAAGTTTGTAACTTTAACTGGGAATAATGCGGTAGTTGCGGAAAAAAACGCCAAATATGATCCCCCAAACGAGTTTTACAAAACGCTACAGACCATTGAACATTTGGAGTTTTTGCAAAATCCAGTTAAACTTAATCCTGAAGCTTTTTTGAAGAAGACCCCAATAGTTAAACTGGATAAGGAAACAAAACCTGAAGAGAATACAGCAAGTGAGGATGTATTGAAGGAAACAATACAAAAATACGAGTGCGACATAAACGACGTCACTGTATCATTTAGTGATACCTCATTGGCACTACGCAATATCTTATCCATGAAGAGCCATAAAATGGTTGGATCTACAATTGGCAAACACGTGGGCAGGGCTTTGAGCCTTTCGAGATCCCTTTCAATGAAGGAGGGTCTGCTGTTTGAGCCTCGCATGGAAAAAATCAACAACATTTATCAAAAGTGCCATTACGCAGCTTGGGGCAAAAAGGGGAAAAAAGGGGGGGACCCGTGTAAAAAAAAACCTGAGTGTCCTCCAAAACCGCCGCCTTGTCCACCTCCGAAGCCGGTCTGCCCACCCCCCAAGCCGGTGTGCCCTCCACCTCCACCAAAGCACGATCCTCCTTGTTGTCCGCCGTGCCCGCCCTGCCCCAAACCTCCACCACCTCCAAAACCCTGTTGCCCGCCGTGCCCTCCATGTCCAAAACCTCCACCACCTCCTAAGCCTTGCTGTCCACCTTGCCCACCCTGCCCCAAACCTCCACCTCCTCCAAAACCTTGCTGTCCGCCGTGCCCTCCATGCCCTAAACCACCACCGCCTCCAAAACCATGCTGTCCGCCGTGCCCTCCATGTCCTAAACCTCCACCACCTCCAAAACCCTGTTGTCCGCCATGCCCACCGTGTCCTAAACCTCCACCACCTCCTAAACCTTGCTGTCCTCCGTGCCCTCCGTGTCCAAAACCCCCTCCACCTCCAAAACCTTGCTGTCCGCCATGTCCTCCGTGTCCAAAACCCCCACCACCTCCAAAACCCTGTTGTCCGCCATGCCCACCGTGCCCTAAACCTCCACCACCTCCAAAACCTTGCTGTCCGCCATGCCCTCCTTGCCCGAAACCCCCACCACCTCCAAAACCTTGCTGTCCGCCGTGTCCTCCGTGCCCAAAACCCCCACCACCTCCAAAACCTTGCTGTCCGCCGTGTCCTCCGTGTCCAAAACCCAAACCACCTCCTAAGCCTTGCTGCCCACCGTGCCCCAAGTGTCCGCCCCCCAAGGTAGCACCATTAAATCACCCTCAGAAAAAAATTTTTACAGACCTAACATTTTTATAGAAGGCAAAAGGGGATAGCGGATGTCCACCGCCTAAACCAAAATGCCCCCCTCCGAAACCCCCCCCACCAAAGTACGATAAACCATGCTGTCCGGAGTGCCCAAAGTGTCCTCCACCTCCACCGCCTCCGAAACCTTGCTGTCCAAAGTGCCCTCCGTGCCCCAAACCTCCACCGCCTCCGAAACCTTGCTGCCCGCCGTGCCCTCCTTGCCCGAAACCGCCGCCGCCTCCCAAACCTTGCTGTCCTCCTTGCCCAAGGTGTCCGAAACCGGATCCGTGTCAGAAAAAACCGCCCAAGAAACCTCCCTGCCCTCCCTGCCCGAAATGCCCACCGCCGAAGTACGATTCGCCATGCCCGCCTCCCAAACCCAAGTGCCCACCCAAACCCAAGTGTCCACCCAAACCCAAGTGTCCACCGAAACCCAAGTGTCCACCCCCGAAGCCCAAGCCGCAGAAAAAATGCGCTGCAGCACCGGATGACGCTTGCGAAGCAAAATCGAAAAGTACGGAACCATGCGAGGATAAGGACCCATGCAACAAGCCCTGTAAGGATAAGAGCTCTAAGAAACCTAAGAAGCCTCTTTCGACCGAAGTTCCCAAATGTTTTCCACACAATAAACCGGGCAAGCCTCAACCTAGAAAATGCGACAGTGCTTTTAGTCAAGGTAACAAATTTCCTTAGGGCTTGTTGTAAGGTTTCCTCTTTTTCTCATTTTATATACATTTTTTATAGCCATTGGAAACAGGTATAAGTTTTGTCAATTTTTACATCATTCGTGACAAAATTAATACTTTTTCTTCATCACGCATTTCATTTTAATTCAGACGTTTAAGTTTCACCCTCAAAAGAAAAAAACGTTGACTGAAATTTTTGAAAGTAGAATCGTGAAGAATCTGCTTAAAGATATCAGTGTAGCAAAAAATCTAAAGACTAAACCATATTTAAAATAGTGTCCGAATTTTGTTCAAATTTTCACGGTACTTGTTGATACATACGGTCTTTGAGATAGCCCTACAAAAAAAATCCGGCAAAGTAAGATCAGGTGATCTAGCAGGACCAGCTCTACCAATCCAGCGACCATTAAAGTACTTCACTACAATACTAAAAAATACCCGATTTTGAAAAATTATTTCGTTTTAATATTCTGATAACACTGCTCTGGGGTATTCCCAAACCTCTAGATAATTATCGTGTGCTTGCATGAGGATTAGCGGCCGTTGCTGCTAATACATTAATTTCATTATTTCCACCTGTGCCTGTTGCTTGACGATTTTTTTTTTTCTGTTGAACACTCCTGTTTGTAGTAAACTGCTTGACTGTACGTTGAAACAAAGCACGCGAGCGTAGATTCCATAAATCAAAAATATTTCCATTTTTTCTTCCACTGCTCAACGAAAACAGGTCTTTTTGTTTGCAAATTAATCTTCAAATATATAAACTGAATTAAAATAAAATGCGTCAACTAAATGTTAGCAAGCTAACCATCTGCCTTTTAGAAGCTTGTTTTGCTAGCAGCGGTCCCCCAAAGGAGAACTGCCCCCCAAAAAAGGGCAAATGCCCGCCCCCGGCAGAACAAGAGATCGCTTTGAAGGAAAACTGTCCGCCAAAAAAGAGCAAATGCCCTCCCCCACCTGAGGGACAAGAGGGCGCATTAGAAAAAGCTTGTTTTGCTAACAGTGGTCCTTTGAAGGAAAACTGCCCGCCAAAAAAGAGCAAATGCCCTCCCCCACCTTGTCCCCCGCCAGAGGGACAAGAGGGCGCATCAGAAAAAGTTTGTTTTGCTAACAGTGGCGCTTTGAAGGAGAACTGCCCGCCGAAAAAGAGCAAATGCCCGCCACCAGAGGCACAAGAGTGCGCACCAGAACAGAAGAACGCTGGTGGTGATGCGTGTTTTGGCGGTAGCCAACCCAAGGAGGACAGTTGCAGCAAGGCAAAATGCGCCCCCCCAGAACCGGAATGTCCCCCCAAAGAGGAGGAGTGCGGAGGGGCACCGAATTGCACCATATGCTTCTCCCACAACGCCATAACTTCCGATACTTGCTCGGAGGAGCCAAAAGAGGAGGCAAACTTTTGTCCGGAACATGCAGCGGCGGACGATTGCGGCGAAGAGTCAAAACCGCCAAAATGCACGATTTGTTTCTCACACAACTCGCCTCAAAGCGAAGATACTTGCAAGGATAAACAGGACGAATGTCCTCAACAGGAAGATTTCTTGATTTGTAAGGAGGACGATGCCCCAATATGTCCAGAGCAGGTGTTGGAGTGCAAAAACGAAGCTCTGGAGGAGTTATGCCCTCCTTGTCCGCCATCGTGTCCCCCATGTCCACCCCCAGAAATTAAGGTAATTATGAATACTAAAAGTTCTATTGGTTTGATAGTTTTACAATTTTTTTTTCCTAACATTAAGTACTCCATCTTAGTTTAACTAATTTTGGGCCGCTGATTTCAAAAATGTAATGTGTTTTTCTCTAGGATTATAGTATTATTGTGCTTAATCCTCGTAAATACGTCGTATATCAGTTCCATTTAATATTCCTTCAAAATTAAACTAGTAGGTATATCCACAGACCACCAAAACAAATGGACGGATTTGTTTACGTTTAAAAAGCGAGTAAAGCATACTTTCACATTCTAAACACCGTTGAAAGAAACACGGCTTCCAGCGTTGTCAGAAGTATAGATTACACGCCTTTTTGGACGTTCATCAAACATAATGAACATTAATAATTACCAGTAATTCGTTTGAATAATAAAAAAATTGTAAAAAGGATTTGTTCATCATTTTCTATAGATATTTTTCTCTATTTAAAGAAAGTAAATCATTTAATAATTATTAAAATTAAATATTAACAACGTTGGTAAATTCGTCATATTTGACAGCATAGAAAAAGGTTATGTTCTGTGGGTTGACAGCTTGTTGTTTTGTGTTTTCGTTTGTGTATTTCTATCGTGTTAAGTTAATTATGGAGTTTAAATACATTATTTTTTACTAAAAATAACAATACCTACATGGAAATATCGTTTGTAAGGACCTACCTACTTATTTTTTTAATCCCAATACGTCACTGGAAGAAAACATAAAATTCTATCGCCAATTTAACGCTAAGACTGTGACCGTTTGATGACGTCACTGGAAGAAAACATAAAATTCTATCTCCAATTTGACGCTTAGACTGTGACCGTTTGTTAACCGCAAACAAATCATTGTTATTGAATGGCAATGCGCCGTACATTTGTTTTGGTGGTCTGTGGGTATATCTCATAAATTGTTGTAATGAAATATTGCGTTGGTTTTTCTTGGGAGTAAAGGTACCGCAACAAAAACAAAACAAATTTACAACGACGACATAGATGTTGGTCTCCTTTCTAAAGAGAAAGCTCTGCCACTTCCACTTCCTGCTCTTTTTTCATATTTGGTTCTTAAAATCACTTTCAAGTAAAAATACAATTTAAAGTTTAAATTTTAAAGATCAATTTTAGTGTGCTTGAACGATAAAGTAGATAAAAGCGCCTTTATACTTCAAAATAATTTAATAAATAATCAAAATATTAACAAAAAACTTACTTTTTGAGATAATTGGACAGAGCATTTTATTACTCAATTATTTCGAATCCTAGACGTCCTGGAGCAAAACAAGTGGCATTTTTGAAATCAACAGCCCAAAATGTAGGTGGGCGTAGTCAATGTTAGTAAATTGGTTAAATTTAAACTTCAAAATGGACAACATATATTAGAAACATTCCCCAACACGAAACAAAACATAAAGTGCTTAAAGATGTATAATAGATGTATAAACTTTTATAACTATCTAGCAGACTTGGTTCTCAACTTCCTTAATAATTTTAAGGTTGTCGAATCATATTCTATGACCATCATCGAGTATATGTTGGGCAAAACTCGATTTATCTGTCCTACCAAATCTAGCATGGGACAAGTGCTGTTTGAACCTTACTGGGATGGATCGTTTATTTTGTCCCAACATATTCTTGTCACCATCTTGATAGTTTATTTCGTGGATCCCGACTTTTCAATTTTAGAAATCTTTGGGGTTGCATAAAAGGGTCTGGAGTTCGAAAGGTCAAAGGTCATTAGTTACACTTCGCTTCTGAAGATGCCAACATCGTTGGCGAAAAGTACTTTGGGCACTTTGTGTTTCGTTTTGGTGTTGGGAATAGGGTTGAATACAGTTTACATAAAATGTGTGGTTATGTTTCCAGCCTGGCAAAAAGAAGAACGTTGAGGACAAGTTTGCGACGGCTCCGTGCAGGAAGATCTGTAAAGGTACCCCGTTTAGTTTAACAGTGATCTGGTCGACTGCGGCGTCAGTGGCCAATCACATCAAGCCTAACGCGAAAAGACCGCTAAAAAACAAACGCTTCTAGATCAAAATCGAATTAGTGGGAAGGTGCTTAACAATTAACGCCTTTGTAGTGTGAGGATTTTGACGCCTACTAATAATTATATATTTATAACACGTGTCTGTAATTTTGCTTTGGAAATAAACAGGATTTTAGAAGATTTTTGATGGGTGGTTTTTGTTAGGCACCTTGTTACTGGTTCTGCACGGTTCAATTTAGTTTTTTTTTTGTTTGTTTAACCAGTAAAATTGTGCCTTTGTTTTACTAGTCTTAAGAACTAATATTTTTTTCAGTATCTGACAGGTAGGTACATATTTTATTAGTTTTCTCAATACAGGTTATGGAGTCCCTTGTGAAAATTTTTCTCTGAAAAAGTTTTAATAAGAGTTTTTAAAGTCTTACTTTCTCTTCAAAAGTCTGAATTTTTTACATACGATGCGCTGGACTTGCTTTTATTGTTGCCACTGTACGTGTCATTTTAATAGTTTCTTTTCATATACGCAAATATTCCTCTAACCATTATTTTAAACACTTTTTAGTCACAATATCGATTTTCTCAGCTGACCAATTAGAGCACATCTCATCTGTCATGTGATGGCATCTTCCCGCGTTTTCAAGATAGCTCTCCTGTCACTACTTACCAAGTGTTGCCGTTTGCGGGTATTTTACTCGGAAATCGGGTATTTTCGTCACGTTTGCGGGTAGAATTTTGAAGCGGGTAAAATCGGATATTTTGCAAATTTCGATCAAAATACTAACTGAAGATAGCTCGAAGATCAACCGTATTTGTTTTATGAGTTCGACTGTCGACCATATCATGCCTATGCGTTGCGAAGAATTGTTATAGTTATTATACTTTTTGTACTTAATCAACAAGGGATCTGTATGTACACAAACCAAACGTATCTCCCAACTGTTTTATTATGTTCAATTAAAATAAAGTTTGTTTACCTATATTGTAAACATTGCTTCCGTGTTTTTATAAGCCTTATAACAACGCAAAAACAGTGTTTATAAATCCTTTTCATTGTGCTTTTTTTGCAATAACCAAATACAACATCTCTAAGTAATTCCGGATATTTATTTTAATCGCTATAGGTACCTACCATTTCTCTGCTAAAAGTCTTATTTGGTCTTAAAAAGCCTTATTAACTCTTCCAGAAGACTTCCAAATCTCTAAGAATTATTCAGACTTTTTAAGAGAAAGTAAGACTTTAAAAACTTATTAAAACTTTCTCAGAGAAAAATTTCCGCAAGGGGTTACAAACATTTTTATCTAGCACCTCCAGTGTGTGAGCCCCCAATTGCCGCCGAGTGCAAGGGTAAAATGCCCGCCGCTTTCGAGTGCCAAAGGACCTCGCAGTGCGGCAAAAAATCGACGAAGATGAACTGGAAAGCCGTTGCGTTGAACCTCGAGAAACAGAAGACCAAAATCACGGCTCAAGGATTGGCTCCCGTAATCCCGAAAAAAGGAATCTTCAGCAGCTGCAAGACGGCCATAACGAACGTGTGTAAGGGCTTTACGGGCAGCAAGGCCAAAAAGGGGGCTGTTATCGGTCTGTTGGGATCGAAATCCATGCCCGATATTCCTCACGAACAAAACAGTAAGAATAAAAACCTACGTTTCGATATTCCGTTCCTGATAGCCACTTTATTCTAAGAATGTTTTTTAAATCTTCCAGTGAGAATATTCTTAGGATCATGCTATATTTATTCTAAAGAATATGCTTAAAAGACATATAGCATGATCCTAAGAATATTCTTACTGGCCTATAGGCATGCCTTAGAAGGTGCAAAGTTTTAGTGGTAAAAATTAGTCTACTCTAAACATATCGATGGTTATTTGACAAAACATCGTAAGCGACAAATTTGTTGAATTACTTTTTATTTTATCAAAGTGTCAGTTACGATAAGCTGCACATGTTAACATAATAGTTTTTCCGCCTCTTCTCTTCTTTTTAATTTGTTACCGATTTATAACGTAAGCGCCTATATGTTCCCGACAAATAATCGTAAGCAACTCCGAGTCATGGCGTTTGCGATTTAACATTGTGTCGCTTACGATAATATTGTGCTCCCGCCTTGATCTATCAAGGCGTTATTCCAGCTCTAAACAGTTTATTCGTGAGTATACCTGCATCGTGGTGATTGCTACCACAATCCACAATGTGGATTGTGATTGCTACCAAGTTTTAAAACAATATTTTATTTGATCAAAAGCTTATAATTCCTTTTTATCATTGCATTATTAATAGTTATCCTAATTATAATTGTTTTTACGTAGTGTGGTTCGTTAAAAGTGTTTTTTGTACAATTGTTATAACGTCAAATAATTTAACTTAAATTTATAACGGTTAGATGACGGCCAAAAAATTTCGAACGACCTGTCATTCAGTTGATTTCAAAATGTAAAACTGCCTTTAGTAACCACTAACCTTACTTTCTAAAAGTTGTCAGTTTGACGTATTTTATTGTTGATTGTGTTGTTTTATGGTTAGATTCTCTGTTAACTTTTTGAAACTGCTTGTCAAAAATTTCCCTAAAGGTTGGTTTGCACAAACATTAAGTTCGGGCTCCTTGTGTAGGCTCCATGGGTTAGATACTGGTTTGTGAATAAAAATCGTTCGGTTTTTTTTCAAAGAAAGCTAATGTAGATTTTCATTTTCAAACATTGTTTGGCAAAATATCGTTATATTCTACATTAATAAAATAATGCCACACCAGTTTTCAGATAAATAACTTTAAAAATAAAGCTCCCACACAAAAAAATCTCTCCTGTAAAATTTAGGTTTTGTCGCTTACGATGTTTTGTCAAATAAGAAAGTAATTGATGTAGAAAGTTCATTTAGGAATATTCCTATATAATAGTAAAATATACCATAAACTACGTATAAAGGTATATACATATTAGGGTGTGCCAAAAAACTCGATATTTTTTTTTCTTGCTCTCCACCCAAAATATCGTAGAATAAGTCCGAACAAATATTCTGTTAAAAGCGGAGCTCATAATTTCAATTTTAAGAGGTTCTTCATCGAATCTGAAGTTTTTCCGCTTAAATAACACAGAAAACTGACTTTTTTACCTTATTTATTCTTGCAACCTAGGAAGAATTTTTTTTTCATGAAATCCATGATAATTCTTACAAAGCATCAAATTTTGACAAAAAAATCTTATTAAGCCGAATTTCTATTTTCATTATTTGATTTTTTACAGAGCTTTAAATTTAAAATGTTACGTTTTTTGCCTTTTTTAGCTAAACCATTGAAGTTAGACGAAAAAGTCAAATGGCAATTTTTTAGCTTAATATTTCACTAACAAAAAGTTAATAATACAAAAATGATGACTTTATACGCCTGTAACTTTTAGAATATTGACGATACAAAAAATTCGCCTAAAACTTTTTTGTGGTCCATCAGACAAGCTAAAAAATTGCCATTTGACTTTTTCGTCTAACTTCAATAGTTTAGCTGAAAAAGGCAAAAAACATAAAATTTTAAATTTAAAGCTCTGTAAAAAATCAAATAATGAAAATAGAAATTCGGCTTAATAAGATTTTTTCGTCCAAATTTAATGCTTTGTAAGATTCATTGATTTTATGAAAAAAAAATTCTTCCTAGGTTGCAAGAATAAATAAGGTAAAAAAGTCAGTTTTCTGTGCTATTTAAGCGGCAAAACTTCAGAATCGATGAAGGACCTCTTAAAATTGAAATTATGAGCTCCGCTTTTAACAGGATATTTGTTCGGACATATTCTACGATATTTTGGGTGAAGAGCAAGAAAACAAAAATATCGAGTTTTTTTGGCACACCCTAATACATATAGTATTAAATACTAAGTAAAAAACACAATCTAAAATATTTTTTATAGTTATTTGTCAAATTAAAACAATATTCGATAACAAAAATACTTTTACTATGGGTATTTTATTTTATGTTAAAAATAAATATTTATTAATTTGTATACCTACCGATTTTTTATTTCCGAAAGAACATTTTTATGTATAATAATCCTAACTATCTTCAACTTCAATCTAATCTGACTTATCCCACAAAATTTTCCAATTTTACTTTTTATGAAATAATGTCATACAACTTATGGTTTTGAGGTCAAATTCTTTATTTAATTTTTTTAAATAAATATATATTAAAATGTCGCAACATTTTTTAAGGGGACGACAAATATATTTCACTGTCATATTATGACAGTGAGGCATATTTGTCGTCCACTGAAGAATTTTGCGAATGTAGAATACAACATATTAGAACGTGGGTATCTGACATATTTGGAAATATTCTCAAAAGCTTCCTAGAAGCTCCATAAGAAACCTTCTAAGAACATTTCAAAACGTATTCTTAAAATGTTCTTAGGATGCTTATAGGAAGGTTTTAAGAAGCTTTTTGAATCTAATTGCATCATTAAAAGGGTATCTATTGAATGTTTTAAAAGTCCCTAAGAACATTCTTAGCAATAAGGAAAGCTTCTAAGAATATTCCATTATTCCCGGTCATATCTTCTTAGAACATTCTTAAAATCAGGGGTAACATCCGCAATATTTTATAGTGTTTCCGGATTTGAACCTGAAACCCAACAAATCGGAGACGGATTTCCTCTTCATGGAAAAACCCGTCAAAACCTTCAAAAACTCCAAAAACCTGCCCACCATCCGTCACCGCTCAGTACCTTGGACCACTCCCATTCTCAGCACGACTGGGTATTCCGCAAGGAGCCACAGTTTGCCCCCGTTTAGAACGTACGTTAGTAAAGGATTTTTCGAGAAGAAAATCTTCCACTTGTTCAAGGAAATACAAAAAGGTTCCAGCGAGGATGATGAGCAAATAAAGGAGAAGCTTAGAGCGGACAAGGAAGCCACGTGAGTCACAAAATTGACCAAAAAAACAGAAATTGATCATCTGATTTTGATGTTTTTTTTAAATGTATATTGACTCTTTAGTAACGATGCTATCCCAAGTAACACATAAATATTTTTATACTACTAAAAAATATACGGGTGATTCTACAAAAGTTGGACAACTTGAAGTCATTAGTCAATAGAGTCGGTATTTTAATATTTTTTGTAAATATTTTAGTATATTACAAAAGATTCAGGTTTTTTTAACTTGTCCACCCAATTTTAATGTATTTTTTCAAAAGCACGTTTGTAGAAAAACATAATAAATATTCAAAACATCAGTACCTTGGCGTGTCACAACTCCTGAATCAAATATTTGAGTGATTTTATTTTAAAATATATTCAATTTATCTTAAATCTTTCAATTTCACTACAAACTATAAAACATTAAATAATGTATTTTTCATATTTTATCATAGATTCGAATAATAGCAATTTTTAAAAAATTGATAATCTTTGTACTCACTTTTACCCGTCAGTTCTGTGTCCAATGTTAAAATTCAAAATTCCTGCAAAATATTGAAGTTTAAACGTCAAGTCCTCGTTTTAACTCAAGTGTTGGTAAAAAATTACCTACAGAGCCCGCCCTTTGCACGACAGTCATCTTGAAAACAATGCAAGCGGCGAAGTTGTGATGAATACACGTATAGTTCCAGTCAAAATTTCAGTACTGTGGTGAATAGTTATTTTCTTACGTATATATATATATTTCATTGTATTTTATATAAGGCTATATGTGATTTGTTGATAAATAGCATCCACTAATAAAATTTGTATCCCATTCATCAGTACCGTGTCGTCAGTTCCATGTTCGATGTTTCGGTTATCTTTTTTTCGTAAACTTAAATTGAAATTCTGCTTGCGCAGAACTTGTTTATTTAATGTCAATATAAACTCATATAAATTTGGTGTGGGTCCCATATCTAATAATTGAGATATCGACATACCCAAAATCCACCAGCCGCCACTGATGTGTGGTATTATTTGATTTTAAGATATTTAATGTATAATATGCTCAAAGTTGCAATAAATCTTAAATTTTCCAATAAATTATGTATTTAATTTAGAAAACACAGATATTTCAGAAACAAAATACTGTTTAATTTTCTCCGAAAACTATATAAACAAAATAAGGTCAAAAGTTTCCCAACTTTTGTAGAATCACCCCTATTAAGGTTTATTAAGCACATACATAATTAATAACTCAAAATTTTTCCGATGATGTTTGACAATATCCATTAATTTTTTTTAATTTCAGTCATAAATTATACCAAGAAAAAATCAATAGCGCTCGAGAATTTTACTCAAAATTTCAAAGCTTTCTTCAAGAAGACGCCAACATCAAAAAATGTGCGAAAGGACCTAATGATGATGATGATGATGCTACTGGTAATAAAGCAGGCAATAAAAAGGAAGTTTACCAAGTAAAAGTAACCAAACCTGGCGATCTAACAACCGAAGACACCATGAGCGAGAAAAAAAATAATTCAATATTAAAAAACATTTTGGAACTTTTCAAACCATTTTCTTCGGGATCTCCATTAATGGAAAAGGAAGAAACCACGAAGGAAGGGAACTTATTCGCAAAAAAACAGTTTCACGATGCGATGGAAAGTAAAAAAAATGGTTTTAAAGAGATGGATTTCATTATAAACACCGATGACGAGTACGAAAAAACTTTCTTGGTGAAGATAAAAGCAACGAACAGCAACCACAACAGCTTGTATTCTTCGAAATCGAAAAGCATCCTCACTATAACATGCGAAGAGATCGACGATGAAGAAAAATGCCTTTACGTGAAGAATAAAAGTGACATCAACAAGATCGAAAAAATATTGCCCGTAAACTACGAAGAAACGCCGAAGAAAGAGATCAAGCTCAAAATCGAAGAAGCGACCTCGCCAAAAACAGAAACGCCTTTCTTCCACGGATCGTACGTAGAAGACGTGCAGCAGGCGGCAAAAGAAGAACAAGGGGCTAAAGTTGGTAACACTGTTAAAATAAATGTAAAAGACTGTCAACCCTGTTGCAGATTAGCGGTGGAGCAGAAAAATTGCACAAGTAAAAACGAAATGATGGATGGTGATGGGTGTGAGGTGAAGACGATGCGTGGTTTCATGCCCCAGGTAACCAGTGAAACAAATGAAGAACGTTTCTTGAAGAGGAGGGAAGAGAGGTTAGCCAAAGGATCGCGAACTTGGGAAAAGATTTCCAGAAGTGATTTGAGAAAGGTTCAGATAGTTAAGGTAGGTGAGACAATTTAGGGATTAGTTCACCATTACACTGTTCAAAATTTCATGACCATTTTTTCAAAATTTCATGACCAGGTAAATAAATTTTACCTGATGTAAATTGACCTCCTTTTCAGTGTTAAATATAATGTGTTTTTGGTCAAATTAAATCATACTACACAGAAAAAAAGGAAAAAAGGAAACAGGAAGTTCCTTGACGCATTACTAGTACATTACCAGTGGTATTATTCCAGAAAATTGAACCTTCAACTCGCTAGAGATAATGTTTTTAGTGCGTTCCACCAACTTAAAATACTTCAAATATTGACAGCTGTTTCCACCTATTTAAGGTCTCTTTAGTATCGAACAACTTGTAGTGTCACACCAAAGCAAAGGACTACCTGAGCTTATATACTCTTCATGTAAGTTAACAGAGGCGAGATTTAAGAACATCACGTGATCCACACCGCCTTTGCCGCGATCGGTACACACTATGCAAGAAGGAATGCACGGCAAATTGTTTTAATCGTTTTAACAGAGTGCTTTAGGTTGAAGTAACTCTTATTTTACAAACAACATATTTAGTAAACTGAACCATACAGCGGGTTGGTTTTACTAAAGTTTTCTGGGTTAATTTAACCAATTTAAAAAAAATAAAATAACTATCTGGTTTAGTACCGTCAAACTAATCTTTGTTTATATTAACCTTCCCACAGTTGATTTACATAAATACTTCTGGTTCAACTAAATTAATATAGTTAAATGAACTATTCCTTTTTTTCTGTGTAGGTGCACTTCTCAAATATTTTTAGATAAACACCGTTTTGGTGTTTGCTGTATAAAACATTTTCAACCATAATTCATGGTGTTATATTAACACCACTTGGTGTTGGATTTTGACATCATTTTAAGATTACTCTTCACACCGCAGATATTTTAAACAGTGTATAAATGGAATTTTTAATAATGGTTTTATAAAAACATGCAATTGGACATTTTATATAGTAATTGGACACATGGACCGTAGTTATTGGACATACAATTTTTATATAAACATAACAACTTTACATAAATTATTAAATATTTTTTAAAGATAAATTGCTGTTTAGGTAATTTTTTATTTCGTTTTTGTAAATATCATATAATTCATATATTTCTTTCTCGGATTCCTTATCCATTTTCTGGATTCTGAAGGTAACTACTAATCCTTGGTCTAACTTCAGAAATAGTTTGTTGCAAATATCATTATGTGTGGTATCTCTAGTTTGTGAAGCATTTATAATGTTTAGGCCTAATATTTTTTCGGGTGGTATGTTACAAGTATTTTCCGAATTTATTAATTTTGTTGTTAGTTTTTTATGTTCCCTATCATGCACTGTTATTCTGCAAGATGTCCTGTGACGAAGAAATCACTATATTACTTACTTTCTAAAAATGAATCAGTCAAAAATGTCATAGCGAAAAAGCAGCCACTAATAATTTTCGTCAACAGCTGAATCCGAAAATGTCGTCAAAAGTTATAAAAGTAGGACAGTTTTTGAAATATAATCAATTTTACATATAATATGGAATTGACTATATCTCAAAAACTGCTTAACTTTTAAAGTTTTTGACGGTCTTTTCGGATTCAGGGGACAATTTTACATAAGAATTGGCTGGTAAATGTCCGGGATACAAATAGAGTATGATATTGGACACATGTCCAATAATTTGGACATTTGGACCCAAAATAAAGTACTTCTATATTATTACCGACTGAGATACAGCGTCATCTAATGATTTGACTTTAAGGTAACTATTTATAGAACTCTTGTTTTTACAGTATTAATGTTAATTGTCCAATAACTATAAAGGTCTAATATTTGTTAACATATCACCAATGTTGTTCTTTTTCAAGTATCATGTATCATATAATTTAATTTTGTAGCCACTTTCAAGTATTGACGAGATATACTGTAAATATCAAGATAGTTGTGAAAACATATGTCCACCATCCAAGAGCAAAAAACCTGGGAAAACAAACGTTGGCAGCAACACTCCAACAAGAAAACAAACAGTCCAAAATTTACCAGCATTAATGAAAAATTCCGAAAAAGTCCCATGTAAAAGTCCAACGGTATGCCAAGAGTACAGCGACCCCTTCAATCTCTTTAGAAAACTTTCTGGCACCAGCGAAATGCAGTTGCACTGTATGAAGTCAAACATCTACCTTAATAGATCGACCTGCGAGATTTTGACCTTGGAAAAAACTTTGCCCAAGCAAAATACGATGTCCGCAACAATCTTTATGCAGCCCAAGAAATCACCAACCAATTTTTTGGCTGCCCAGCCAGTTTCTTTCAACTCTTCCAACTATTACTCGAAAAAAGAGTCCAATGAGTTGGTACTAACACCTGTGGATGCCCAAAGGATTCTGAGCTGCTTTCCCACTTGTGAGTCAAAACTTAATTTCTGGTTATCATTATACCCAAGAAAGACATGGTAAAATGTTTAAAAAGAATACTGCTTACATGCTAACTAAAGTTAGCTTAACTGTTACAGCAAAAATAAAAAATGTGTTACTTGGGTACCGCCTGTTACTAAAACTCTTATAGTTATTGGACAATTAACATTAATACTGTAAAAACTATTTTAGAAGTCAGACCAAGGAATTAGTAGTTACCTTCAGAATCCCGAAAAGGGATGAGGAATCCGAGAAATATATTTGCAAAAACGAAATAAAAAAAATTACATAAAACACCAATTTATCTTTAAAAATATTAATGTTGTTTGATGTAAAATTGTTTATCCAAGAACTATGGTCCATGTGTCCAATTACTACATAAAATGTCCAATTACTATACTTTTGCATGTTTTTATAAAACTATTATCAAAAATTCAAATATTCTTATTGTTTTAGGTTTAAATGATCTAGAAGAAGTTACTGAAGAGTACTGCTTTAGCAAGTATCAGCATCAAAGTAAAGAAACGAATACTCACAAAATCAAAAGTGCCAACGTAAAACCCTTAAGGGTTAAATCTGTTGAGGATGTCGACAAAAAAAAAGATATAATCAAACCCACCCTTCCAGTTATCATCACTGAACCAATCAAGGATCTTGTGGCTGTTAATATTGTTAAAATGAAAAATATGTTTACTCTTGAAAATAAGACAAAGAATGAAGATGTTAATAAAGCTGAAAAGAAAGTGATGCCTGAAGCTGAAGCTGAGAATAAAGTTAAATTGGAAAGCAACAAAAATAAACGGTATACAATCAACCAAACAGCAAGGGTTATAGATATAAAAAAACAAAAACCCATCGAGGTTATTCATTTGTCGAAGAAGTTTAGAAAACGTGCTTGCGAAGATGATAATTTCGCGAATTTTTTGTACAAAGAATGCGTTAAAGATAATGATAAACAGTTGCAATATGAAGCAGAAATGTTTACAAGGAACAAAGAAAAGGTGATGGCGATTCTAAAAAAACTCAAAAGTCAAGAAAAATTTAAAGTTTCAATAACTGAAGAACCTGTGCTAAAAGTACAACCTGAGGAAGTTAAAACAGTTGAAGAAGTTAAAAGACCAGATACTTCAGAATATGATACTGAAAGTTTGGATGACGTAACTTGCTCGTTGTGTAAATCTACACCTTGTACGAAAAACTGCCCGACCAAATCAAAGAAAAAGTTGTATTTTAACCCTATTAAATCGTTCTCGAATGATATTTTGGACGATACCAAACTCGAAACGACCAGAAGCCTGAAAAAATCCATTCAAGATTCAAAAAGCAGGTCGGGTTACAAGATGGGGAAATTTGGTTTTCCGGAAAAGCAATTCGGGTCGGTGAAATTTTTCGTGAAAAATGCTAGACAACCCAGAAAACGGACTATTAATTCACTGTCTAAATTTAAGTTTGTGCCCCCCAGTGATGATGGAAAATATCAATAATCATTATTTGTATACTGTCTTAAATATAATATACCTAATCATTTTTCCAATATATCCAAATGACAAAATGTCTATAGTAAGTATACTTACGCTAGGTCCATAATGACCTTCATTCGTTCTGATTCTGGATCTCTGTCGGCAAAAATCATTGGGTTGTTGGCTCGAATTGTGAAGTACTGTTCGATTGCGCTTTTTGTTTTTTCATGTTGGTAGTAACAAGCGTGCAGAAATAGGTATATGTACTCGTCCGATATCGTTGGAAGGTGGGGTTGGGTATTCATCCTGTTGAAAGAAGAAACAATCGTTTGTTTATCTAAATGTATATATATAACAATTTTAACATTGAAATGTTGAATTCATATACAAGGTGTGTTGAGAAAATATCGGGAATTTTCGTTTTTTGAAACAAATATTTATTTATTCGTCTACATTAATGTTGTCGCCTTCAAAATAGTCCCCATTGGATATTATGCACATGTGCCAGCTCTTCTCCCAATACTCGAAACACTTCTAAAACTCGATCTTTGGGATAGCCTTTAGTTCTTTCAGCGATGCGCTTTTAATGTCATCTATGCTTGCAAAACGACGGCCCTTTAAGGTTCTCTTTGTTTTTGGGAATAGGAAAAAGTCAGACAGAGGCATGTCTGGCGAATATGGAGGCTGGGGCATCATTACAGTATTGTTTTTGGCCAAAAATTTTGTCCAAAATTTAACAGTTTTAGAACAAATTTTGCTTCCACGCGTTTCATACCCAAAACGTTCGAAAAAATTTCATGGGATAAGCCAATCGATATACCAACATCATCAGCGACTTCTCTGATGGTTTATAACCATTTCTTTCACTTTTTCCATGTTTTTATCGGTTGTTAATGCGCTTGTGCGTTCGGGGCGTTCGTCATCTTCAACGTCTTCACGGCCATTTTGGAAACTCTTATACCACTTGCAAACTCTTGTTTTACTTATAGCAGACTCACTATAGGCCTTTGTTAACATTTCACAGAATTTATTTCATTTTTTAAGCAAAATTGGATACAAATTCTTTGATCCATTTCTTTTAACGAACGAAAAATCGCCGAGCTCATAAAACACGTCTAACCTTAGCGGCTGCCACATACAAAGTAAACAATGAAAACAGCTAAACTTTTATCATACTTCGGGAGCATATATACCAATATAATAAAGAAAATTTTATGACAACCGGACCCTCCAAACCCGCGAAATTTAACAATTCTCGTTATTTTCTGAACACACCTCGTACATATGTATTATTTGATTAGTTCGCTGGTAAGCGTTTGTTTGTTTTTTGTAAGGAAACGTGAATTTCCTCACCAGGTCAACTTTCAGTTTAGACCTTGGCATATTGTCGTTGTTTACTTATTTTGCTTTATTTAACTTGTCTTAAATTATTTTATTACCAAATTCTAGACAACCTTGCAAAATATTCAAGAACAGCACTAATATAACTATTTTATTAATGAATACTTCTCTTAACAAAACAATGGTACGTTGGACTGGAAAGTAGAAAAAAGTGAACTAAATTTATTAGAAAAACTAATACAAATTTCATTATAAACGTTTTTAAAATTTCAAATTGATATCTTTTTTCGTTTCCCAGAAACTTCTGGAGCACGAATGTGAAACATCCTGTATATATTGTAACACAGGAACGTGAATAAAAAACGCGCAAAAAATTTAAAGAATTTAAACGCGACAACATTGCGAGTTGTTGATAGTTGGTTTCCATGGTAACGCTTTTTGCGTTCGACAGTTGCAGTGACATTTCCTTATGCTGTGTTATTTCAAATCTTAAAATGAGTTGAGAAAACAAATTATTACACAGTAAAAAAAATCAACTCTAAGTAACACTAATTAGAGTTCACACAGGTCCACACTAAATAGTGTTGTTTTATAACACTACAATTAGAGTTAATTTGTAGTGTAATTTTCCCCAAGTAAGCAAGTGTGATTTAACACTATAGCACTTAGGAGAAAGTAATTTTACACTGTATTAAAAAGTGTTAATTTACCTAAAACCGTGTACTTCTACACTTAATGGGTAAAATCCCACTTTTGTTCAGTGTAAATTAACACTACTTTGGAATTCCAATTTTAGAAAGGTACTCTTTTAGTGCAAACTTCTAGTGTAAATTAACACTATTATTTGAGTAAAACCTATTGGTGGTAGTGAATAAAACGAAAAGGTAAATAAAGAGAAACATTTATTTGGAACAAAAATCTGACAATTATCAAAATCGGTGCCTTTTAAAATATAATTTTATATTTGGGTCGTATGGCTGGCTTAAGCAAAATGGTTCCTTAAAACGTAAAAGTTTTAGATCAATGCAATGCTGCCAACTTGTAAGCAATAAATTATCTTGAGAAATCATCAGTAATCCATTTTTCTGTTATAAAAAATGGGTGATCCCATAGGTAGAGAGGCGTCAGGCGGCTGTATGTCGGGGATTTACCACACGTACAAATATTTCATAATATTAATAAAAATGTAGGTATAGGTTAATATAACAACCATTACGCTTGAAAATAAAAAAGTAAATCAAGTGTGTATGTATTTATATTATTAATTTTACAAGTACCCGACCTACTGCCGTAAATTATTGATATATAATATAGGTTGGGTATGGACATCCTTTTAACATATCGGTATTTATTAAGTATTAAGGCTTAAAGAAAAAGGAAGTATAATACTTGCCAAAAAATAAGAAGGTCCCCTTATGGATTTACCGTAATTAAAATCTAACTGAACAAAAATGCCACACTTCCACAACGTGGTATCTCCGGATATGCACTGCGTAGGTACGTACCTACGTACCTACCAACCAAACATTTTAAAACGCATTTCGGTTATTACCAGTTTTTTCAGTATATTTTGCCACTATTGGTGTAATTTAACTTTAATTGTGATATAATGTGCACTAGTAGTGTAAAGAAAACAGAGCTCTTAGTAACATCAAAACAAACAAAGAAATTGGCATGCACTGTAGTGTACATTTTGTCACTATTTAACACATTAAGGGGTAATAAACACTCGCATTAAGTTTTTCTACCCTTTTAATTTATTTTAATAATAAATAGTGTGAATGTACCAATGAATAATGTTCATATTCTTTAAATGTGTTTAATAAAATTAATAAGCACTAAATGCTACTTAGTGTATTTTGTAGTGTAACTTTTACACTTACAAATCAACTCTAATATTTTTACCCCTACACTATAAAAATTTACACGGGCAAAATTTTTTACTGTGTATATTCTATAAAAACGAACAAACATAATAATAACAATAATACCATTCATACAAATCAAAATTAATTAACTAATTAATAATTATTCTCCACATTACTTGGAGACTTTAAATAATAAAATCGACAATGTAGAACATGAGATTTCTAACCGAATTATTTTAAATAATAAGGAAAAGTAGTTCTAAATTTCTTTATACTAAATGACCTTCACTACAATCCAGCGTGTAAAAATCATAGGTAACTACAGCTTGCTAGCATCAGCTAACAATTTCCTTATTATACAATTCTCAAAGTAGGTCTTAAGATTATAGATATATTTTGTTTTGTTAAATTCTTGGATATAATTTTTTTGAATTGTAATGAGAATTATAAGCAAATACCACAAGAAACAACAGTTGCACAACAATAAACATTAATGACCAGTTAGTACTACCTATATGGGTGTAACTGTATGTTAATTAATGTTTTCAAATGTATTTTGTTTCTAAAATATTTATTGATATATTAATATATATATATATTAATATATATATATATTAATATATATATATATATATATATATATATATATATATATATATATATATATATATATATATATATATATATATTAATAATATTAATAATATTAATAATAAAAATTCAAAACATCAGTACCTTGGCGTGTCACAACTCCTGAATCAAATATTTGAGTGATTTTATTTTAAAATATATTCAATTTATCTTAAATTTTTCAATTTCACTACAAACTATAAAACATTAAATAATGTATTTTTCATATTTTATCATGGATAATAGCAATTTTTAAAAATTGATAATCTTTGTACTCACTTTTACCCGTCATTTCTGTGTCCAATGTTAAAATTCAAAATTCCTGCGAAATATTGAAGTTTAAACGTCAAGTCCTCGTTTTAACTCAAGTGTTGGTAAAAAATTACCTACAGAGCCCGCCCTTTGCACGACAGTCATCTTGAAAACAATGCAAGCGGTCAAAATTTCAGTACTGTGGTGAGTAGTTATTTTCTTACGTATATATATTTCATTGTAATTTATATAAGGCTACATGTGATTTGTTGATAAGTAGCATTCACTAATAAAAAATATCAATAAAATACTTAATTCCGAATTATAATCTCAAATTTGTATCCGTTTCGTCAGTTCCATGTTCGATGTTTCGGTTATCTTTTTTTCGCAAACTTCAATTTAAATTCTGCTTGCGCAGAACTTGTTTATTTAATGTCATTATAAACTCATATAAATTTGGTGTGGGTCCCATATCTAATAACTGAGATATCGGTATACCCAAAATCCACCAGCCGCCACTGATGTGTGGTATTATTTGATTTTAAGATATTTAATGTATAGTATGCTCAAAGTTGCAATAAATCTTATATATTCCAATAAATTATGTATTTAATTAGTACCCTGGTATACTCGTCACTCCCTTGCATTCAAATTTAGAAACACAGATATTTCAGAAACTGTTTGAAAAAGTGACTGGCCCGGTCTGGAACAGTATATTTATTATATTATCTATGTTCTCATAACAAAACACTGTTTAATTTTCTCCGAAAATTATATGAACAAAATGAGGTCAAAAGTTGCCCAACTTTTGTAGAATCACCAATATATGTACTGAATCATTGAAATAAATTCAATGTCTTATAATAATGGTAAATATTGTATGGATTGTCACGTCTAACTCGCAGCAGAGCAGCAACAGCAGCCCAGCAGATAAGACCTGAAGATGGTACATGAGATTGTACCGAAACGTCGTCAGACATACGGTTCTTTTAAGAACCAAAAACCGAAAAACCACTAATACATATGTATATGTACATATATATATATATATATATATATATATATATATATATCTGTATATAAATCAATTGTTTACCAATACTTAATTATCTTAGTACATAACACGTTAATAAAATACATTTCTCATTATTTTTATGACATGCCATAATTTACTTGCACTTTTTTTTTGTTCCTGTTGTGGTGTGACTAAGTCAA